AACTAGCAATATTCCCCAGGCAAGCACCTGCACAATCAACTCTACCAATCTTCCCAACCTGATATTCTCTAGGTGTTTTGAACTTCTAACTCACATCACTTCTGGCAATCATGGCTAATAGATATGTTAGCACTTGCAGTCTAACAATCAGGAGAGGATTTATTGGGGGAGGCTGAATTATGCTTTAATCTACTAAGACAAACTTCTTGTATACAACCTCAGTGTTTCTTTCTATTTAACAAAAGCAGAAGAGAGTGGTTCTAAGATAGCTGTACAGATTAAAGAGACCAAGTTTGCCTACTGCTATATTACGCTGTCCATGTGAAAATCTAACCTTCTTGCTTTAATATGGTTTGTCTTTTGAATCAGAAAGCCACATGACATTATTTAACACAGCAGCAGTAACATATAACCTCTGCTGATGCATTTTGTCTGATCTGGCTACCATGTTCAGAAAAAGACCATCGCTTAATACAGGATATAACCTATACACCCAGAAGCACTAGGAAAAAGTGTTAACACAAGGCTATACTGCCAATCACTACTTCTTCAACAGATGTGTTCAGCAGTCTCTGTCCTAGTTTTCTTCATAAAAAAAATCTATACCAAGGTAAACAATTGTGGTTCACCAAATGCTTTTGATCTACAATTCACATCAGTTCTAACCAGCTTAGCCAATGGTAACTTTCCGTCTCAAAGCACCTAGAGAACCATAGCTGTCAACTGCAGTTCTAAAAGTTCTGTCATGGATGGATAGGAACAGTACTGATTAACATGTTCTTAAACCAACATATAACAGGACAGTGTGAAGAAAGTAGTATATGTAAAAATTTAAGGAGTGCTTGCATCTATTCTCACCTAAATCTTAAAAGAACTAACAGATAAAAGAGCACGTATTAGGTGGTAAGAAGTATTGCTACCCACCTTGTGGTAACGCCTGCTCTTTATGATGCCATTTCCTCATGATGCCCACTTATGGTCTTGTGCTGCTATGACACACAATTCCAAAGTTTTGTTTCCCAACACACAGACCAGGAGTGGGAGTATGCACAGCTAGGTTGTGCACCCAAAAAAGTAAATATAAGTGATAGCATGGTCACATCCACTTTCAGTTCCTGTGATAATTCCACAAGTACAAATCTCTGGAAGACAAGGGATGGCAAATCAGGGGAGCCAAGATGAAGAGATGGCTCAAAGAATATAAAGGTCATTCTGCTAACATGAGAAATCATAGCAAGCTGTAGGCCTAGAAAGTACTTGAATATTCTAACAAAATATCTATCTGTCTCTGTCTCAAACCCACTCACAGTTTAGCCATCTCCTACTATGTAACATAAACATTATTATAGCAGGGCTACAAAATAATTCATTTCCTACAAATTATTAAAGCTCTCTCTCTCTTATGCTATGTTCAAATGACTTTACCTTAGCTTAATAAGTTGGGGAATTAACAAGTCTTGTGACACTGCATGTAGCCATTACCACTACCACCCTATTTACCATGCATATATAAAATTCATCAGTCTCAAATATAACTTCCTGTTTTCTCCAAACAAAGTAACTGTGATATCCCCTGGTTGATATCTGATATAACTGTGATATCCCCTAGCTCCAAACAGGAAATTGTGATTAATTGGACTTCTTCACTGCACTTAGAAATGCTACAAAAACAGAAAAGAAAGGGGATCTGGACAAGGCATAGGCCATGTCAGTAAACTTAATTGTGACTGTCCAAACTAGACTATTCTGCCACCATGGAAAACAATGTAGGAAGAGTGATCAGTAATTACTACTATTCCAGGTTACAAATTGGTTTAGAATCTAACAAGCTTCCCATTGTCAGGATGATTGGAGTGTCTAAAGTTATTCATCATCTTAGTACTTTTTCTTGTAAGAAATCAGAAGCTCAGTCATGTAGAGCTACTGATAGTTGGCCTGTTTTTAGAAGTACGATTTTAAAAAAATTCTCTGTAAGGCAAATAATCTACCTAAATCTCGGACCAAAGCATGTTTCAACAAAATTCCGAAATTAAATTAGACGTGAATTCTGAACATGATAGCCAGTACTAGATGTGAATGGAAATATTTAATATCATAAATTAAAACTGGTAAGGGCATATCAATTCCCACCTCTGAAGGAATAAAATCCAGGTAATACCACAGCAGTATTACTTTTTAAAATATTTGCCTCTTTCTTGATTCTTGCAGCCCAGAGCCAAAGAGACAGCTTAATTATTCCAGCTATTAGAATTTTTGCTATAAAAGGTTATTCCACAGATTACATATTACAGGCTTATGTATGGGTCCTTGAAAAAACCCCACTACAACCAAGTCAGAATTGATTTTTTAAATTGCGACTGGATCTCCCACAAGTTTCATCTGTCTGCTATATGCGAAACACAGGCTGAATTTGGATGTGATAGCAATAATAGATTTTGTTTTGTGTGCTATTTTCTTTTAGTTAGCCCTCCTTATCTACCAATTCCACTTTCTACAGCTTGAAAATGTTACAAAAAAATCCCCCAAACAAATCTTGATTTTACCGTTTTGTGTTAGGGATGCCATTTACTATGCTATTGTATACAACAAGACTTCAGTGTGAATGGATTTTTGCATCCACAGAGGAGCCATACTTTGGTGGGTAACTTGGGCCTACCATACTTTCTGGAAATGCAGTATTTGATAAATAAGTAATACAATATGTAGGAGAGCTGAGAAGATCATCTTCTAAAAGTATCTGGTTAAAAAGATACCACAGGAGGTTTGCTTTTGACTGTATAGCTTTGATATATAGTGACACACATTTAAAAAAAATAGTAGCAGGAATATTATACAGGATTGAACGTCGAAGCTATTAAGGTGCCTAGATTCTCTTCTAGTTTTCTGTTTAAAAAACATACTATGTGGAAGTGACACATTTTACTTTTATTAAGACAGATTTCCTCTGTAAAGCATTTACAGTTTTGCATTTTCAGACTATCTGCTTTATTGAAAGCAGATATAAGATACCATAATTTCCAGAGAACAATGGCCCTCTATTTGTGGAAATCAAGTGGTTAAGGACACTGTACATCACATGATATGTTTGTACGTTATATGAAACTTCAAGTAAAATCTTTAGAGCCTGTAGCTAACTTTAATCATAGGGATAAAATTTTATTTCCTTTTTTTCATGTCAGGAGTGACTTGAGAAACTGCAAGTAGCTTCTGGTGTGAGAAAATTGGCTGTCTATAAGAACACTGCCCAACGGATGGCCAGATGTCTGATGTTTTACCATCTTTGTGGGAGGCTTCTCTCATGTCCCTGCATGGGGAGCTGGAGCTGACAAAGGGAGCTCAAGCCGCTCTCCCCGGATTCGAACCACCAACCTGTTGGTCAGCAGTCCTGCTGGCACAAGAGTTTAACCCTCTGCACCATCAGGGGCTCTGTCTAGTTCAGTTACATCTGTTCTAGTTAGTATATTTAGATTTGCAGTGAAAGCAGCCCAATCAGATTACTCAGTGAGAGTATTGAGATAATTCCCTATAATAAATGTGGACTTAGTAAACCTAATTCTGAATACTGTATTTGAATACTGTAATTGAATTTTTGATGTGTTTTTAAAGAATTTATAAACTTCGTGATCTTACCATCCGTTGCATTGTTTGAATGCTTACTAGTGATTTTGTCCTTTGGTAACAACCTGTATTTGGCTGATTAATAGTAAAATTGAAAGATAATTGGAACCTGGCTTTAAAACCACTTTTTTCCAACTATAGAACAATAAAAAAACTTTCACATATTCATGCCATTATTCAACTACAGAACAATGAGAGAGCCTATCAAAGTATAATGAAAAGGAACAGAACATTTAAATAGGAAATTCTAAACTTATTCACAATATCGGCAAAAGAACGATTTAATGTTCACTTTTAAATAAATGTCAGGTATATCAACGTATAACCTACAATGCAGACTTATTAGGACTAATGCTTCATTCCACCCACAAACATACCATTTCACTTCAAGTCTTATTTAAAAAACATTCTTCCATCTATTGCAGATTTTACACTAAATGTAATTTTAAGCTAAAAGTACATGGCGTTTTGTGGAGACCTTTATAGTTATGTTCTGCAAATATGAACTTTGTAATTACAGAGATATTAACACTGAATGCACTGAAGAATACACAATCCAGATATACCATATTGGAAATAGAGAGAATACTACCTGTCTTGATGAGTCTGTTATACAATTTGAAGGGCTGAATTTCTCAAATCTCTGGTTAACACTGAACTTTGAGTAAAATTAATCATGGTTGGGGCTGATTCTAATATAAGATGTAATCATGTTTTAGGCTTTCCTGCAGTGAGGATGAAGCAGACTGTTCTATGACCTGCTCTCAATTCCCTTCCAATACTTATTAGCAGCTTTTCATCTGCACAGACCTAAAAAATCCAGCATACACCCATCTTAAGTTTCGCTTTGTAAAGATCAAACTATGTTTACTCCTTCCATTTATATCAGTCAATTCCATTTCAAATACAGGTTCAGCATCCTTTATACGGAACTCTGAAATGTTCCAAAATTGTCCACACGGGTGGCTGAAATAGTGACACCACTGCTTTCTGGCACTCCCATGTATAAAAACTTTGTTTAATGCACAAAATTATTGAAACTATTGTATAAAATTATCTTCAGGCTAGGTGTATATGAAACATATATGAATTTTGTGTTTAGACTTATGTCCCATCTCCAAGATATCACATCATATACGTATATACAAATGCAGGTATTCCATAATCTGGAAAAATCCAAAAAACTTCTGGTTCCAAGCATTTTGGATAAGGGATACTCAACCTGCATTGAGTAAAACTTTAAACATAAAAAATAGCATTTCAGATTTTTCATAATGAGTTTATCATATTTTAAATAACTCTCACATCTTCCTTCTTATCCACCAATATCAATACATTGGATCAGCAATTAATTTCCCTCCCATTCCCATGGATGTACTCACTAAGGGTCATTGGTAAATCGAGGAAGTCGTGGCTGAGGGAAACCATAAAGATGACAGTAGAGTACATCAAAGCAGTAGCAGCACATCTCAGCTGTCACCACTAGATTTTTGGTGCTGTTGGCAGTTCCATTAGGACGAGCAAGTGGGCTCAATGCTCCTGAAGTGGGATTCATTCGAGTAATTGGGGAGTTTCCAGGGCACAAAGTCAAATCTGATACATTCTCCCTTCCATTGCCCCCATCTGCATGCTGGTGGTTCTGAAGAGGACCTGAACTAGAAACTGGCACGGTTGTGGCTTGATTCCCATGGTTATGTGTTCCACTTCCAGACAATTTGGGTTTCTTTACACCACAACAGCCTGCTGCCAACTTGGGCTCAAGTGGAGGAACACAGCGTCTTTTTCCCATCCTGATTCAGCGCTTGCTGTCTGGAGCACTGTAGAACCCTGGCAAAACACACAACATGCAAAACCCATCATTATACCAAAAGAAAAGCAAGGAAATATGTAATTTGTCTACAGTAAAGAAAAATGCATCACACAATAAAACTACGCATTCCATAAGAACACTCACTAATGAGTTTATAAAACTGTCTAAAACCTAAGCAGAAAGTAGACTGACATATACAGGTACAAGATACACTGCAGTTTTTACACTGGTCCAATACACTCTATGAGTAAGAAGATATTTCACAATGAAGGTGGTGAGAGCAACATGAGCTCTAAGAACTAACTACAACCAGCAGACCCAGTACTTGTGCATATTCACATTGTGTGGCAGTACCCAAAGAGTATAGACATATTCGTTCTTTGAAAATATGGCATGAGAATACAGGCGAGTCTCAATTTACATTACACCCATTTACAGAATTTCAAATTTACATTATTTCCCCAGAAATATATAAATGCATCACCCACAATGTAAGCTCTGACAGTGGGTCTATGTTGGTTAAGTTAAATAATGCCAAAGAGGCAATGAAATGAGGGAAGTGAGATAAATTGGAATTTTAGGGGGGGGGGGGGAGATGACTGGGCTAGTTTTCTTTTACCTGCCTAGGCTGAAGTGATATGAGGGAAAGGCCACTTGAAGGAAGGGTTTTCTTTGACTTGGTTAGAAGGTGTGTCTGTGAGAGAAGGAAGAAACTGTAATCTTGGGGTTTTGGTGTGACTGGAGAGAAGGGTTTCCATTGTCTATTTAGGTGGCTAGAGCAAGTGGATAGCACTAACAATTTTAAACTTAGTAACAGTATGATATTGTAAGCATAGCTTATAACTGAAAACAGTACACATGAAAGGGATTTAGGAAACTGAATAGACCACAAGCCAAATATGATGTATGGTCTATGATGCGGCAATTTAAAAAGCCAATGGGATTCTAGGCTGCATTACTGAGAGGATTGTGTCTACATCAAGAGAAGTGACAGTCCCAATATGATATGCTTTGGTCAGACCTCACCTGGAATACTGTGTTCAGTTCTGGGCACCACAATTCAAGAAGGATATTGACAAGCTGGAGTGTCCAGCAAAGGAAAATCCAAATCGTCAAAAGTCTGGAAGCCAAGCCCTATGAGGAGTGGCTTAGGGGGCTGGGTATGTTTAGTTTGGAAAAGAGAAGGCTGAGAGGGAACACGATAACCTAATACTTGAAAGGATGTCACATTGAGAAAGGAGCAAGCTTGCTTTCTGTAGCTCGAGAAAATAGGAAATGGAACAATGGATTCAAATTGCAAGAAAAGCTTCCACTTAAACATTAGGAAGAATTTTTTGATGGTAAGAGCTGTTCAACAGTGGAATATGCTGCCTTGGAATGTGGTGGAGTCTCCATCTCTGGAGGTTTTAAAGCAAAGGCTGGATGGCCATCTGTCATGGGTGCTTTGACTGTGCTTTCCTGCACAACAGAATGGGATTGGACTTGATGGCCTTTTGGGTCTCTTCCAACTCTATGATCCTATGATTCTATCGAGGACTGTGGGAAGCGAAAAATCAGTAGGCATATTGTACAAGGTTTCCTCCCCTGTCCCAAACTCTATGAATGCACCTGATTACTGTACAAATCTGTTGCCTTTCTCCTTTTGTACCTTCTACATCTGTTGTAGAAGATACAGCAGTAAATGTGCTCTCCCTCTCTGTCCTGATGCATTTTCTACATCCTGAAATCCTATTGGAGAAGGCACAGCAGAAGAACACAGTTCTTACCAGTTGCTCTCTGTGTGCTCCTCTGAAGAGGAAGTGTCGTCTAATGGCAAACCAGCTCACCCCAGCCAATCTCCCTTGACATCAGCAGTTGCTTCTTCTTCTTCTGGTCCCTCTGGAGAGAATCTGCACATTTCTCTAGCCTGGAAAAGTGAGCCCTAACTTTAAACCTCTTATAATTCTTGTGGGTTGATTAAAATGCTAACTTTGTGTTTACTTCAGCTCTATGAGAACACATCCCCCCTTGTCTTCAATTGAACTGGCCCCCTGCATTCATATCAGTCTCAATTTACACTGCAAGTCCAGGAACGCAACACCAAAATAAATTGAGACCCGCCTATACTGCTATTGCCAGAGAACCCCAATAATAACATTTTATTTCAGTCCTTCTAAATTTTGTAAGAGATAAATTAAATAAAGATTTTTATATGCTAATATAATTTCCAAATATTGTAGTTCTTTCACAAAACACACATGATGTATGTGCAATAGGTGTAGTACTATGAAGCAGGCTCATCTTTCAAACTAATATCTTAACCTATTTATAAAATACTGATATATCCCTAGAAGTCTAAAACAGAGAACTTTTGGCAATCAAAACATCCAGATTTGACCCTCCATGAACTAAAATGCTCCTTTAATTAGAGAAAATACTAGCAGATTCTTCCAGTTTGAGAATACATGCATTAACTTTCATCAGGTACATAATCATAATCATCATCCTATCCCTCATCATCCCTCCCCCCCACCCAATCAGGACTCAAGGTAACTTACAATTTAAAACAAGAATATAGCTAATTGCTCCTACAGTCCTCAATGTCACTTCACACTGTGTTCCAGAAAGTGTGAAAAAGCACATCTTTATGGACCTGGAGACATGTAGCAGGGATTAGCAAAAAACATGTCCCCACTTCCTCCCCTCAGAGTAATCCCTGTAAGAATTCTGCTCCATACAATTCTAGATCCAAGCCATTAATCCATTGGTCTAGAAACATCATGAGAGCAAGTAGCTATACTGCCATGTCTTTTGGAGCCTCTTATCTATTATCCCATGATGCAGTTGGGAATAAAGGAGCACCACCAACATTTAAATTAAGGAATTGACTAAGGAATTGAAATAACAATGTATGGATGGCAGTGATAGTTCTAAACCTGAGATAGTTCTAAACCTAAGATTCAATATAAAATTTCTTTGTGAATGGTTATCAGTTTAATCTCAAATCATAACATTAACATGTTTTGTTTTTGTTTGATGCAGTTCTTACACTCTCCTTCTCAAAAAGAGAATGTTGAAATTAACTGTCCTTCTTGTGCAGCAAATTACATTTAGGTGTGAAAGGTGAATATACAGTGTTATACACAACTGCATCCTGATCATGTTGATGGCTGAGTTAATATGGGCTTGAATTGCCTTTTACATGCAACATAATTCAGTATATTTATTAATCAGTAGATACCAAGTATATATATCTAAAAATACTATGTGTGGATGACTACATAAAAATATCTGTGTTCTGAAAATTAACAGAAGTGAAACAAAATAGGTGTGTCTACATTGTGAGGAGTATGTTGTGGACATCAGAGAACAGAAATAGACAAACTATCAATCATAAATTTACTCTTTTTATTCAAGCATTAATCATGCAGCCTAACTGCAGTCATCCTAAATAGAAAGAAAATAGAATAGTTTTATAAGAAGAAACTATTTGTAGTTCAATGTTAACGAATACATTGCTTTAAAAATCAGTGAGTTGTATAGCTCATTTCATGTCAATATGGGATTTGTTAACTGTCGAATAACAAATGAGTAAAATATCAGTAGACAGACATGGTACATGAACTAAGTGACATTTACAATAATCAAGCTTAAGTGCTAGGGGAACAGACTAATACAATGAGAAGTCACACAGCTGGGTGAAGATGTCCCTACTGCATCAGACTGAGGCATTAACAAACAATAAATGCCAGCATTACCATCATCCCTGTTCTTGTATCTGCATTTCCCTGCTGTCCCACAAATTATCCTAAACACATTATGAATGAGCTAATACTTACTGATAGGAGTAACCTTGAATTGTCAAGGTGTGGATGGGGAGGCTATTTTATATCTGGAATGAATTTTCTTTTCTCACGGCCCATTCCTGTTCCAGTCTGTAAATATTAACAATAACAATACTTCAAAAATGCTCTATGTAGAAACATATACAAACAGAATTGAATGCACAAAAAACCCATGGTTGGAAAACAAATACATAGTAGGGAACACAACCAGCATATGATACATAAGTTATATATGAACCTGCCTTATTATATGCATTCATCTTTCAGACATTCTGCTCCTGTTACAAATGCTATTAAAAGAAAACACACTTCACCCCACTGCTAAATACAAACAGTCTTTAGTATATTGCACAAATCAGTGCCATGTTGCAAGAAAGAGTGATAGAGACAAAATGGAAAATTGATACAAGAAATAAGTGCTGTAATAAAAATCTTGTCACTACAAGTAAAGTATCTAAATGTAATTTTGTCATGTGCAAGCCTGAGAGTACAAGGATAGATTGTCAGAGAGCAAAGGGCTAACAGTAGGGAGAGAAACTACAATAAATCACAAAAATTTGGGGGACAGAAACACCAGAAATCTGAACAAGACAACTGAGAGCTAAGCGTGTTTATTCCAAAATCTGAGTCACAAAATGTTCTGTAATATTTCTTTCCTAATTAAGGTTGTAATGATACCCAGACTTAATTAGAAACACCCCGATTGATACATTGGGGCATACTGCTAAATAACAATAACAATAACAACAACAACATTTAGGCTCACAAGAGGCAACTGCAATTATAAAAGTGAACAAGGGGAAGAAGTGCTATTGAATTAATCCTGGACTGATTTGAATAACAGATATTCAGGATTGTATACGTGGCAGTCGAGAGAGGACAACTATGGAACAGAACAGTGAAATAAAGAGACCAAGCAGTTCTTCTTCATTCACAGCATTCTTCTGGCACAGAAAGCCTCCTTCCATTCTAGTTTATTTGCACAATACATCTTCAAGGAAATTTGAGCATGATGTTATTTACATATTGCCATCAAATATACATGGCGCTTTACAATAAAACAAGCAAAAAGAATGAGTCCCACCAAGGACTGAAAATCTGAAATATATGTGTGTACACATACACATGGGGGGGGGGGGGGGGGGGAGAGAAGAGAGAAAGAAATCACAACACTGTCAAAACAATCGCAAGACAAATCCTACAGATAAAATGCAAATAAACAATACAATATAAGAGAAACCAACAATACGTGTAATCAAAACATATAAGACTACAAACCAATGTCAAACTAAAACCTCCAAAGCATTGGAAAATAAAATTATTGACTGAGATTTGAAAGCAGCTTTATAACTAAAAGGAGCAGCTGCAACCATAAACATGAGCTACAGAAGCAAGTGCTATTGAACGGGAGAAGAGAAGCTTGAGAGGGGACATGACAGCCATGTTTGAATACTTAAAATGATGTCATTTTGAGGAGGGGGCAAGCTTGCTCTCTGCTGCTCTAGAGACTAGGACACGGAGCAATGGATTCAAACTACAGGAAAAGAGAATCCACATAAACATTAGGAAGAATTTCCTGAGTTAGCCTTGGGGAATATGCTGCCTACTGGCTCAAAATGTGCTGGAGTCTCCTTCTATGGAGGTTTTGAAGCAGAGGCTGGATGGCTACCGGTCATGAGGGCTTTGATATGGGTTCCTTAACAGCAGAATGGGATTGGATTGAATGGCTGTTGGGATCTCTTCCAACTCTTATGATTCTATGAATTGAACTAGTGTTACTCTGAGTAAAATACCTTTAAGGCTGCATACGTGACAGAGTTGGGCTGGGGTGGGGTGAGAGAGAACAGTGAGCAGCAAGAGAGCAAGCAATTCTTAATTCAAAACCTTCCAAGTGTAGGTTTATTTGCACCATAAATCTTCAAGGGAATTGATGCTCTATTGGTTGAACGCTAAGCTTTTAGAACTAGTTCTCTTTACCCAGAACCAACACTGCCTTGAGTGTAGGAGTTAGGCAGTAATCAGAATGAAGAAGCTACAAAGGTAAGGCAATTAACACTGAAGGAGAGGCTTCCTAAAGGTGCATCTATCTATACTGTGGAATGAATTTAGTCTGATATCACTTGTTATGGCTCAATGCTATCAGATCCTGGGAGTTGTGGTTTGGTGAGGAACCAGCACTCTTTGGCAGAGAAGAATAACAATGCTGTAAAACTACAACTAACAGGGCTTCATAGCATTGAGCCATGACAGTTAAAGTGAGGTCAAACTGCAGTATAGATACACCCTTAGACAGACTGGGCCAATGTGGCTATCCTCTCAAAGGTTTTCTAAATGGTGAAATAGACCAGTTTCTAAAACCGAGTCCTCAGGCTCAAGTTGATAGACCCAGATTCCCCAATCAAACAATTTATGTACCTCTAAATTGCGTTTCAGTAAACACACACTTCAGTACAGCAGACTCTCAAGTTAACCACCATCCATGGAAATTGGCAGATGCTGGATGAATGTAGTGTCTGGTTGCCTGAGAGTTACTAATAAAAACAGGCCTAAATAATACTGTACTTTACCATACCACAAACTTTATAGTAATAATGAAATATATTAAAAACAAATAAAGACAGTCTTAACTTAATATATTTTTTACTGGTTGCTTTAGAGTTTTGGCTAACTAAGACACTAACTGTATTCAGTTCATGTGTGTGTGTCTCATTGAATCATAGAGTTGGAAGAGACGTCGTGGGCGATCCAGTCCAACCCCATTAAGAAGCAAGACAATCATGTTCAAAGCACCTCCAACAGATGGCCATTTAAAAGCCTCCAAAGAAGGAGCCTCCACCACACTTCGGGGTAGAGAGTTCCACTGCTGAACAGCTCTCACAGTTAGGAAGTCCTTCCTAATGTTCAGGTGGAATCTCCTTTCCTGTGGTTTGAAGCCACAGCTCTCCATCCTAGTCTCCAGGACACCAGAAAACAAGCTTGCTCCATCCTCCCTATGACTTCCCCTCACATATTTATACATGGCTATCATGTCTCCTCTCAGTATTCTCTCCTGCAGGCTAAACATGCCCAGCTCTTTAAGCCTTTCCTCATAAGGATTGTTTTCCAGACCCTTGATCATTTTAATCACTCTTCTCTGGACACATTCCAGCTTGTCAACGTCTCCCTTCAATTGTGGTGCCCAGAATTGGACACAGTATTCCAGGTGTGGTCTAACCAAGGCAGAATAGAGGGGTAGCATGACTTCTCTGGTTATAGACACTTCGTATTTATGCAGCCCAAAATCCCATTGGCTTTTTTAGCTGCAGCATCACATTGTTGGCTCATGATTAACTTGTTGTCCACAAGGACTCCAAGATTTTTTTCACATGTACTGCTGTCGAGCCAGGAGTCCCCCATTGTCTCTCTCCTCTGGGTTGAAGGAGCTTGGAGAATGCCCTTTGGAACCTGGGAAGATGCACCCTTTGTCAAAAGACAGCTCCCATGATCCCGCAGCACCGAGCTATGGTAGTTAAAGCAATGGCTAATGGCATTAATTCCATCGTGTGGATGCAACTCTTTTCAAACTGTAATTCCCATGATTCCACAGTCTTGAGCTGTGGCAGTTAAAAGTGGTATCAAACTGATAGAGTAGGCATTGGCAAAATTAGGCCCTCCTGGTTTTTTGGACTTCAACCCCTACAATTCCTAACAGCCAGTAGTGCAAAACACCTGGAGGGCTGATATCTGTGTTAGACGATGACAAATAGCATTAATTCTACAGTGTGGACACAGCCCTTGTCAAACTACATCTCCCGTGATGCCATAGCCTTGAGTTGTGGCCGTTAGAGCTATATCAAAACAGAATTAATTCTACAGTTTGGATGTGCCCTGGAGAGGGCCTGGCGGAAAAGGAACGGAGAGGCGAAGAAGAAAAAAGAGGTCCAGTCAGGAAGGAAGGAAAGGTGAGGTGAGAAGGAAGGAAAGAGAGGCAAGAAGGAAGGAAGCAAGGAGATGCGAGAAAGAAGAAAGGCAGGGAGGGAGGGAGGAAAGGTGAGGTGAGAAGGAAGGGAGGAAGGAAAGGTGAGGAGGAAGAGAGGAAGGGAAGAAGGAAAGGTGAGGCAAGAAGGAAGGGAGCAAGGAAAGGTGAAAAGAAAGGGAGGGAAGAAGAAAAGTTGAGGTGAGAAGGAAGGAAGAAAAGAAAAGTGAGAAGGGAGGAAGGAAAGGTGAGGTGAGAAGGGAGGGAGGAAGGGTGAGGCAAAAAAGGAAGGAAGTGAGGGAGGGAGGAAGGAAAGGTGAGAAGGAAGGGAGGAAAGGCGAGAAGGGAGGGCGGGAGGAAGGGTGAGTCGAAAAGAAAGGAAGGTAGGGAGGGAAGAAGGGAGGGAGAGACGGTGAGGTGAGAAGGGAGGGAGGGAGGGAGGAAAGGCGAGAAGGCAGGGAGGAAGGAAAGATGAGAAGGGAGGGAGGAAGGACGGGTGAGGCAAAAAGGGAGGGAGGGAGGAAGGAAAGGTGAGGTGAGGTGAGAAGGAAGGGAGGAAAGGTGAGAAGGCAGGGAGGAAGGAAAGGTGAGGTGAGAAGGAAGGAAAGGTGAGCAGGGAAGGAGGAAGGAAAACAGGAAGAGAGGGAGCAAGGTGAGGTGAGAAGGAAGGTAGGGTGAGGGAAGAAGGATGGATGGCAGACAGGAAGGAAAGGTGAGAAGGTAGGAAGGAAAGGTGGGATGAGAAGGGAGAAAGGGAGGCAAGAAGGAAGGGAGGAAGGGCGGGGGGAAAGGTGAGGTGAGAAGGAAGGGAGGGTAGAAAGGCGAGAAGGGAGGGAGCAAGGTGAGGTGAGAAGGAAGGTAGGGTGGGGGAAGAAGGGTGGATGGCAGGAAGGAAGGAAGGAAGGAAAGGTGAGAAGGGAGGAAAGGTAAGGCAAGAAGGAAAATAGGAAGGGAAGAAAGAAAGAATGAAAGGTGAGAAGGAAGGAAGGAAGGCAAGAAGGGAGGGAGGAAGACCACACACACACTCCTAGAAAGAAGGCAGGCGTCCTCTCACCTTCTCCTCCTCCTCCTCCACCACCACCGGCCTGGCCTGGCCTGGCCTGCCGCTCCGTCAGCCCAGCCACCTCCGCCGCCCCCAGCGCCTCCGCCGCCGCTCCTGCTCTGGCCTCCCCCCCGCCGCCCGCTCTCCTGCCCGGCGCTTCATGGAGCCATGGGCCGGGGCGGGCGAGGGCCGGAGAAAGAAGGGGAGGCAGGCCAGGGGGATACCACCACCACGCCGACGTTGCTCCTTCCCCTCCTCCTCCTCCTCTTCACCCTCTGCTGCTGAGGGGAAGGAAGGCGCGAGAGCCCTGGCCTGGCTCCTCCTCCTCCTCCTCCGCGCGCGAGGCAAAGGGCACGAAGGGGGACGCGGCCGGCCCCGCGGGGACCATAGACAAGGCGACACAAGGCAGAGCGGGGCACTCGCCTCTCCGCCGGCCATAGAGCGCGCGCGCGCGTGAGGGGAAAGAAGGGCTTCCGGTTCGTGAATCGGCGGGGGAGCCGGGTCACGTGAGCCTTGCCTGGCCGCCTGTCGTTGACGCCTCCAGGCGGGGAAAGTCTCCGGGAATTTCCTGCCTCTTGGGGATACAGGGATGGAGACAGGCCCTACTCATTGAGCTATTCAGTCAATAGATCAATAATGATGATTAGGATTATAATGTTATTTATGACTCGCCTCTTCGGATGGCTTCAGATCTGGAAATATTACATATATGGATAGATAGTATAAAAATTAAAATAATATAAAATATAAAATAATATAAAAATGAAAATAAAATATAAATGAATATAAAAACGTAAAATAAAATAATATAAATATTAAAAATAAATATAATATATAAAATAAAAACAAATGTAAAATTTTATATATATATATATACTATAAATATTAAAATAAAATATTAAAAATATTATAAAAATATGAATATAAAATAAATGTAATGTAATATAAAATGTAAAATTATATAAGTGATATCCTAAAGTACTAAAATAATAATATAACATAGAAAATGTTAGAAATGCAATGGGAACAATGTATTGTCGAAGGCTTTCATGGCCAGAATCACTGGGTTGTTGTAGGTTTTTTTCGGGCTATATGGCCATGTTCTAGAGGCATTCTTTTCTGACGTTTCGCCTGCATCTATGGCAAGCATCCTCTCACCTCTGATGATTTTTTTTTTGTCGTGTCAGGAGTGACTTGAGAAACTGCAAGTTGCTTCTGGTGTGAAAGAATTGACCGTCTGCAAGGATGTTGCCCAGGGGATGCCCGGATGATTTGATGTTTCCATCATCCTTGTGGGAGGCTTCTCTCATGTCCCCGTATGAGGAGCTGGATCTGATAGAGGGAGCTCATCCGCCTCTCCCCGGATTCGAACCTGCGAACTGTCGGTCTTCAGTCCTGCCGGCACAGGGGTTTAACCCACTGCGCCACAGGATGCTTGCCATAGATGCAGGCGAAACGTCAAAAGAGAATGCCTTTAGAACATGGCCATAACCCGAAAAAACCTACAACAACCCAGCAATGGGAACAACGGGTGCATCTCTACAGTAGAGAATCAATGCAGTTTGACACCACTTTTAACTGTCATGGGTTAATGAAATGCTATGGAATTGTGGGATTTGTATTTTTAGTGAGGCCCCAGCATTATTTGGCAGAGAAGGCTATAGTTCTTCTGAAACTACAACTCCAATGATTCTACAGCATTGAGCCATACCAGTTAGAGTGTTGTCAAACTGCATTGATTCTACACTGCATTGATTTTCTAACATTTTTAATGTTATGTTTATTATATTATTTATATATTTTATATTATTTTTATTTTTTATATTTATACATTTTAAGCGGGCAATAAAAATATTATTTCTATACAGAGAAAAGTCCTTTCAGTGTTCCATGTTCACATCCCCACCTCTTTCAGGGCAAATCTACACTGTAGTTTGACCCCACTTTAACTGCCAGGGCTTAATGCTATGAAATCCTGGGAGTCACTCTAGTGAAGCATCAGCACTCTTTTGCAGAGAAGGCTGTAGACTTTGTGGAACAGCAACTCCCAGGATTTCATAGCATTGAGCCATGGCAGTTAAAGTGGGTCAAACTGCATTAATTACATGACGTTAATTCTACAAGAGGCATATACCCACTGAAGGCCTTCTCCCTATGTCACATTTTTAAAAATTATATCATACACAGAAACATACAATCTTCAAAATTCAGCAGTCAAAATACCAGTATTTTTCCCCAATCCTACTACCACCACATCTCCATCCCCCATCCCCCCCAGGAACAGTTTATTACTCTTGCTATACTTATTACAATTGTTTGATCATGAGGATAGTCTTACTTAACTCCTTAAACTTATCTTTCCCTTTTATTCTGGAAATGAGACACTTCCATTTTGCCTCCCAGGTCCTTCTGATTTGGCCCATCCTATAGTAACTTTTCCTTTCGCTAATATAATCTTGGAGTAGGTAGTTGGCTACATATTTAAACCAAGTTTTTATATCCAATTTCTTGTGGTCCTTCCAGCCTAGGGCAACTGAGGCTTTGATTGCATCCACCATGTGTTTTATTATTTCCTCCCGTTCTTTAAATTCCCCATTGCCTTCCATTTTCTGAGTGTTCCCATTGTTCCATTCAATATTTACCCCTAATAGGTCCCCCATTTCCTTCTTAATTATTTTATAGAACTTTTGTATGTTTTCGCATTTTCACCACATGTGGGTGTATGTTCCGGTTTTTCCACAATTATGCCAGCATAGTTTTGGGCACGTTCTCGTAATATGCACCAATTGCATGGGAGTTCTAAACCATTTTGTCAGTATTTTCAATTGCATTTCCTTAATCTTTAGATGTTTTATTTTATTGACTGATTTTATCCAATTGTCTATTTCTCTCTCACTGCAACTTAATTCCTCCTTCCAGACTTCAATCAGGGTAGATTTTGTGATGTATTGTATTTCCATGATTATTTTGTATATGAGTTTCCTTTCTCCTTCTCATGTTATTATTTTGTCAAGATTTATTTCTAAGGTTTCCTTACTCTTGTTAGCTTTTTAGACAGCCCTCCCCATTGTAGCCAATTTCCGTGCCTGCACTTATCATTTATTTCCTCCCATTGTGTTACAGTTCCATACAGTTTCAAGAAATCCTCAATCTTTGTTATACCCTTCTGTTCCAATTTCTTTAACATATTTTGGTATAACTGGAGTTTTCTGCTCTCTTTGGATCCTATTGGGAGCTTTTCTATTTTATTTAATGGAAGTTTATCTTGCCATCAGGAGAGAATCCTTCTGAAACATGGCCATACAGCCTGGAAAACCCACAGCAACCCAGTGATTCTGGCCACGAAAGCCTTTGACAACACAGCTGAAAGATTGATTGAAAGTGGAAATATATACACTTACCTTGAGAATGATAGTTGCAACCTTTCTTCTTAAAGGTTGAAAATTTCTGAATTTTTTAAACCTCAGATCCAATGAAATCTAATGGACTGGTTTCATAATACTGTACTCCACTTTGTATCGTATGGCTTACAATTACTCTTTATATGTTTTTGGAAAGGCCCTTTTCTTTCAAATCAGGATCCTTTTCTCTGTTGGTTGGATTTACTGCTTGAGCGCCATCATTTTGAGAAGACGCCCCACAATAGTTACTCAAACATTAATTCAGCTGAGCTTGAAGGGAGACTGAATGCAGCTGACAGAACAAATGCAATTCATGTGACTTGGGAATACAATTGACAGACCAATGTGATGAAAGTAACTGTTAACAGTATTGAATTGAGTTACAGAAATGCAACATCCATCCATACAAATATGTGTTTTTTTGTACATTAGTGGCGGATACAATGTTCGTAAAAAAAAAAAAGAACACAGAAGCTTCTGCTACAAGCCTTTGGGAGATGTGCATATGTTTACTACAACAAATGCAATTCAACTTTAAGAACAATATACTGTGAAGCAATTTATGTCATCATGTGGTGTTGGGAATCATGTAGCCCTCTGAATGTTCTTGGACTGCAGTTCCAAGCATTTCTCACAACTGGCATGTGGTTTTTAGAAATCTGTGCAATCCCCACCACGGCCTAATCCAATTGCTATTTTCAGCATCGGTAGAGCCACCAAATCATTGTTAACTTTATAAATCAACATTTAAAATACTATTGGTTTGATGTAGTTACTCTAATACAAGGGCTTCTTAAACTTTTCCACTTGGGACTCCTTTTACATGATTTTTATAAGTATGTAAAATAAAAATCAAACATTTACTGATAACAAGTCAGCATTTGCAAGGCTTTCTAAACAGGCTGATTTTCCTTTTTAAGAAGTACAGCTGAGGCATCCTTTGCAGAGTCTACTACCTCACAACATATGCATGCAAATGTCTGAAACGGTTCAGAAAACTTTTATTGTTGCCAAATTTTTGGGGACCCCAATATTGAGCTAAAGGAACCTCATCTGGGATCGGAACCCACAACTGAAGCAGTGCTCTTATACCTTTTATATTTAGGAGAAAATATTCTTATATTAAATGTATTCAAAGTATTCAGTGGTGCTTATCTCACAAAATGTCATTCTGCTTAGAAACTTTAGATTAACCTCAAAGAGACTGAGCTCAGATAAATAAGTAAGGATTGCAGACTATGTACACTTACTGTCTGGTCTCACACACTTGCAAAATATATCCCTAGATGTTGAACCGCAATTATTCATGACTGCTTAACCTTCAGCAGAATGGTTGCAAAGTACACTAACTTTCAAAAAAGAGGGGGGAAAGTCCAACTCTTTCTGTGTCACACCACTCCAAATCTGTTATTGTAATGGCCTGCAGTAGACATGATGTGGCTCAGTTGAGTGTTGACATAAACCCTGCCGTTAAACCTAGCCAGAGTGGCTTCTAGTAGACATTTGACCTGTTCAAGGATTCCTTATGGTGAAATAGCTCATTGAATTAAAAGTTTCTCCATCATTATTATTATTTTTCTTCCAACATGTTATTTTAAGAAAATAGAAGGTAGTCTATGGTAAACCTTCTGAAGAGACAGTGCCAACACCAGTTTAAAAATTCAGAAATCCTGTAATAAGAGTGAGATCCTGATAGAAACCGAATCCTACTTACTTGAAAATAATGACTGATTAAAAAAAAAAAAACAATTTTGAAGTGATGGCACAACTGTGAGGACAGAAATAGGATCCTTTGAGACTCATTGTATTTTCATAGTCCAGGGATTGAGGATGTGCGTTTCTTGAAAGGTTAGATCACAATCTCCATAATCTCCAGCATAAACTACAGTGAGGAATCATAGCAGTTGTATTCATACATTTGCGGGCCAAATATTTCTCATTTTGGGGAAGTTTCGTGGCATTTAATTTGGAAATGCAAATAAAGTTTTGGTTGTACTTTTTTGTACAATAAAATAAAAGGAAAAGTCGAATTAGAACATACTGGACTAGGATTTTGTGTATGACATTTTGTGTACTATACAGAATGGATATCTGCTACTCCTGTGCAGTGATTTAAAGATGGGCTTAAAGCCAACCTTAAAAACTGTGGCATAGACACTGAGAACTGGGAAGCCCTGGCATTAGCGCTTTAACTGGAGGTCAGCTGGGACCAGAAGTGCTGCAGAATTCAAAAAGGCGCGAAAGGGAGAAATGTGCCAAGAGGAAGGTGCATCAAATCAACCCTGACCGGGACTGCCTTCCACCTGAAAACTGATACCCTCACTGTGGAAGAACATGCAAATCAATAGGGCTCCATAGTCACGTATCCACTGCCAAGACACTACACTTGAAAGGCCACTGTACATGGACAATGAGGGATCGCCTAAATAAGTAAAGAACTATACAGGATTGAGATCTGTTACTCCTGTGCAATGTTAAGGTAAATTGGCTCTTAACCTTGATTTAAGAAGCATGGCAATTGTGTCTTTAATTCGCCTGTCCTTTTCTTTACTATCCTGAAAGAAAGCATATCCTTTACATCCTGTCTTAACAGGACATCCTTTGTGATTTCTAGTTGCAAAAATTAGACCAGCTGTCCTTATACAAAATTCTCCAAATCCTTTATTTATATTTTCAGGATGTTATATAGCACAATTGTTTGCAACACAATGAATAGCATCACATCAGCTCCAGACGTACTGTGCTGTATGACTGTATTTTGAAAACAATATCCCAGAGCACTGACACACACACACTGCACAACACTACAAATCACTTTGAAATGTATTATTTTTAAAACTAATAGCTAGAGACTTCAGAACCACAGGATTCTAAATGTAGCAGGATTGCCAGTGCAACGCACTGGTTTATGATGGCCGTTCCAGCCATTGCAATGTCAAAAGGGAGGTACAGAGACGACTAGGTGGAAGTAGTGTTGTCTTCAAAACATTCTGAACACTTAGGACAGTTTCAAAACTGATGGTTCTTGAGGTCTGTTGCAGGAATCCATTGTACAAACCTGTGGAGTTATTTCTAAAACTGTAAAATGGAAGAAGGGGGACTGTCTATTATGTTTGCATCAATGGTTCCTATTAGTAGGCACTGGCACATCAAGAGGGCTAAAGAAAATGTGACTGTGAAGAGTTTAAACAGGGACGAGCCTGAGAAAAATCTTTTGTTCCTTTGAGAGGTCAATAACAATTCCTTAAGGTCACTGGGCTCCAAGTATCAATCCACTGTTCTTCTCTGAAACTCATCTTTTTTTAAACCACAATAAAGGTCTCTAAAATAAACCCCCCAAATAAAAGAGCTGTAACACTGTTCTGTACAATGTTTGTTTCCAGAGTCCTCATTAGCTCTGGCTCTAGACCTTTTCTTTTCTCTTCAATTTGGATACTTTCTTGACAGTTCCGTTCTTGTTGAGAAGTTTCAGAACACGTTCTTTATGATCCAAGACCTTTAGCATAGATTCCCGAGCCTCGCTTATCTGATCCATTACAAGCTTACATCTCTGCATGTTCCCCTGAAAAACATGGTGTTGACATTTAAACATGTCAGGTGCACACAAATCAATATCTTTCCTAATTCCCTTCTCTCTGTTAACATTAAAAAAAACATTTAATATACTCTGCAGAGAGAGAGAAACTGCAATAGGCATTACGGAAGAAATGGACAACAAACCCCTACCTGTATCAGTTCATTTATTCGATGCAAGTCATCATCTGTTGCTGCCTTTTTCTTGGGGATGATTCCTTCTTGTAGGGTTGTGAGTCGTTCAAACACATCATGTTCCAGGTTGGTCTACAGGATATTAGGATTTTGAAAGAACAGCCCACATTTTTACATATTCATATTTCAAGCTGCATAAATTACATCTCTCTTCATTTTAAACTGCCTTCAACTGATCAAGTACTACTATTTACTGCTGGAAGAACATAGTTTTTGGCTTGAGATCCGAGTATCTTTATTCCAACTGCCATACAATGCATCCTAAATATGCTTCAAAATAATAAAGGAATTGCCCCATCACTGGATGGGAAAACATGGGTCCTAGATATGCCTCCTACAGAGCAAAACAATATCTCCCCCCAACACACAACTAATCTGTATCTGCCGAATCTCCATCCTCTTATCACTTCCACCTGGATCCAAACCATGATCATTCTATAGGTTTTGTTCACAACCTGAGGACAGCCCCTGTACTCTTAAATATGCAATGTAACCTGATTATTCCACATTAATCCTCTGGGAACGTAAAGGCTTGGGGAGCTTGGTGCTAGAATTCAAAGCACCTACCTCACCCCCACCTGAAAGAGAAGCATCCAGGAATGTGGAGCAGTGCTGCCTCCTCAAGTCAGCGGCACCATCCCAGACACTTCTTCAGACCTGCGCACCAAGGGAGGGATTTGCCAGTTTCGAACATAAACCGCATCAGCTCATGCCTGGACCAAAGCCTCCATCTATAGTAAAGCTTCAAGTTCAAATGATTTGAATCTGCCTGACTGCGACAGTTTATTTGTACTGAGGGATTTAATCCCAACAATGTGCCCACCTAGTGGCAAATCTAATATATAGAAATACACACTCGCATTTATCTATTTTCAAAAGACTTGCTGGGTCAATGTTTGTGCCAGAGTAGTTTCTCCCCCATTTTTAATGAAATCAACAGTTTTTTTCCACTTACCAGCTGTAATAACTGTGCTGCGCAAAGATGGACTTTCCACCCCTGTGCGCGGCATGACACTCCTTTCTGATTAGCTATTTCTTGTAGCATAGCCTTCTTCTCTTCTAAAACAGAAGTCAAAGATGAGAAGAAAGTGACTCATGATGTAAGGGAGGTGTTAGCATGTATAGTACTTCAGTCACCTTTTCTTTAAAATAATGAGAACACACGGATCATCCAGTAATCTACACAGAGGTGCATTAGTTATTCATCCTCTGGGTATCTGAAGTTTGATTACAGATGTTGGTGAAATGTTGAAATAGGGATTATGTGTCAAATCCGTTTTCAAAATTCCCTAAAAGCTACATTATATGATCTAAATCAGTGGTTCCCAACCCGGGGAAGGAAAGAGGCCAGTGCCGTTGCCCTCATTCTCTCACAGCTTCCCCGGCACCGTTGGAGGAGAGAGAGAGAGGAGAGGAAGAGAAGGAAAGAGACTAGCACCATTCTCGCAGCTTCTTCTGCACCATTGGAGGACAGGGAGAGAGAGAAGGAGAGTCCCCCAAAGTAATTGTAATTATAATTATAAATATTAGCTCCCATTGCTACATCAGTTGTAATGGGAAAGCAGCACTTTGTAAGACCCTGTTTAGTCCCCCTATGTAATAACAACAACAACAACAACGCCATTAGGGACAGTTTCTTGGGTCTTGCACTCTGCTTTTTGTATTTTTCAACCTCAGCTCCTTCCCTTTCTATTTTTTTTTTTTACACAAGCGTAAACAAAATCCATGAATAATGACACAGCCCAACCTAAAGAAAATGTTTCTTGGTATCTTCATTTTTAGGCCTTTTTCTGGGGTTATTTAGGGTGCTGATTCAGAAAATTGCATTAGATAAGCCACACCAGCTCTGGATTTTTAAATATGGCTTTCTATGGGCGAGCAGATGGCAACTACTGTATGGCATATCTTCTGTATCAGAAATGAGAGCTGATGTGGCCTATCCAATGCAATTTTCTGAATCAGCACTCCAAATAACCAAACCGAATCTAAAGTTGACCAAAAAAAATAAGCACTTGGGTATACCTTTTGTAAATCTTAGAAACACCATATAAATTATAATGACAGGAAGATGTACCTTTAACCCTGACATCACTGTACCGCTGGAAGTGATGATAGGCAGCTTTCCATGGGTTTCGATAGTGACGAAGTAGTGTTATGGGGGGCCGTGGACGTACAGGCACATACCTAACACCTTCTTCATCTAAGAAAGGGTTAAGAAATGGATACAAATCCTTTAAAATGCTTTAATTTGAGCTAAAAAAAATGTAATCCTATGACAGGGCCACATAGGCCAACCACACCTAGAGGGGACCAGTTTGGGAAAGGCTGAACTAAAGAGCTGATCCATTCCAACATCATTGGTAAATCTTTTTTTTTTTTTGCATTGATTTGCTGTATAAGAAACTTGAGAAACTGCAAGTCGCTTCTGTTGTGAGAGAATTGGCCATTTGCAAGGACATTGCCCAGGGGACACATGGATGTTTTACCACCCTGTGGGAGGCTTCTCTCATGACCCCACATAAGAAGTTGGAGCTGACAGACCGGAGCTCACCCCACTCCCCAGATTTGAACCGCTGATCTTTCAGTCAGCAGTGTTGCCAGCACAAGGGTTTAACCCACTGCGCCACTGGGCTTATAATGACATGAACATTGATATGGCGAAGAAGGATTACCATCTTCTGAAGAAGATGGTGGCTAACCAGAGAATAAAGTGCTTCTCAGAAAAATAATAATCACCTATATATTCTTTGGGAGGCGACTTGCGTTTTTCTGCCTTTACCAGCAAACTTTTGGTAGTAGATTTCTCATCATCAGTGCTATTGGTTTCCATCATATCTCCTTCCTCAGTAGAGATGACATGCTGCTGTTTCCGGGGTTTTTTCCTTGGGGAGGCACCAGGTGGCAAGTCACTTGGGAGCACTGAAAGATTGTTGGCCAACAATGTAAGAGATGGAGACACAGTATTCGTAGTCAGAGGAGGAACTGCTGAAAAGCAAAAAGGAGGGCATGTTTAGGAAACAGACTACGGAGATGCTCTATATAGTTCCCCTTCCAATTGATAGATGCTGTATGGTTTCTCATTTGTGTTGATTGCTTATTTATACAATACTATACTATAGAAAATTTGGTTTCTGTAGGGCTTCTCTCTCTTTCCAGAGATTGACAGTCTCCATGTCATATCATTCTTTAATATTTTTAAAAGTTTAACCTTAAACTAAGAACAAGTTGGGCTGTTTTATTATAGCAAACACACACACAACCTACAGCAAATGTCCTTTGTAAAACAAATTGAGAGTTAAATTCAGAAGCACACAATTATTTGGAGCCAGTGCAACTGCTTTCCCCATTTTGCTCTTGTTGACATGCTACTGTTGTTATTATGATTATTATTTTTATATATAACCTGTCAGAAAGATTAACAATTAAACTGGGTATTTTGATTACAAAAGAGTGAGTCAGGCACTGAAAGAATCAGTGGGCCAAAGCTATTGTCAGCCTGAGGAAAGTCAGTAGGCTGAAGCCTGTTAGAGTTAGTGGGCTAGTGTTGTTGAGAGTGTGAGGTAAACCTCTGTATGAGAGAAGCCTCATGTGAGAAAACTCTAGTGTGAAGGCTGCTGTGAGTAAAAAGCTACTGTGTGAAGCTCCAGTATAAGTTTGTTGTGAGAGGAGGTTCTGCGAGAGCACACAACCATTTGGAGACAGTGCAACTGATTTCCTCATTTTGCACTTGTTGACACACTACTGTTGTTGTTATTATGACTATTATCTTTACATATACCCTTCCTTTCTTGCTGTGGGGACTCAATGCAATCAACAACCAAATAATCTAATGACAATTTAAAACAAAGCAAATATAAAATTAAAAAAAATATTAGTGTGTGGCTAGAAAGTTAAAATACAATAAATGCTACATTTTAAATTCACCATCTCCCCAAATCGCACCCACAACCTCCCCAGCCTCCCCCTCCCCTGAAATGCCTGATAGCAAAGAAAGGTCTTAGCTGCTTGCCACTCTGGTCTCTCTTGGGAAAAGAGTTCCAAAGTCTGGGAGCTGCCACCAAAAAGGCCCTCCCAGACATTCTAAACTATGCCCATGCTACTAGACTGGGACTATCCATTTTGAAATCAAATACAATAGCATTGTAGTTTTAAAGATACATGTAGAATTAGGTAAAAATCATTTTCAAGTTATATGCTACTTTTCAGAAGATGCTCTGACTAATTTGCAAAAACAATTAAGGCACCTCCCCCTTTTGTGAACTAGTTAAGCAGAGAATTACCTGAGACTGGTCGCATGATGTCCATAGGCTCTACCTCCTCTTTGATCTTTATCTCTGGCACCACTGGGCCCAATACTGTAGAAAGGACACCACTTATTGTTGATGAAGGGGGAGGTGCCGCTACAATTGTGGCTGAAGTTGGCGGAGGAGCTGGAACTGTTCCTGGAATGGATGAAAGGGCTGTTGCAGGTTGGGAAGGTGGACTGGCTGCTGTGATGATGGTTGGAATGGCAGAAGGCGGCTGCTGAGAAGTAGGGACTGAGATAGGAGGTTGCTCGTTGCTCTGAATAGACACTGCTTCCACAGACACAGTTACTGGAGCGGCCATTGATACATGAATTTCGGGTTTAGGTTTGGCACTAGAGGCAAAACAAAAAGTCAGACAGATTTCTTATTTAAGATCTTGTAAGTAAAACCTTGTAGAAACACTGAAAGGATAATCTCAACAATCTGTTGAAAACATACCTCTCCCATAAATTAATATAAATCTATAGCTTCTTTATGTTCCACAAGTGTTACTAAGTGCCCAGCTTGTTTATTTTAACTTCTGTTGTGCTGTGGGTTGTATGGTGTATGTGTTTGTCAAATGCTTTGATACGGCCAAGGGGATAATCAATGAAACGTATTATCACAAGTGTTACTTTTTATTTTTAAGAAGTATGACAGAAAACAAAAGGTACAGCCTGTTCCAAAATCATCTAAACCAGTGTTCTCAACCTGTGGATCCCCAGACGTTTCGGCCTTCAACTTCCAGAAATCCTAACAGCTGGTAAACTGGCTGAGATTTCCGGGAGTTGTATGCCAAAATATTTGGGGACCCACAGGTTGAGAACCACTGCTCTAAACAGATGTCAACAGAAATTTCTAATTAAATTTTTCTACATTGCCTTACAAGTTAAGATTTGGGTTTACTAAACCTTTCAGACTTTTAGAAACAGGTTCTATGGCACAACTCCATCCCAAAGATGCAAGCAGTTCTCTCTGAGTAAAGCCATGTAAACAAGGCTTTGAATCAGCATGAAACATTTTAGAGGAGAAAACTTCCAAAGGGCAAACCACCTCAAATCAGGTTAAAGAAGGTTAGGAATTTTCATAGGGCTGGATTTAGAACACATTGACTGACTGCTGTGGAAAGAAATGAGAATGGGCGAAGACATTCTAACATATTGCATGGTTGGCTACTACTTTTGTTGCAAGTTTAATATTTTCTGTTGTACGTGGCTTTCTACTGCAATAAGGTTATTAGTGATTGTAGTAACTTATTTGGGAGACAGCAGTACTACCCAGAAAGTGTACAACATGTAATCGCTTGGCTAGGAGGGAATTAACAAGAACCAGCACAAAGTTGTACAACTTCACCGGTCAAGAATGCAATGTGCACATTTCAGTTAACATTTGTTTGCTCAGCACTGAACCTGTTGTGTATACTCTAACTGTCTTTACTATTTTGCTGTGCATGAAAGCTAGCAGACCGCCAAAGCCTTGGATCTTTTTTGCATCACTGTGCTGTGAGGTCTTACCCAGCTGGCCTTGGTGATCCAGACGCACTCCGCATAGAGCTCTCTACTCGAGTGCCAGCAACCTCAGGTGGCTGAGGAGGAATGAGGTTTTTCCTAATAGCCAACCTGAAAAAAAAACAAAACCCACAGACCTAAATGCCAAATAGTTAACATTTCCACATGCAAACAGAATTGATCCTGGTTTCATAAAAAGAAGGCTGGATCCAGATTTACTCCCATTAAATTTATTGATTTATTTATTGATTTTCCTTATTTATATCCAGCTTTCTCTACCCCAAAGGGGACTCAAGGCAGCTTTACATACAGGCAATTATTCAATGCCTTTTGACAACATAGTTAAAATACATTTAAGTTAAATTTAAAATTAAAGCATGTTAAAACATATAAAAACATTGCATTCACTATTAAAATCACGCCATCCACAATTGTAATCTGGGGCCATTTCAATAATCATTGCCCATATTCCTTATGAAGGGCAGGAGGGAGGGAACTGCTCTAATATCACTGGGGAGGGAGTTCCACAGCCAAGGGGCCACCACAGAGAAGGCCCTGTCTCTTGTTCCCACCAGACGCACCTGGGCCTCCCCAGAAGATCTTAATCTCAGAGGTGGTTCATAGGAGGAGATACATTCAGACAAATAAGCTGGGCCGGAACCTTTTAGGGCTTTATAGGCTAAAGCCAGCACTTTGAATTGTGCTTGGTAGCAGACTGGCAGCCAATGGAGCTGATGTAGCAGGGGGGTTGTATGCTCCCTGTATGCCGTTCCAGTGAGCAACCTGGCTGCTGTCCATTGGACTATTTGAAGCTTCCGAACCGTTTTCAAAGGCAAGCCCATATAGAGTGCATTGCAGTAGTCTATTAGGGATGTGATGAGGGCACGGTGGCCAAGTCTGACTTCTCAAGGTATGGGCGCAACTGGCACACTCCCAAGCTGCGAGCCTGTGTCATCAGGGAAAGTGTAACCCCGTTCAACACAGACTGCAATCCTATACCCTGCTCGGCCTTGTGACTGACCAGGAGTACTTCTGTCTCGTCTGGATTCAATTTCAATTTGTTCGGCCTCATCCAGAAAGTCACAGCTGCTAAGCACCGGTTCAGAATCTGAACAGCCTCCTTAGCAGTTGGTGGAAAGTAGATGACATCAAACTCCAAAACTCCAGATGATCTCTCCCAGCGGCTTCATGTAGGTGTTAAACAACATGGGGGACAGTATCGAACCCTGCGGGACCCCACAGGACAATGGCTGCAGGGCCAAGCAGGTGTCCTCCAACAACACCTTGGGGAAAGATCCTCCAGGAAGGACCAGAGCCAATGCATAACAGTATCTCCAAGCCCCATTCCCATTAGGTGCCCCAGAAGGATACAGTGGTCTATGATATCGAAGGCTGCTGAGAAGTCAAGGAGAACCAACAGGGTAATCAAAGCAATGACTTATAAAAACCAAAGATTCTAATACTGAGAATCTTTGACGTATAAAAGCCAAAGATTATCAGTATAAGCAAACATATCAAACTCCATGTATTTGAACAACTCCACGTTTCCTGTTTTCCTAGATTATTTATAACTTTTAATTATCTAATGTTTATAACCTGGGTAAAGATTGAAACATTCCAGTTTCTAGATAAAAGTTGAAGTTTTTAAAAAATGATTGAAATGTTAAATTAACTTTTACAGCGTGGTTTCCTTGGTATTTCAATCACATCTAACACTGGTGATAAGCAGTATGAAGTTGCTCATTGCACAGTGGCACACAAGTCATAAGTATTATCCCAACTGGGTTTTTACTCACCCATCTGTAGTGGGCTTCTTCCGGAGAATGCTTGGGCGAGGGGATGAACCTTGGGCTGGTGTGCTAGAACCAGAACTCTGGCTATGGGTTTGCACCACTGTAGTTGAAGCCGGGGCAGCATTGAAAGTATTGCTAATTGGATTGGCCATTATAGTAGCGCCATCTGCCAAGACCACTAGTGAGAGGAACAAGTATACAAAGTTAGCATAGGGAAGGGAAAATAAACCAAACACGGTTTCCTTTCAAAATAAAATGTCTGGATATAGTTGTTGATTCTGTGCTTCCTCTACAACAGGCCTGAACAAGTTACAATCCTCCAGGTGTTTGGGCCTCTAACTCCCAGAAGCCCTAGCTAGTTTGTCCAATTACCAGGAATTCTGAGCGCTGAAGTCCAAAACAATTGGAGGGCTGCAAGTTGTGCATAGAGTTGGAAGAGACCGAACAGGCCATTCAGTCCAGCCCACTTCTTTCTGCCATGCAGGAAAAGCACAATCAAAGCAACTCCAGCGTCTGTTTAAAAGCCTCCAAAGAAGGAGCCTCCACCATATTTATGAGGCAAGAGCTCTGGAATTCCTTTGCCTTTGAGCCCAACTGGCTCCAACACCTTTGACACCAAGACAAAACCTGTGGCATAAATGATTTTATCTAAGTTATGCATTTCTACGGGCCCCCTGGTGGCACAGTGAGTTAAACTGATGAGCTGCTGAACTTGCTGACCAAAAGGTTGGCGGTTCGAATCAAGGGAGTGGGGGTGAGCTCCCATTGTTAGCCCCAGCTTTTGCCAACCTAGCATTTCGAAAACATGCAAATGTAAGTGGATCAATAGGTACTGCTTCTGCTGGAAGGTAATGGTCCTCCGTGTAGTCATGTTGGCCACATGACCTTGGAGGTGCCTACGGACAACACTGACTCTTCAGCTTAGAAATAGAGATGAGTACCAACCCCAAGAGTTGGACACAACTAGATTGAATGTCAGGTGAAGCCTTTACCTTTAGCTATGCATTTCATATGGTTACATCAATTAAAACTGTTCTAACCAGTTTAAAGATGTCTTGTTTTTTTATACATACATACATGCATACATATAAAGACATTTCCAATTCTTTTTCCGACACACATAAGGTGCCTTACTTTTCACTGGTAATCTATTTAATACCGTTTAATCTTTTACATTCTTACTATTTTATGGTTTAGATTGATTTTGATGGTAAGCAGCCCTAAGATCTTCAGATATTGCATGGGGCAGAAATGTTTTAATGAAGAAACAAACAAACCTTGGTGACTGGGTGTTGTGTAAACACAGGGTGTTTCAAAAGGATGGATCCAATTTCAAAGTAATATATTCCACAACGTCAACATGTTACAATTACACAAAATGTTACAAAGTCTCATGAGTTATCAAATTATAAAATGTTACTAACCATTTTGAGCCAGAAACAAATCTAAAAAATAACTCTTCAAATAGAAACTATCTCATTAGGCTTATTGTTGTGGGATCACCATCTTTTGAATGACTGAGCCTAGGGGCTGCTTGTGTGCTGGGAGAAGCTTCTGTCGGTAATCATTTGAAACTCTGTGCTTCACCTTTCAAGTGGTAGAAATTTATTTCACTGGTGGTTTCAGAGATATGGCGATGTCAAATGGAGTCCATTTTAAAGTACTCCCTGTACTTTAAATACAACAAAAGAATACCTGATGCCTTGTTTTCAGTCTGTGGCTGCTGAGTGCTCAATGGTGCAGTCTGAAGACCTTGCGTGCCAATTGGTGCAGCTGGGTGGAGCCCCTGGGTCCCAATTGGTGTTGACTGTATTCCTTGTGCACTGATGGGGGCAGGCTGTATCCCCTGAGCTCCGATCGGTGCAGACTGGATGCCCTGTATATGCCGAGCATGGGACGCATCCACTGTCATGAGCTGCATGGGATTCAGATGGACAGTGGAGGCTACTCCCACTCCAGTCTGAGCTGCTATCGCTGAATTGGGAGCCTGAGCTGAAACTAGAGCAAAATGCTCAATTAGTTCAACACAAAGCAAAGTGATTTGTTATGCTCTGCTACAAAACAATATTGAATTCAGTATTTAAAACTCGATGGTTTATTTGCCCATCTGAAAATGCTAAGGTTTTAAATAAGATTCACAAGGTGGTGCATAACAAATGTGGTTCTGAATTTGTAAAACTGTATTATAAGAACCTTTGTGAGCGTTACTGCAATTATGCTGCTCAACAGAGAGAATACGTTTTGAGACACCCAACTCAAAGAAAACTTTGCTAAGTCAAAGATGGAGTTCAGTTATTATAGCTTCTTCAATTAGTTGAAATGGGATGATACTGAACTTTGGATATACATTCTCGCAATTACAAATTAAGACATTTCTTTCTCAAAGATTTTGCATCACTGATATCTCCAGTGTGGTAGTGATGTCACTGCGGCATTGGCCATCACTTCCTGCTCGTAATTTTCTACAGTAGAATAGAACCATGCTTTCTATTTTTTTAAAAAAAAATCAGCTGTTTAATGCTTCTCTAAAGCAGTCCATAAATCAGTAAACTTAAGAATTCTTACCAGGATATTGGCGGATAGTGGACACAGAGCTGGTAATAGGTGTGTAAGTGTGGGCAGCCAAGGGGTAGGAAGGCGGATATGTCGGTAAGAAGTACTGGAATTGAACAGGCACTGACTGTCTATAAGGGTGAAAATAAGTGTTAGAAACAATGTTAGAGTTATAACCACTTAAAGCACTATAGCAATGATGATTTAACTTTCCTGTACGTCAAACTGCTTTTTTGGTTTCCTTGTTCACCAAAGAAAAAATCTGGTGAAAAGCCTCTTAATTCACATCCAACACCTTATACAATATAGAATAGTGGAATCAAATGAGTAAGTAGATGAGATGACAAAATGTAATGATTTGTATATGTTCTATGTTGCTATATAGATGAATGGAATAGATAGTGATCATCAGAAATACTGGCTTATGGAGTAAGAGCAGTGTGCAGGTGCACATTACTGATTTTTTCCTGCTAGCAGTGTAAGCAACTAAAAAATGTTTTGTTGTTCCATCCAAACACAAGGGTTTTTCCTGGTCTATGTCATAATGCTTCTTTTCCAGCAGACCAAAGAAAATCCATGGGAGGTCCTTTGTTTGTTTCTCAGGATTCTTGGGAAACAAAGTGGGAAAATTGAAACAGTTCTCTGTTTTCTTCAAACATTTCTGCTGAAAGTTAGAGTGACAGATCAAAGTACATAAGCATGTTACCAATGAACTAGGATTTCTATGGTATTAGGAAAGCATTAAAAATAATTCAAAATAATACAGCAATATTGATAATTGACACTGAATGGAAACCTCCTCACTGACAAACTTCTCAGTAAGTTTGGGCATGTGTAAGTACTTTATACTTATCTACAGCATAATAATACATCCCCTTTCCCTTATTTCTGTGATTCCCCCACAACTGATTTTTGAATACAAAAGGAGTTAACACAATCCATGCTGCCATAATTTTCTGGAACTAAACTGCAGAATTCAAGGTACACTCTGTTCATAACAGGGATTGTCAATGTGCCCTGGCTACTCTGGCAGTTCCAAAACCTGCAAAGGTTTCCTAATGCATATATGCAAATGTTTATGTGTTTTAACCTTTGCTCAGGTATTTAAATATGTGCATGTTTTAATATACTGCACACTTTCATGGTTGCATTTTAATATTTGAATATATGATTTCATAGATGTATTTAACTATGTTGTACCCTGCCTCAAGCTGAAATGAGACAAAATAATAATTTAAATATATTATAATAACTTTTGTTGTTATTATATTGAGCCCCCAGTGGTGTAGCGGCTTAAACAGCTAAGCTGCCGAACTTGCTGACCAAAAGGTTGGCAGTTTGAATCCATGGAGCAGGGTGTTATCCCCAGCTTCTGACAACCTTGCCATTTAAAGACATGCAACTGTGAGAAGATCAATAGGTATCACTCAGGTGGGAAGGCTACATGACTTTGGAGGTGCCTATGGACAATGTTGGCTCTTTCGCTTAGAAATGGAGGTGAGCAGCACGACCCCAGAGTCGGACACGACTAGACTTAATTCAAGGGGGAACCTTTACCTTTACTATTATACCAAAATCAAGTGGGAGATCAAATGATTTAATTTAATGAATGCAACTATCTTTACATACAATACACAGAGCACACAGCCAAGCTTGTCTGATATAAGTAAATTTATTCACTTACCTGTTGTCATTTCTAGCTTCCATTGCAACTGGATTTGGAGATGCCCGGTGCCCAGATATAGGAATGAGATTACTTCTCTCTGCAGTGTAGTCAGACTGGATGCGAGGAGAAGTGTGAGTGATTTGCTGGGGGACCACTTTTGCTGCATAATTGGAAAAGACACTCCAGTTATTGAAATGCAGACTAAGCAAATGATACTAATCACCAAAAGAAACCTGGCATGTCAAATTCCTCTGTGTTGTTTTCACTAAACTACAGGAATTTGGATTTGAAGACTTAAATGTTTTTGAATAGGATGAAAATGTAATAAATGTATCTAAACCCATGCTATTCCCCAATTTCCTGAAAAATAAAAGGATATATTAAATGTTACAAAAAAATGAAAGCATAACCCAGAACTAGTGCTTCCTCACCAACAGGGATGTTTGAGGTGGTCACAGCAGTTGCATGGGATGAGTGTGAGGGCATCGTAACAGTGACGATTGTACTTGTAGGCGCTTGAGTATGAGATACAGAACCTGAAATAAAGAAAGATGTATGTGTGGCTTAATCTTCAATATCTGTTGCTTTCAGGTCAATAAAACGTAGACCACAAAACAGGTAAACATAAAGTCTCTCCCAAAATAAATCTTCCTCCAGTCCCAGAAACATAGTAGTCCCTGAACAAGCTCAAACTTTCCCTTCTCTTACGTGGTAACTAAGGTATTTTAAGTTTTCTATGTCAGACTACACTCTGAAATATTGTATAATTACTTATATTTATTTATTTACTGTGTTTATATACTGCATTTCTAACCCTGGGAGGCCTCAAGGTGGTTTACAATATACTAATGGCAAAAATTCAGTGCCAATGTACAGTACACAAAGAAATCATAATAACGAATTACTACATAGAACTATGAACTTAAAATCAATTAAAACCATTAAACGTAAGACATACATAAAATTTAAATATTCAGACAAAGCATAAAATAAGTGAAATCATCCGAGTAAAAACACAGTCAACAACTGAGAGACAAAGGGCTATTTAGTTTAACAAGATATATCATCCCTTAAAAAGGTTCCTAATTTTTACACAAGGATACTATACGAAGTGCTAAATACTCACCAGCTGTAGTCGATGAAGGAATGCTATTAGTTGCTAAAATAGGTGCTACTGTTGCTGCTGCCACAGGAGTGCCAGTACTAAAAATGGTTTTCTGTAGAAAAAAGTTGTATATCAATAATAATAATAGCAATAATAACACATTTTATTTGCTACTTGTTTCTCCTCATACTGCGAGGAGAGGCACAACAGTTAAAAGGCAAAGCATAAAATACATACATTAAAACACACATTCACAAGATACATGTATTAACATACGTAGTGCAATGATTAAAATCCAATACTGTATAAACAGATATATTAAAAAACAAATACAATATACATTTAAAATTTACTGTTAAAAAAAGGTTGCTTGTATGCTTCCTGCCGGTTTGACTCAATATCTTGCAGAAATGTGCCTAATCACTCAAATATGCAGACTGTAAAAGCACATGATAACAAGAGTCAAAAACATCATGGAAAAAACTCTTTGTAAGGATTCACCTGGGCCATGGTGTGCAGCTGCTGTTTTTGTGCTCCTATGGCTGGGTGAGAAGGCAAGGTGATTCTGGTGGCTGTATCCCGTGGCTGTGCAGGACGTTGAATACTGATAGGTGCAGAAGGCGGGTGCTGCTGGATTGACAAAGCTGGCCGGCTGGGAAGAGATTATTTTGCTATAAGTACATAAGAGTCAGCGACTGCTAGCAAAAACAGCTCTATGTACTGCAGTGTGGTCTCATTGATGTGTGTTATGTGAATGTATCAAGAGTAATGCAGAATTTCTCAGGTCCATTTGACATACATGACCATGACCACAACATTGAAAGGTACTTTAATCATCTATATAGAAAGCAGCTAGACAATAAAATAATAATAAAATAAAACTTTATTTATACACTGCCCTCTCTCCCCAGAGGGACTCAGGGCAGTTAAGACAAAGAGAGTTTGAGTGAGTTGTTGTGAATTTTCCAGGCTGTATGGCCATGTTCCAGAAGCATTCTCTCCTGACCTTTCACCCACATCTATGGCAGGCCTCCTCAGAGGTTGTGAGGTTTGTTGGATACTAGGTAAGTGGGTTTTATATATCTGTGGAATGACCATGGTGGGAGAAAGAACTCTTGTCTGTTTGAGGCAAGTGTGAATGATGCAATTGGCCACCTTGATTAGCATTTTAATAGCCTCAAGGCTTGGCTGCAGTATTAAAAAACTCTAAAATCAGGACAGTAAATAAAGAAGAACATTCAGAAAATGGGAATTCCAGACAAGAAACAATCAGGGTTAGCTAATCACCTCCCAACAAAGAATTCCCCCAGGCATGAAGCAGCCAAGCCTTGAAGCTGCAAGGCTATTCAATGCTAATCAAGATGATCAATTGCAACAGTCACAGTTGCCTCAAACAGACAAGAGTTGTTTCTCCCACCCTGGACATTCCACAGATATATAAACCCTACCTGCCTTGTTTCCAACAAACCTCACATCCTCTGAAGATGCCTACCATAGATGTGGGCGAAACGTCAGGAGGGAATGTTCTGGAACATGGCCACACAGCCTTGAAAACTCACAGCAACCCAGTGATTCTGGCCATGAAAGCCTTTGACAACTCAAAGAACATTTTTGTTACTCAATGCCACATATAGTGGCTTTTACCTGAGAGTAGACTCTGTAGCATGTGTTGTTGTAGTAGTAATAACAGGTGACTGAGCCCTTGTTGCCGAGACGGTTGCTACCACTGCAGGAGGGATATTACTCGATGTTGTCACAGCAGGCCGAGACTGTATAGGCAAGGAATACACAGCAACATCATTTAAACTGAGGCTTTAAACCGATTCTGCTTTTTGAGGGGAAAAACCCTGTTTAAATTATAACGATAACTGGAATGGATAAACTTTTAAAATTGGACTCCACTGAGTGAAAGATAATTATGATCACCAGGGGTAATTTCTTCCTCTGGAAGATTTTCCACTGCATATAGGACGGATATGTACATAGTAGGATTTTATTTATCTATAAAAATAAAAATGTAATGTTCATTTGTGGGATTAACATAACTCAAAAACCACTGGGCAAATTGACACCAAATTTGGACAAAATACACCAGGCCAACAAGTGACCATCACTCATAAAAACACTGAAAAGCACAGAGGAAGAGACTTAAAAAGCCAAAAAATAAAAAATACATTACAACGTATGCACATAACCACATAAATACACATATACACACACAAAACAGATAGGAGAACTGTAAAAATGTGCAAAATTTTATCTGTTCATTGTATGTATTTGGGTTATGTATGTATAAGTAAGTTTGTATCTTTAATTGCTGAAATGCTTGTGATGTGGTTTTGGTTAATTGGGTGCAGGTGGATCTAATTACTGTGGTTATAATGTGTTGCATCTGCCTGCAGCCAGCAGCAGCCTTCAGCAGCTTTCAGCGTCCCTCAGCGTTCTGCTATTGCTATAGCCTTGAGCTTTTGGAGAAGCTATGGCGTTTTGGAGTTTGGGACTCTAAATGTTTTGTTTAGGGTCTGATATCTGATGCAAGATGTTTGTTTTCTTACTTTTGATGTTTTCCACTATGAATTTATAATAAAGAAAGACTCTGCTAACAGCAACGCGTTGCAGGGGACAGCTAATATGAAAATAAATCAGAAAGCCATCAATCATGGGCAGCCTTAAGGGTTTTAAATAAAATGAGAAGCTTTTGATAAGAACAGTTCATTTGTGGTTTGCTGTTAAGTTTACTGCAGTAGAATTTGAGCTGTAAGAATTAGGCACCAAATTTTCCTGGTTATTTAACGATGTCGTAACAAACAGACACTTTTTAGTGGATTCCCATTGAAAAGGCTACAATAATGCTAACACTGCAACAACTCATCTTCAACATAAGATGAATGTCACCTGCCTGGATTGGTTGATGAATGATGTGCTGGACTGCTGGTTGTGCGGTTGCAGCATTTGGCAACTGTGAAGCTGGTCTCAGGACTGTTGTTACTTTAGAACTGGACATCACAGCAGCTGCTGCTGCACCTGTGAAAGAAATAAAAATAAAAAAACCCACTACTTTATTTTCACCCCTAAACAGCCATAATCCTACTCCTCTAGTGATAGTTTACCCTTAATCCTTACCACCCAAAAAAAAAAAAAAAAACAACTTTCTGGTTTCAAATTTTGGTTTGCACAGTGAACTGCTAGGCCTGGGCAAACTTCAGCCCTCTGGGTGTTTTGGACTACACCTCCCACAATTCCTAACAGCAAGTTTGCCCTGGCTGTGCTAGAGGGTGAGCAGTTGATGAACCATACAGCATCTGGCAGTGTAAAAGGGAGCTGAAGCTGGATCTACATATCTAATATCAAAAGTAGTATTTTCAGACTGCTGAAGACCATCACATGCCCCAGCTGAATTTTTCACCTTATATTTACAGGTAACCTGAAAAATAAAAACAACCAGGACACACACATGCCACCCCCAATAAGGCCCCTTTCACACAGTCCTACATCCCAGGATCTGATCCCAGATTATCTTCTTATCCCAGATTATCTGACAGTGAGATGCATATAATCCAGTTCAAAGCAGATAATCTGGGATCGGAATCTGGGATATAGGGCAATGTAGACCCAGCCTTAGGCTAGAGGCTGTTTGTGTACTGGAGAGGCATCTAATGGTAATCATTTTAGAAAGTCAAGGTGTAAGAGTTTCAATCATGGACCACATCAAGACTTAACTCTCAATCAGGTGGTTTGATAATAATACAATGTATAGAAATTTGTATAATGTATAACCCTCGGTGGCACAATGGGTTAAACTCTTGTGTTGGCAGGACTGCTGACCGAAAAGTCGGCAGTTCAAATCCCGGGAGTGGGGTGAGCTCCCGTCTATCAGCTCCAGCTTCTCTTGCAGGGACATAACACAGCTATACAACAGAAGGTGTAACTTAATGCTCCAGTATAGTCTTTCCTAGATAATTCAAAGAATAAAGTAAAACCTCTATTTATCAAAGCCCCAAATTTGTTCTGAAAAGATTAGCACATAATCATTATTCTCAAAAGTTTTTCAAAGCAGACAGTACCTCGAGGCAAATGGGAAGCACCAATGTGCAATGGTGGCCCAGGAGCACTACTCCGAATTATTGACATCTGAACATTGGTTGTCATGATATGGTGCACATTGCTGGGATGTCCCTGTGTGGAAGAAAAACTACATGAGAACTTTTCATATGTAACCACAAACAACACCTTAATTTTGCATTTTAGAAGATACAAATTAAATTTGGGGCAGAGTTAAGTAGAATGGTTTTTAGCCATTTCCCTTTTCTTTTCATGGCATAAAAATAGCTTAGCAAATAAACATCATACTGTATATACTTGAGTATAAGCCAACCTGAATATCACCCAAAGCACCGAATTTTACCACAAACAACTGCGAAAATGTATTGACTCAAGTATAAACCGAGGTGGGAAATGGTAAATTTTAGAATAAAATAGATACTAATAAAATTAGATTGATTGAGGCATCAGTAGGTTGAATGTTTTTGAATATTTACATATTTACTGTCCAACTCTGATTAAACCATTATTCTAACCTTCTTCAATGTAAATGTGCTTACGTATCCTCCTAATAACAATAGAGTAAAATAATAAATGTAATAATAAGAATAAGAATAATAAAGTAAATAATAAATGTAACAATAATAAAGTAAAATAATAAATGTAATAATAATAAAAAAGTAAAATAACAAATGCAATAATAATAGAGTAAAATAATAAATGTAATAATGAATAGTTTAAAATAATGTAAATGTAATAATAATAATGAATAGAGTAAAATAGTAAATGTAATACAAATCACAACAATAACAGAGTAAAATAATAATTAACTTTGACTCAAGTATAAGCCGAGAGGGGCTTTTTTAGCCTAAAAAGGGGCTGAAAAACCTGGCTTATACTTAAGTGTATATGGTGCTTAAACTGTACAGAATGCTCACCTGTTGTCCACTGATAGTTGCTACAGGAATAGCCGAAGCCTGGGGGATGCTGCTCTCCATTGTCACAGTCACCTGCCCAGGGACTTTGGTGGGACCAGAAAGAGTGGAGGGTGGAGCTGGTGCAATAGGACGGCTGGGGATTGTAGGCTTCAGGGGAGGCTGGAAAGAACATGAAGATATAACAACTTGCTCATTGCATTTTGTAGCAAAAGAAGAAAGAGGACTATTACAAGAACACACCAGTTTTCTTCTTTTGGATGGAGCATACATTCTGTATAAATACTCAGTAAATCTACATAATTAGACTGTATATATAAATAAAGTTGTAAATAAAAAGAACTTCACTGTTGGCAGTTCCCTGAAACAGTATCTCCAATATGAACACAACCCCTCATTACCTTCATAAGTCCTTCAGGAAAAGAAAGTGGCACTGCTGGAGTCAAATGAGCTGGAGGAGCTGCCACTGTGACAGGAACCCCGGGCTGCACTGGATGGTGTGGGGTCAGCATTTGCACCTGTGGATATGGCCGCACGACTACCGTTTCCTGCTTCTCTTCACGAGACTGGAGGGAGCCACCTGGGACCACGTGATCTCTTGGAGTAACTTCCAATTCTCTGTTAGGTTCATCATTTACTACTGAAAAGAGACGATATTATGTTTTGGTAAGGAAATGCCTTGATTATGTTTGATTAAGATAGACCAGTATGATATTTGATTTCAATGGGATTTATGCCCATATAACTATATTTAATAGTGCAGATTTCACAGAGAAAAACCCAGTAGCTGCCTTACCTGCTGCAGTCGGGTTTATCAATCCAGTAGATCCACCTGCGGAGATCGGAGGAGGAGCTGGTCCTAGATTTGTTGGAGGGGCTCCGGAACGAGGAAACTGCTGAGAACTCATTTCCACCTATGAACCAGACAAGTGAGTGATAAACATGTAACCATAATCTCTGTTTGTAAGGAATACCAGTCAACCGAACCTGACTTTTCTGTCCCTGCCTTATGGAATTCCTTGCCTCCCTATTTGAGAGCCATGCGTGACTCACAGAATTATAGGATGTTAAGGGTGCTTACATTTCTTTTGGCAGTAAAAGTATGATAGCTGGGACCCAACGCTACACTAGTTGCGTAACGCGGCTGTGAATTAAGAAAGGGAAGAGGTGCGCGAGACAGCGAAGCGAGTGAGAGACGCAATTGTGGCAGGATACCACTGAAGTAATTTAACTCAGGTGGGACAGGATAAGAATGAAGTAATGTAACATTTGCATACAATATCCGTATAGCCTTAAGCACTATGCCTGGCTATTTGTTGTCCCCGCCTTTCTGGTGAACTATCTTGCCAGGACTCTGTCTCACTTGTCGCGCTGTCTCACGCACGCCTTTTCCTCATTAATTCAGACCCATGTTATGCAACCAGCGTAGGGTCCCAGCTATCATACTTTTGCCCTTTTGGCTATGTTGTGTAACATCTGACAGTGGGCAGACACGTATACTATGTTCCTAAATCAGAATATTTTATTAGGCTCCATCACAGCTAAATATACAACATATTTTTCAATATTACTAATTTATTTATTTAGTGTTTATATTCCGCCCTTCTCATTCCAAAGGGGACTAAGAGCGGATCGTAGAACACATATATGGCAAACATTCAATGCAGTTATACACTGACAAGACAGACAACTGTACATAGAATACAGTTTTGGCCTTCAACTCCCAGAAATCCTAACAGCTGGTAAACTGGATGGGATTTCTGGGAGCTGTAGGCCAAAACACATGGGGACCTACAGGCTGGGAACCACTAACATAGATAGAGGTATATATCTTCTGCATCTGTGCTTGGTTCTGCCACCAGGGTGGGGGTGCTGTTGCTCCACTTTTCCCTGTGGAATAGCTTTTTTGCCCATCTCTAGCATCTCTATGCCTCGAAATTATTTCTGATCTTATTTCTGATGAACTTATCATGAACCTTCCTTAGCAAGATTTGTTCTGTGAAAGTTTGTCTTTGCCCTCTTATGAGATTCAGAGAGTGTGACTTGCACACCCCAAGTGGGTTTCCATGTCTGAGTTACATTTGAGTATCCAGAGTCACAGTCCAATGCTCAAACCACTACACCATGTTGGCTTTCATGAGTAGCTATTACTTGATGTGTTGCCAAAGAATTTCATGGCCGGAATCACTGGGTTGCTGTGAGTTTTCCAGGCTGTATGGCCATGTTCCATACATTTAGAATATTATAATGTAATACAGTATAATACTACTACTACTAATATGATATAATTATATATTTTATATTACATGTAATATTACTAATAATATTACAATATAATTGTATAGTACAATATCGTGATGTATAGTGCTGATATTGTACTGTGCTAACGGTATAATGTATTGTATGTATGTATCTATCTTGTAAGCCGCTCTGAGTCCCCTTCGGGGTGAGAAGGGCAGAATATAAATGTCGCAAATAAATAAATAAATGTTCCAGAAGCATTCTGTCCTGACGTTTCATGTACATCAATGGCAGGCATCCTCAAAGGTTGTAAGGTCTGCTGGAAACTAGGGAAGTGGGGTTTATATATCTGTGGGATGTCCAGGGTGGGAGAAAGAACTCTTGTCTGTTTGAGGCAAGAGCAAATGTAGCTATTGGCCACTTTGATTAGCATTGAATGGCCTTCAAAGCTTGGCTGGTTGCTGCCTGGGGGGATGCTTTGTCTGGAGGTGTTAACTGGCTCCAATTTATTCTTGTCTGGAATTCTCCTGTTTTCTGAGTGTTGTTCTTTATTTACTGCCCTTAGAGTTTTTTTAATACTGGTAAATCAGATTTCCTTCATTTTCATGGTTTCCTCCTTTCTGTTGCAATTGTCCACATGCTTGTGGATTTCAATGGCTTTCAGTGACATTCTGGAACATGGCCAGACAGCCCAGAAAACTCACAGCAACTCAGCGATTATTAGATTTATCTCCCCCCAAAAATACTTAAGGCAGTTAAGAAACGACAGGCGCTGCAACTGATCAGTCTCAATGGCCACATAGTCATCATTCCTATGCAAAGGAATAAATGAAATTTGGCAGCACTTTAACAGCTATGACTCAATGCTGTGGAATCCTGGGAGTTGTAGTTTGTGGCATTCTGGGAGTTGTAGTTTGGTGAGAAACGGACACTCTTTGGCAGAGAGCAAAGGAATTAATGAAATTTGGCAGCACTTTAACAGCTAAGGCTCAATGCTGTGGAATCCTGGGAGTTGTAGTTTGTGGTATTCTGGGAGTTGTAGTTTGGTGAGAAACGGACACTCTTTGGCAGAGAGCAAAGGAATTAATAAATTTTGGCACCACTTTAAGAGCTAAGGCTCAATGCTGTGGAATCCTGGGAGTTGTAGTTCGTGGCATTCTGGGAGTTGTAGTTTGTGGAATCCTGGGAGTTGTAGTTTGGTGAGAAACGGACATTCTTTGGCAGAGATGGCTAAAGACCCTGCAAAACTACAACTCCCGTGATTATGTAGCATTGAACCGTGGCAATTAAGGTGGTATCAAACTGCAATAATTCTACAATAGAGATGCACCGAAGGGCTCTTTCCACCCCCCATTCTCCATTCCAACACAGCCGGAACTCCCAACGATCGTGGGGAGCCTCTACACTGAATAATTAATGCGGTTTGGCCCCGTCTGAGCTGCCACGGCTCGGTGCAGAGAAGGCTAAAGACCCCCATCATTCCGAGGCACTAAATCAGGGCAGCTCAAGTGTTGCCGAACTGCATTAACTGGACAGTGCAGACGCCCCTCTTGCTGATCCCGCTAATCCCACCTTCGTTGCCCAGGATCAGCTGCTGTCCTCACATTTCGGCCCCGTCTAACTTTCTTCTTCGGCGGCAGCTGCGATCAGGAGGCTTTGGGTGCCAAATCCGGCCGCAAGAACGAAGGCATCGAGCAGGGGCGTCTCCGGAGCTCTGGATCTCGGCGCAAGCCCCGCCCATTCGAGCCTATGCTAGCCCGGCCCCCACTCCCGCCGCGACCAATGGGAAGCAAGCCTCTCCTCCCGCCTAGCCAATCCAGCGCAGGGGCGAACACAGCCTACCAAGCAACAGGCCCCGCCCACGGGCCAATGTGTAAACCCCGCCCCTCCTCCAATGGCAAGTCGACTTCTCCCTACATCTGGCCAATCCAACACAGAATGGAGAAGACCCTCCCAGCCAATGAGGAAGCCTGTAAACAGCCAATGAGGAGGCGGGCGATGGCTAGTTGTCCCGCCTCCCTTCTCCTCCCTGATCACTATGTGAAACAGACGCGCAAGACCGGGGACCCGGATGTTGGGCGCGGATAAAAAAGCGACCGCGAACGCACTCTGAAGCAATCGAGGCCTCGAAGAAGAGATGCGCGCTACTCCGGCTTGTCTTCTCCAGCGTTGGCTGGCAAGCGCGGGCGCCTCTCTACGGAGCCCTGCCTCCGAAGCGCCTCCCTCCCCGGCCAGTTACCTGCAGCCGGAGTTGCGGCGGAATCTCCCTCACGAAAGCCCCCAGCGCCGCTTTCGGGGCTGACACCGCGCGGGGGCTCAGTCCGGGAGTGTTGCTTCCGCTGCCGCAGCGACGCACCCCTCCCCGCTTCTCGCTGATTGGCTCCCAGCTAGTTCCGCCCACTGTGGCGGGAGGCCGCGATTGGTCAGAACGCTGGTCGCGAAGGGACTCCTGGGAGTTGGAGTTCGAGATCTGAGCCTGGATTAGGTTGATGTCGCGAGACGCTAGTTGGAGCAGAAAGAGTGCTATTGGTCCCTCGGAAGGAGGCGGGACACTTGTGTGTTCTCTCCACCTACCGAGGCTCTGATTGGTTGGCTTCTTTGTGAATGGCTTTGGAGGGAGAAGCAGTTTCTCTGCTTCATATAGAGATGGCGGGAAAACAGACTGGGAGCAGTAAGAGTCTTGATTTATTTCCAGCATTTCTACCCCATCCTTCTCAACCCGCGAAAGGGGACTCAGGGCGGCTTACATTTGGCACAGTTTGATGCCATTAAATATCTAATCAGATCTAATGTGCCAAATAGTCACTGTTGTATGTTTTTATGTTGAATGTTTTTATATTGTGTATTAAATTATATTTTAAATTGTAAGTCGCTCGGAGCACCTTGGTGGAGAGCAACTAATTAAGAAATAAAGTGAAGTGAAGTCAATATAACAAGAATTAAAACAATAAATAGGATTTTAATTAAAACAATAAAAACAGTATTAACCGCTGTATCACCATTCCAGTCATATTCCACATCCAAAGCGCTATTTATCCCTGCTGTCCAAAAGCTTGGTCCCAGAACCACGACTTCAATTTCTTCCTAAAAGACAGGAGGGTTGAAACTGATCTCGTTGGGAAGTGAGTTCCACAGGTGGGGGGTTACAGCCAAGAAGTCCCTGTCTCTCTTCCCCACCAGATGTATTTGCAACACTGGCGGGAGCAAGAGCAGGGTCTCCCCTAAGATCTTAAACTGCAAGGCGGGACGTCGCGGGAGATGCATTCAGACAAGTAATTGTTGTAGCATATAGGAAAGATAATATCAAGAGAAATCCTTTCTGGAGAAAGAAAAGTACGGCTTTATTTCCAACTGGGACCCTGGAGTGGAGCTGTGTCCAAAAGCAACCAGAATGCCCGATAAAGGCGTTGACTGTGTCTTTTATACTTCTACAAATGCAGGCAACCAAAGAAACATGCTTCTACATACATTGACATTTACTACGCCACTTTAGCATCGCAGAAATATCAAATTCTATTTTCCAACATGCGAAAGGCATGTCTCTGTATTTCTTTCTAAAGAGCAGCATACAGCTTACATCCATCAATCAAGGGGCCTACTTTGACCTGTCAGGAGAGAGATAGGCTCCTTACTTAGAAGTTAGATGCTATATTGTACCAGTCTCTGTATAGACAACATGCCCCCCTTCCAGGAATGTTCACCTCCCTCTTGCTGTGCCTGGACAACAGCTTGGCATGTCCTGTCAGCTTGGGTTTCTGATACAGAGAGAACTTGATTTTTTCTTAACTTTCAATGCTTGTAATGTACATACAATATATGCATAAATAAATATCTATTTTTCCAATATCTCTCCATCATAAGCTGGGCCAGAACCGTATAGAGTAATAATAATAATACTTTATTTGTACCCCGCCACCATCTCACCAAGGAGACTCAGAGCGGCTTACATGAGGCCAAGCCCAGCAATACAATACATCAGTATAACAGAACACAGCAGTAAATTGTAAAAATAAAAATACAATATAAAACCTATTATAAATAACACATTAACAATATAACACATCAACAGGCGGCAAATGTCTCTTCCCTGCCTTGAGTCGCCCACAGGCTGAGAAAGGCGGTATACAAATATAGTAAATAAATCAAATCATGATGTTTAAAACACAGAAGTCAAAAACTATGAGCAGGGCCAATTGTAATGGAATTAAAAAATTAAAATACTGTTTGAGACAGCAATGTAACATATCTGGATAGGAGAACTGTAGAATTAAAGCGGTTTGATGCCACTTTAACAGCTGTGGCTCAATGCTATGGAATCCTGGGATTTGTAGTTTGATGTAGCGCCAGCACTTTTTGGCAGAAAAGGCTAAAGACCTTGTAAACCGTGTGTGAGGCACTCAAACTTGTTGCGTGACAGGAAAGACCTTTATTTATTTATGTCACCAAAACTGTAAAAAGGTCAGGAAGGGTCCGGCTACCAGCCTGTGCAAAGATGCCACCATAGAATAATAATAATAATAATAAACACCTTTTTTGTTTTCTTAAGTTGGAGGTGAGAAATTGAGAGAGACTTTGCTTAAAAAGAAATAGTAACTTTGTTTATTTGTATCGTTCTTATGACAAAAGCGTGCCGATTTCAAAAGTATAAATGCTTATTGGTTACAAAACAAAGTTTCAGCATGACTTTCCTTTAAGCCTTTTCTCTTTCCCAAAAGGACTTTTATATAAACACAGGAAAACTGATTTCTAACTATCTTTAACCTGACATAAAGATCCTAACCACTTGGTCCTTTAAAACCTCTCTACTGTCATTAGTTTCTTGCTATCAGTCAACCACTTTAGCTTTCCCCTAGCTAATTTTCCAGCTGCTTTCAGCTAACTACCAGCTCACTGACTAACCTACTTCACTGACTCCAGCCAACTCACCAACTGACCCTTTTCAAACCAACATTCTTTTTTCCAATGACACTTGGCTCCTCCCCTTTGTCTTCTTCCTAGGGAGCTGTGTTGCTATGGCAACGTCCTAACTCAAGCCATCAATCAGCTGACAATAATAAACATACCAAAAACCTACATTTTAATTATACATTTCATTACACTATGACTTCCAAGATTCCATAGCATTGAGCCATCACAGGTTTGTGTGTGTGTGTGTGTGTGTGTGTGTCAGGAGCGACTTGAAAAACTGCAAGTCGCTTCTGGTGTGAGAGAATTGGCCATCGGCAAGGATGTTACCCAGGGGATGCCCAGATGTTTTACCATCCTTATGGGATGCTTCTCTCAAGTCCCCACATGGGGAGCTGGAGCTGACAAAGGGAACTCATCCACACTCTCCAGATTCAAATCTCTGACTTGTCAGTCTTTAATTCTGCTGGCACAAGGGTTTAACCCATTGCGCCAAATGGGAGTTTCCAGCCATCAGTGTCAAACTGCATTAATTTTACAGTGTAGATGCACCCAAAGTGTACATAATGGCATTGCGCAATCTGCTTACTTTCCTATATTCCAAACACTTTTTTAAATGAAGAAAACCCCAAAATATGTTTATTAGCATGTCTTGTTAATGAAAATATTCGCAGGGGGCATCTACACTATAGAATTAATGCAGTTTGACACCACCAGAGTTCAATGCTATAGAATCCTAGGAGTTGTAGTTTTATAGGGCCTTTAGTTTTCTGCCAGAGTAGTAGGGAGACAACAAATTACAACTTCCATTATTCCATATCATGAAACCATGACACAGTAGTGCCAAACTGGGTTCGTTTTATAGTGTAGCTGTAAACCTGTGTTGCTCTTGTTCTACTTCCTATTGCCAGTTATCCCTCAAAATAACCTTCTGTGCTACACACTCCTCTGTTTTTCAGAAGTATTGCTTCTATGGATTATAAATAGGGTCTACAAAAATAACGTAGAGGAGAACATACAGCGGGCTTTCCAGGTCCATAGATTAAATTCTCCGCATCTTGGAAACATTTTTTTAAAACCCAACTTTGATTTCACCATTTTACAGTTTACTCTCTGTATCAATGGATTATGTGTCCATAGCCTCAATCATTCACAGCTTGTGTATATAATCCCAAAATTAAAACCTTGATTTTTGCCATTTTATATAAGGAATTGCCCCAGTTCATTACACCATCGAACATCGGACTTGAGCATCCCTGGATATTTGGAACCCAACCCCAACAGATGCCCACAGTATCATAAAATTGAGTACTGAGTGTTGGTCATCCTTGGTATGTTAAATGCAAGGCCCAGGCTTTTACAGTTTCCAGTGTATCAAAAGTAAAGGTAAAGGTTTCCGCTTTAAGTCTAGTGATGTCTGACTTGGGGGTTGGTGCTCATTTCCATTTCTAGGCCAAACAGCCAGCGTTGTCTGTAGATCATGTGGCCAGCATGACTGTACGGAGCGCCATTACCTTTCTGCAGAAGCAGTACCTATTGATCTCACATTTGCATGTTTTTAAACTGCTAGGTTGGCAGAAGCTGAGGCGAACAGCAGGAGTTCACCCTGCTCCCCGGATTCAAACCGCTGACCTTTTGGTCAGCAAGTTCTGCAGATCAGTGGTTTAACCTGCTGTGCCACTGGGGCCTCCATAATATAGCAAAAAGAGCCCATATTTCCTTCACTGCTTCTTGCATTGCAACACTAGTGTGTTCCCAGACCAGAACTAGGGAGGAAGACAGCAGATGCAAGTCCCTGCTCAGCCACAAAACTCACTGGACAAATCTTGGAAGGAAAGCAAAGGTGCAATGTTATTTATTCGTTCAGTTGTTTCCGACTCTTCGTGACCTCATGGACCAGCCCACGTCAGAACTCTCTGTCGGCCGTCACCACCCCCAGCTCCTTCAAGGTCAATCCAGTCACTTCAAGATGCCATCATCCATCTTGCCCTTGGTCGGCCCCTCTTCCCTTTTCTTTCCATTTTCCCCAGCACCATTGTCTTCCCTAAGCTTTCCTTTCTTTTCATGATGTAGCCAAAGTACTTCATCTTGGTCTCTAACGTCCTTCCCTCCAATGAGCAGTCGGGCACCTCACTACCTCTGAGGATGCTTGCCATAGATGCAGGCGAAACATCAGGAAAGAATGCCTCTAGACCATGGCCATACAGCCCGAAAAAACCTACAACCCAGTCAGGCTTTATTTCCTGAAGAATGGACTGGTTGGATCTTCTCGCAGTCCAAGGCACTCTCAGAATTTTCCTCCAACACCACAGTTCAAAAGCATCTATCTTCCTTCGCTCAGCCTTCCTTATGGTCCAACTTCCACATCCATAGGTTACTAGCGGGGGAATACCATTGCTTTAACTATGCAGATCTTCGTTGCCAGTGTGTTGTCTCTACTCTTCACTATTTTAACAAAATTGAAAGTTGGGATACCACCACAATTGCATCGCATTCTTGATTCTAGAACGGAGGCCTCCTCTACTCTGCCATTCAAAATCCAGATGATCTGCTTTGAACTGGATTATATGGAAGCATAGACTCATATACTCCAGTGCTATGTGGATTATTTACTTTGATAATCTGGATTATCTGGGAGTGTAGAAAAGGGCAAAGGAAGAATGTGCAAAGAAGAACGTGGTGGTGAACCCAAACAACAACAAAACACATTTTCCTGCTATGGGTACAGACCAGGCATGGGCAAACCTCGGCCCTCCGGGTGTTTTGGACTTCAACTCCCACAATTCCTAACAGCCTACCGGCTGTTAGGAATTGTGGGAGTTGAAGTCCAAAACACCCGGAGGGCCGAGGTTTGCCCATGCCTGAGATGGACCCTTCCTTAGCTTGCTTTTCCCCTTCAGCCTCATTTGCCTGGAACAGCTCCTTTCAGGGACCACCCAGCCAGAGGTTGAGGGCATGTTTGCATATTTGCCCTCAACCAAGATGGCGGATCCAGCCTCCCAGTTTGTCCTCTCCATAGAGAACGTCGTTGTCCCTTTGCCGGGCGCCCTTCTTCCTGGTAGCCGGCAAGGAGCCGGAACCGGAAGAGAGCTGTCAGGAAACTGAAGGAGCCGCGGCAGTTGAAGCAGGAAAGGAGTGTGGCGGTCGCTCACAGGCGCAAGGAGCCGGAGCCCCGCAGCCGCTCCAGGAGGAGACCCGACGGCGCCGGGGAAGCGGAGGGAAGCCGTCCCGGAAGGAAGGAGGCAGCAGCGGTGAGTGGGCCCTCCGCGGGAGCCCCGCCATGTTTCAATTCTGTGGAATCATGGGAGCTGTAGTTTGGCCAGGCAGGATTGTATCAGCAGCACTCTGGCAGAGGAGCCTCCAGATCCTCGAAACGACCAATGGCGTAGGAGTGAGCAAGAGCAGTGAAAGTGGTGTCAAGCTGCATTACTTTTACAGTGTGGATATGCACCCAAAAGCAGGGATTTTGAGAGGATTCGGATAGGCTGCAACCACACTCGAATTATTGTAACTTGACACTACTTTTGACTGCCATGGCTCACCTCTATGTTATGCGAGGAATTTGTAGTTTGACAATATCTTTAGCTTTCCTTGCCAAAGAGTGTGGGAGCCTCACCAAACTACAACTCCCATGACTCCATAATAATAAGTCATTAGAACCAATGCTATCAAAGCCAGAATTGAAAAGTCAAGGACAGATCCCAGATGTAAACTCTACAAGGAAGCAGATGAAACAATAGATCACATCCTCGGCTGCTGCAAGAAGATTGCGCAGACAGACTACAAGCAGAGGCATAACACCTTTGTTCAGATGATTCGCCTGAGTTGCCTGTGGGCTGATATGGGCGGGATATAAATAATGTAAATAAATAAATGTAAATTCATTGGAACTTGTGCCACAAATACCATCTGCCTGTGAGAAAGAACTGGTGAGATCACAAGCCGGAAAAAGTTACAGAAAATGAACACGTCAAGCTACTCTGAGACTTCCGGATTCAGACAGACAGACAGTTGTGGAGCACAGTACTCCTGACCTCACAATCGTGTTAAAAAACAAAGTATGGATTCTCAATTTTGCAATCCCAGGTGACAGCAGGATTGAAGAGAAACAACTGGAAAAGCTGACACGATACGAGGATTTAAAGATCGAACTGCAAAGACTCTGGCACAAGCCAGTAAAGGTGATCCCAGTGGTGATCGGCACACTGGGTGCAGTGCCTTGGCTTGCACTTAAACACAATCGGCATTGACAAAATTATCATCTGCCAGTTGCAGAAGGCCACCTTACTGGGATCTGCACGCATTAGTCGCCGATACATCACACAGTCCTAGACACTTGGGAAGTGTCTGACGTGTGATCCAATACAACAGCCAGAAGAGTGATCTTGTCTGCTGTGGACTCATCTTGTTGTGTTTCAAATAATAATAGTAATAATATAATGACGAGAAGCAACTGGAAAAGCTGACACCATATGAGGATTTAAAGATAGGACTCTGGAACATTGTATTGTCGAAGGCTTTCATGGCCGGAATCACTGGGTTGTTGTAGGTTTTTTCGGGCTATATGGCCATGTTCTAGAGGCAGGCGAAATGTCAGGAGAGAATGCCTCTAGAACATGGCTGTATAGCCCGAAAAAACCGACAACAACTCTGGAACAAGCCAGTAAAGGTAGTCCCAGTGGTGATCGGTACACTGGGTATAGTACCAAAACAATCGTTGCTGTACTTAAAAACAATCGGTGCTGACAAAATCACCACCTGTCAGCTGCAAAAGGTCACCCTACTCGGATCTTCACGCATTATTTGCCAATTCATCACGTAGTCCTAGACCAGTGGTTCTCCAGATGTTTTGGCCTTCAACTTTCAGAAATCCTAACACCTGGTAAACTAGCTGGAATTTCTGGGAGTTGAAGGCCAAAACACAAGTAGAGAACCACTGTCCTAGAGTTTCTGCTCATATATGAAAGAGAAGGGGAGCAATTTTAACTAGTTCTAGTGGTGTCTTTATTTCCTCAGGTGTTTACAACTTCTTGCAAAAATTTGGATTTAGAGCCCTCTACATAGGCAGTGTATGCTTCTGTGTGAACTGAAATAAACTCATTATGACAAAAGATCTTCACTTTTATTTCAGACATTCATTTTTTACTATGGGAACTCTAAGAATACTTATTGGACTATGGATGAGCTTCTCCTTTGTGAAAGCAGATTCAAAAGCAGTTACCTCATCCTTGACTACCAAATGGTTCTCCACGCCATTATTGCTTGAAGCAAGGTAAGAATATTGTCTAACCAGCTTTTCTCAAGGCACTTTAGATATTTCATTGTCAGAATTTATTTTTGTGCGATGGAACAAAGCAGAAGCATCCTCAATTTTGAAAGCAAAACATCAAAATCTATGAAGGTGGAAGTTCCTGTAGGCAGATATGTCAAATGTTTCTTGATCAGTTTCAGCTGATAGTTTCATTTGTTTTCTAAGACATTTTCAGTATCCTCTGATCTGGGGCAGATAAAAACAGCACGAAGTAGATTTTGGAATGGGAAAGTCTAATTAATCAATCAGGGCCATGGTTGATTAAAAGGGAAGTCTAAAACTTCTCTCAACCACAATCTTTGCTTAAAAAAAGATTTCCACAGGCATTTCCCACATCTGATGCCCTGTTAAACTTTTGCAGCTTGTAGGCAGCAATCCAGTGGAAACTGATCCATCCAGTTTTTCTCTAAATTCCACCAAAACGTTGTTTTCTTGACACAGGGATGGCTGATGTCTCTCATTCTTCTATGGTAGCAAAAACATTAGATTTTTCTGAAATCTATGTTTGGTAGGTGAGATTGGAGTTCTGCACTGGTTGCTGTCTACTGGTGGGAAGTAGAGGGAAAGTACTACGGTCCCATCCCACCTGCTTTAGATAAATCATCCTATTAATTCACACAACGATTTTGTTGATTAGACTAATATTCTGAGTATTACATATTTATTGTTAAGGAATAGTGATTTATTAAGATTTACCAGTGTATTTAGGGTTAGTACTCCAGGAGCCCCCGGTGACGCAGTGGGTTAAAGCGCTGAGCTGCTGAGCTTGTTGACCGAAAGGTCGCAGGTTCGAATCTGGGGAGCGGCGTGAGCTTCCGCTGTCAGCCCCAGCTTCTTCCAACCTAGCAGTTCCAACCTAGCAGTTCGAAAACATGCAAATGTGAGTAGATCAATAGGTGCCGCTCAAGCAGGAAGGTAAAGGCGCTCTGTGCAGTCATGGCGCTCTGTGCAGTCCGTAGACATGGAGATGTCTACGGACAACGCCGGCTCTTCGGTTTAGAAATGGAGAAGAGCACCACACCCTAGAGTTGGACACATGTGGACTTCATGTCAGGGGAAAACCTTTACCTTTACCTCACTCCAATAGTACAGCTGGTCAAACTGCTGAGCTGCTGAACTTGCTGACTGAAAGGTCAGCAGTTCAGATCTGGGGAGCAGGGTGAGCTCCCGCTGTTAGCCCCAGCTTCTGCCAACCTAGCAGTTTGATACTGCTCCAGTGAGAAGGTAATGGTGCTCCATGCAGTCATTCTGGCCACATACTCTTGGAGGTGTCTCTGGACAACCCTGGCTCTTTGGCTTTGAAATTGAGATGAGCACCAGCCCCCAGAGTCAGACATGACTAGACTTAATGTCAAGGGGATAGCTTTACCTTTACCTACCTGTGTATTTATAGTTGATTGAAATTAGAAAAACAGGAAATTCAGAGACACTGTTTCTTATGTCAACCACTCTACAGCAAAGTATTTTAAATTAATATTAATATAATATTTCCCCACTGTCTTTCTTTAGTGAATTTTTAGCAGAGGAAAGCCAAGAGAAATTCTGGAACTTTGTTGAGACCTGCCAAGACTTTGGATCATCTAATCATGGTGATAATTACTTTTCTTTGTTTCTTAGCTCCAGAGATTTGTGCTGAATGTTGAGATTAGTTGTAAACATTATTCAGTATAGTGATAAACATGAATTGTTTTTTTTTCTGGGTTTGTTTCTAGTATAATATTGGAAACAAGAACTGCTAACACTTTTTAATATTCTGTACTCACCCATATTAATTATGGGATCTCAGTGCATTCAGGGCCTGAAATATAATTTGGATTGATCTTGTGACTCCATTCCATCTGTGGATAGGGATGGAGGCATGGGGCTGGGCCAGAGTTTTGAGGCCGGATGCAATATGTATCAGTTTGAATTTTTCCCTAGCAATCATACAAAGCACAGCTGAGCTCTATCCTTGTCTACTTTATCTTGGGGACCAGGCCAACATTTTTCTTAGCATAGCTCTGTTGTGTACCTTAATACCCTCTAATTTCTGGTTGCCTATTGGAGATAACAGGAAAAGAAACTCAGTGCCTGTTGAAACATCTGCATGCCACATCTGGCTAGCAGACACAAGGTTCTCCATCCCTGTATTATAAGATACACAATGGTAATCAATTGGGCCTAATTCAAATACGGTGTATAATATGGTACTGAATAAGCCAACTAGAACCCATTTATTGAGTATTGTGTACTGCTGGAGATTCCATAAACCCTCTGTGTTACTGCCCATTGAGAACTGCAGAAACAGGGAGTTGCACAGCTCTTGAAGGCCATGCCAAGTTAGCTTTCTGAGTCTGAGTCTGCTTGGGATGCCACCTTGTTTCTTCTCATATGGTGCACTGCAGCATTAACCAGTTTGACACCACTTTAACTGCCATGGCTCAATGCTATGGAATCATGGGACTTATAGTTTTACAAGGTCCTTTCACTTCTTTACCAGGATGCATTAAATCCTAGCATTCTGTAGCATTGAGCCACGACAGTTAAAGTGGTATCAGACTGCATTAATTTTATGGTGTAGTTACACCCATTACATTTGTACCTGCTTTTTGAATAATTTCCAGCTGTTTTTCTGGACTCATGTCTATATATGGGAATACTGTATCTATTTTTTCTGTTTGTTTATTTATCTAGGTCCTAGGACAGTGTTTTATTAGTTTGGATATTTATTTTTTTATGTGTGGTAGGTAGTGTAAAGATGTCAGATATCAAGGTAAGATTCTGATAGGTTTCCTCGCATTTCATATAGTTGAAGATTATTTGGACAATTGTACAAAATGAATAACTGACTGGATAGCATTGCAGCAGAATGACTAAAACATGGAGGTGTTTGCTTATGTAACACATTGATTAAAGTTCATCAGCCAAAGACTAATAATTTGCACATATATTTTAGGAGTAGCACATTGTAGTTCCAAGAAGCATGCCATTAATGCTTAGATAATAATGCCAAACTGCTGAATGATCAAACAGTTTGTTAAAATATTACAGGTTAACATGGTTTCCTTGCAAAAAGATGTTCCCCAAACAAAAAGAGCTCTCTGAATAGAGCTTAAAAGTGCTTACATGCACGACTATTGTAGAAATAACTGCCATGTTGTCTCTATGGCTTGACAGATACTGATTATTCCTCTTACAATGCGATACTGCAAGCAGCTTCTCAGCATCTTTCGCCTTTGCAGCAGAACTTGTTGAAATTTGCCTTGTCCTTACGTTCTTATTCAGCAACAGTTCAAGCCTTTCAGCAGGTTAGTACAACATTTTGGGGGCATTTCTAATACTTGTGAATGATACCAATGGTGATAATGTAGAAGGAAGTGACAACTGCCCTGTCTCCTTGAACTGGAAACCACACCTTCCACTTGACACTTCAGTTTCGTAGACAGTAATTAAATCTCCACCTTATATTGGTATATGTGATAATGCGGCTGGATATTGCTAAAGTATTATTGATCTCTTGCCATCCATCTATTCCGAACTTCCTGATTGTTTGCCAATTCAGAAACTACTCAGGCTGACCATTCCCAGGCTGATCATTCAGCACTTACTCAGGCTGATCATTCCCAGGGACTTACTGAATGTAATAAGGTGAATTGGGACCAAATTTAAGGTCCCAGGATTCCACAGCACTGAGCCATGGCATTTAAGGTAGTGACAAACTGCATTAATTCAGCAGTGCAGATGTACCCTTGTCTTATGTTTTGTTTACCTGTAAACTGGAATTAGTAATTAACAAGTGTTAACTAAGGTTACTACAAGATCATTCCACTGTTTGCTGTTTATTCAAAGACAAATGAAGCAAATAAATAATAATAAATAATAAATATTGTTGTTTTATGTTAGGTTTCATATGTATGTGAGGCATTAAATTTTGTCATAAATATGTTGTAAACTGCTTTGAGTCCCCCTGTGCCCCCCCCCCCCGGGGGGGGGGGGGCAAGAAAAGCAGTATAGAAGAGAAGTAAAGAATAAGTAAATAAATAAATAAGCTTCTTTGGTTGACTAACTTGGAGAACTTTTTTATTTGGCATGTTAGGGATCCTTTGAAGGACCTCTAAGGAAATAATTTGTCTCTTTACTGGTGTCTAATAAGTTGGAAGGAGGAAGTTGTGCTAAGGCCCATGGTTCATTATCTCTGCTGTTGTTGCTTTTATGTTTCAAATGTTATTACACAGATTAATCCATTAGCAGCAAAATATCCTGTTGCTATGATTAAAATGTGGTTTGTTTTCCCTTAATGGGGGTTGTAATCATATTATAACTGATACATTTTAACACAGATAGCAGCTGATGAGCCCCCACCAGAGGGATGTAATTCATTCTTTGTTGTCCATGGAGAGAAGACTTGTGAATCTGATAAACTTGGAGTTCTTCTACAGACAGCTTCAGAAAGGTAATTTTATTTTGAACCAAACCTTAGGCATTTTAAGCATGCAGTCGGCACCTGACATGCACAGGTTTAAATTATGTGGATTTATAATTATTTGTAAATTTCTAGATTCTGTTTCATGGGCTCTATCTCTTCACCTCTTTAGTGCTCCTTTGCCCTTCCTTCATTGCTTTGTGGTGGGAAAGTGGAGAAAGGAGAGATAAAGGAAGAGTATTTAAAATCTGGATAGGCATCATTATGGGATGGTAGGAAAGGGAATGAGGAGCTGTTGGCAGGACAGTGCTGAAAAGGTGGAGGGTCAGCAAATGCTGGAAAGATAGAGGGTCATCAGATGGAGTAGGGCAAAGAGGTGGATTGGAGGTAACTGGTTTTGAAATCTGAATTGTGTGAGGTGGTTTGTGGGAAAGGATACTGCAGAATGCATGTTTGAGAGGGAATTGCAATATTTTATTTATTTATATTAGCAGCTTTCCCACTTTTGAGGGAGTCCTGTGCCCTGAACCCCCATGAAGGTGCCTGTAAATTTTATTTCCAACATCCATTTAAGCGATATGTTCTTTGTCAGCTTGAATTTCTTGATTAATGTGGAAATGGACATGAAATGTGGAAGTGAACTTGAATTGGTATTCTCTGTGATTTTAAAATTGCAATTGCTGGCAGGGACTTATTTTCTTATTGATATTCTGGTGGATATAGCAAGTAGAGAAGAAGTATGTTTAACAGTGTTAAGAAAGGATATATCATATTACCGTATATACTCTGGTATAAGTTGACCCGAATATAAGCCGAGGCACCTAATTTTACCACAAAAAACTAGAAGAACATATTCACCCTAGTACAAGCTGAAAGTGGGAAATGCAGCAGCTACTGATAAATTTCAAAATAAAAATAGATGCCAATAAAATTACATGAATTGAGGCATCAGTAGGTTAAATGTTTTTGAATATTTACATAAAACTGTAATTTAAGATAAGGCTGTCCAACTCTGATTAAACAATTATTCTAACCTTCGTCATTGTAAATGTGCTTACGTATCTTCCCAATAATAATAGAGTAAAATAAAAATGTAACAATAACAGTAATAATAGAGTAAAATAATCTTAATAACAAGAGTAAAATAATAAATGTAACAACAACAGAGTAAAATAATAAATAACATTGACTCAAGTATAAGCCGAGGGTGGCTTTTTCAGCTTAAAAAAAGGGCCAAAAACTTGGCTTATACTTGAGTATATGTGGTATATGAGGCTTTATCAAAGAGGAAACTATTGGAGCAATTTTACAATCCCGTGGGTGCTTTCTGTCAAGTTTCTTGTGGTAAAACATTTTATTTGCTTTAGCATCCAGAGCTGCTTTCCATTGTGTATTGTGCACCAAAGCAATGTTTCTTTGTATAAAATCCATGCAGTTGAATGCCTAGTATTGCACTGAATGAAACATTAATGTTTTAGCCTCTTGAATAAAAAAATGTAAGCAAACATAGGTGGAAGTTGATTTGTGTTCCGTTAATTAAAGTTTTACTATATCACAATGGTTCTGTTTCATTATAAAAACACAAAGGCTAATGGGACAGTTTGCATTCCGAAATAGTTCAAAGATAATTTCATTCTGGGCATTTGTTCATTATAAGAATAATAATGGATTGTAGCTCCATGTGGCCATATTTTTTTAAATCTTTCTATAAGCATCATAGAGAATAAGCTGTGTATAGTACTTTTGTGTGTATGTTCTGATTCATGTGCGTGATTTCATTTGGTTAAAACACAACATTTGGGTTTGTGTGTTTTTTGTCTTGCTCCAGGCCAAAACCTTTTATGTTTAAAGGAGACCACAAGTACCCAGTGTCAAACCCAGAAAGTCCTATTGTTATACTGTATGCTGAAATTGGTTCTGGAGAGTTTTCTAGATTCCATAAACTTCTCGTATCAAAAGCCAATGCAGGAGATATCACCTATATCCTTAGGCATTATATCGCTGTAAGTACTGATCTGATGTAGAAAATGCCACATGATTCTCAATATGAATTTTATGTGTTGCTTTATATTTAGATCTAAATCTGCAGATTTTTTTTGCAATGCCATTTTCTTGGAGTCAGAAAAAGACACAATATTTGTATATTGTCTTGAAAAACAAATTAGTAGATATCATTTTCCCCCATTTTTCTTTTAGAATCCAAGGAAGGAAAAAGTCTACCTTTCAGGCTATGGAGTGGAGCTTGCCATTAAAAGTACAGAGTATAAGGCCAAGGATGATACCCAGGTGAAAGGTGAATCCCTCCCTTCAGTGTAGTAATGGTTCTGTCATGACATTAATGGACACCAAAATTTTCCTTAGTTGTTCTCATATTCTGTTTAAGGCTGAGTTACTCTTCCATTCTCTAGCAATCTCAGATTTAGTTATGTGTAATTGTTCTAAAATAAAGTTGCATTGGAAGTGATTTACAACAAAATGAGAGCAATATAAGTCATTTATTTATTTATTATTTTATTTATTTACAATATTTATAGCCCACCTTTCTCAGCCCTACATCTACTCAAGGCAGGTTACAGATTGGCACAATGCCATTGGTGTTGATCAAAGGAGTTCCTTTTGATTTTCCATCTCTCTGACATCAGCCAGGAAATGGTGTGAAAACATTTGAGCTATCTTTTGCTACCTTTTGTAGTGAGCCAGAAGGTTTCTGGATCCTAGATATTTCAGAGCAAGGCTATCCGCCAAGGAGTGCATGATGATTTTTTCATGTTAAAGCAAGGGATGGGAAGCTTCATGTGACTTCTTGAGTCTGTGTAGATTTGTTCTCTGCTCAGCTGTTGGCTTGCTGAGTGCCTTCCCCTCACATTCCCCAATGTTTAATTGCTGATTAAAAAATTGATGCCAGATAAGTAAAAAACCTTCCAAATTAAAGAAAATAGATAAACATTAATACACGGATTTGATAATACTCTCTAAATGGAAATTAAGAATTTGTTGGGTGATTTATGTGCCTAAAGAAAGGTACAGTAACTCAGATCTTCTATCTGAGGCAAAGAGAAACATTTGGTTGTCTTTGTGCAGCCTGTGACTTCTAATTATCTAATAATTTGATTCTGGCTTGTTATAAAAATGTTATAATACTACAGTATTTACTCAAATCTAACACTCACCATTTTTGGCTAAATCACCTTGCCAGAATTAGGGTATGCATTAGATTCACATACAATTGCAATCTTAATGCTGAGCCAAAGTAATAGGGGAAGCAGCTTCAGGAGCACCTGGAGCTCCTATTTGAGGGATGTCAGCTGTAATTTAATTGTCAATAGATCAATGCTATGAAATTCTGGAATTTGTAGTTTGGTGAGGCATCAGCACTGTTTAGCAGGGCAGTCTCAAGGTCTTGTAAAACTACAGCCCCCCATAACTCCATAGCATCAAACCAAGGCAGTTAAAGGGGATTCATTCTGCAGCATAGATGCACCCCAAGGTTTTCTTTTCCATTTCTGGAAGCTTTGGCTCTCTTAAGAATTTTGTTTTTAAAGAAGGAATTCTAAGCAGGCAGCAACTATCATGGCCCAAATTACAAAGAGTGCACCTTATGTTTCTGCACATAACATTTGTCAGCAAATACTTCTGTTGGTTTCAGGGTTTTGAAAATTGAGGTGTGCATTAGGTTTGATGGTGCTTTCAATTTGGGTAAATACGGGTAATAATAATAATAATAATAATAATAATAATAATAATAATAATAATAAATTCATTAATTAATTTTGTATTTATTACCCATCTCTCCCTTTGACGTGAGGTGGACACAGCATAGTTAAAATATCTATAAAATCACAATTAAAACATAGTTAAAATGCAAGCATATAAACACATATTAAAATGCCTGAGACAAAAGTGGGTGACTGTGTGGAAGGTGTGAGGTCTAGAAAGCAAAAGGGAACTTGAGTGTTCTTGACCCCCCCTTCCACACTAGAATATGGCTGGATAGTTATAGTAAAGGACAGTACTACAGTTGCAATGGTGGCAAGATGCCGATTGAGGCATTTTGTTTACGATACTGCCATGATTTCCGACATCACTGAAAAGTGGTGCCCTCATTCTTGTATATGTGACTTTATGTGTGCTGGAGACTTGCAAAAGCCAAACCACTGTTGCTGATGGTTTTCTGAATAGTGTCATAATCAGGCTATTTTTCATGTTTCTGTAGGTACAGACACGAACGCAACAGTAATAGGCGAAAATGATCCTATTGATGAAGTGCAAGGATTTCTGTTTGGAAGACTAAGGTACACTATTATCTTATCAACTTGATCATTTTGTGTGTGTGTGTGTGTGTGTGTGTGTGCTTTCTAAACCAAAACCATTCCAGAAACTAAAGATTTAAAGATTTATTGAACTGAAGCCTGTGAGTTGCTAGAAGAAAAAAAAAAGGATCCCAGAACTCCATCTGGTGGAGCAATTGTTATTTTTGTCTAATGCAGATTTTCTGGATCATTTTTTATCATTTCAGACAATTACATCCGAGTTTGAAAGAAGAATTGAAAGAATTAAGAAAACATCTAATTGAAAGCACAAATGAAATGGCACCCTTAAAAGTGTGGCAATTGCAAGGTAATGGACACATAGAAATTCTATTTATTCATTTGGAGACATATGTATAAACATCTTTGTGTTTATAAAAATACAAAAAAAGCAACAGATATTTTTTAGAAGCATCATAGTTGTTGACTTATTTCCATCACTGCAGTCTGAAGTATCAGAATAAACATAAATGGAAGTCTCATTTAAACTAATTACAAGTTGTGGGTTCTAAAACACCTTCCATTTCAACACCAATTTATTAAGTACCTGTATTTACTCAAAATTTAATACACACCTCAGATTTCAAACCCCTGAAACCCCAAAAGTATTTATCATATTATGTGAATCTAATATGCACCCTCATTTTGGGAAAGTAATTTAGTAAAAAAGGTGAGCATTAGAATAGAGTAAATACGGCAATTTACCCTCTGTACAAATACTTTTTAGAGAGAAGGAAAAGAAGCACCACTTAGACTACATGGTGTTCTCAGAAGCATATGTTACGTCTCATAATCCTGTTATTGAAATATTAGTTGACTAAGGCTGCACTCCTAAACAAACATGCTGCAAAGGGAGAGTCATTAAAGTGATGAGGAATTAGTTCTGAGTAAACATGGATGTAATCATGCACAGAATTGTAGTGTAAAACTCAAGTCCATCTGTTTCAATTCCATCAATTCCATGTTGTTTTGTTTCATAATTCGGTTTTGATTAAAATGCAGTTGTATGGTTTGTGTACCTTGCTAAAATAACTTGTGGATCTTGAACTAGTGATGTTCTCAAGATCACTCAAGTTATGTGAACAGTGTTATCAAAAATGTGGGGGAATGTTTATGTGCTTAGGAACTTTTAAGGGGTTAGGCTGATGGCCTCTGTACTTTCTGGGTTAAGCATAAAAGCTGGTAACTGGGTTATGTGACAGGTCTTTCACCCTTTGCAGTTCCCAAAAATCTGCCATGGAAGGTCCCTCTTTAAGCAGATTTGGAGGGTGCAGAAAAAGGAAGGAAATTATTCTCTTCCAAGTTCAACTGAAATGTTGTGCTGAAGGACAGTTTTATCACTAATAAATGTTTTCATTTTTAGATCTAAGTTTTCAGACTGCTGCCCGCATTCTGGCTGCTCCCACTGTGGATTCTCTGATGGTCATGAAAGATCTAAGTCAGAATTTTCCCACAAAAGCTAGGTAACTAGTTGGAAACTGCTGCTAATATGACTGCTGTTATGTAAAATGTAGAAATGGTGTTATGCTAACTATTCACAGTTCAGTGAAGGTATTTAAAGGTCTCAGGACAAACAGGAAAATTCTGGCTGATGTAACTTGAAATGAAACACAAATCAATAGCTTTTGGAATGCTTTTTGAAAATGATGACCTGAATTCCAGTGTTGCAATCATTTTTTAAAATTTTAATACATTGCATTTTAGCTTCAAAGATAGATAGTGAAATGTCAGTTTCACATCTGAGTGTGTGGCTTTGGTTTTAGACTGGGCAGAAAGAAAATTCTGTTCCCTTTCTGATATCTCTGAATTGTCCAGGGGTTTAGCATTCTTTATCTTGATATTAAAATATTCCATTGTAAGTGTTTTATTTAGCATATGATATCTCAAGACTCCAGTTGATTTCAGGAGTTTGTCATTAAGAATAAGTTAAAGTCTTTCCTTGTACACTGTTTTTGAAAAAAGGAAGTATTTTACCACTTCTTGGTGTTTTTTTTTCACTATTGTTGAAGCTGAAATTTATTTATTTATTATTTATTTACGACATTTATATGCCGCCCTTCTCACCCCGAAGGGACTCAGAGTGGCTTACAAGGTATATATACATACAATATATTATTAACATAGTACAATATCAGTTTTAAATATTGCTATATTGCACTATATCAATTATACTGTAATATTATTAGTAATATTACATGTAGTATAAATATATAATTATAATATATTATTATTAGTAGTATTATATTGCATTACATTACAATACTATAAATATTATATGTATATACAATATATTATATATTATATTATAACATATTATTAGAATAGCACAGGAGACAAGGTGGAACTGTCCCCTGGCCCCCCTTTCTTTACTCCGGCCCAGAGCAGCAGTTGTTGCTGGGGGGAGGGGTCCCCAACGGATGGCAAATGCAGGAGACAAGATGGTGCTGTCCCCTGGCCTCCCCTCTCTTCGCTTAAATATTTCTGATTTAATGCATAGCCTGTAAATTCTAGTACATGCTATTTTAGAGAGCTTTAATGAAAAACATTTTGTGTAGCCTCCTGTTTTAGTTCTGTAGTTTATTGATATATGTTGCTCTTTTGGAAGGAAGTGTGGCAGACATATATGATAAAGTGAAACTTTTGCTATTTGCAGGGCAATGACGAAGACTGTTGTTTCTCCAGAACTCAGATCAGAAATTGAAGAGAACCAAAAGGTAATACATATGTTTTTGACCTTCAGAGCTGAAGTAGATTTAAATATAAGTCTACTAACCTCATTTCCTCTCTTCGTCCTCTTTTTATACACCTCTAAATACTTTTTAGTATGTTTGTGTGGGGTGTGTATTGCAATGATAGTCAAAAGTAATATTCTACATTTTAAAAAATATCTCCAAAAACATGTATCCAACATTTATCATTTGCTCAAGTCTAAGAAAGGCAGAAAAATTCTGTTTGTATAAGGCTGTTCCTCGGTGGTGTCGAATGTTTTCTGTTAAACTCTTGTTGCATATATTCAGATTTCCATGTAAGATGCTTCCTTTCTTATATTGCTTTCTCTATAATAAATGCTCTTGAGAGATACCTGTTGAAAAGGAACACTATAGCCACAAAAGTATAGTGCCCCTAAAAACTTCACCTGAAAAGTGCCACGAGACTTCCATATAGTACTAAACACTTTTTGAGATCGTTGCTTTGCTGGAAGAATTGAAGTCTCTAAAAATTTACAGTTTTCACTGGTTATGTTTCCTGTGGTGGCTGCCTTCTGTATTAGAATGTGGGAGGCAGAGGATTGCCCACTTTGTGTTGCATGCAATAAGGTGATTTTCCAGATTATGGTAATCTAAGCGTGAGAGTTGTAAGGGATGGCTTTAGGGATGGCTTTTTGCAAAAAGCTGCACTTCTCCCTTTGTGTCTTGTACAGGATAGTCTATAGATGCCAAAAAAATGGCAGGTTATCCAGAGGAAAGATTATTAGAAATCTTTAAAAATACAATTACCATTTTGTCTATTTTTATTCTGAATGCACAAAATCTTGAATAAAGTGGATCATAATTTATTTAATCTGGATATTTCCCATAAGATGCTAATGAGTTCTCATTAAAAAAACAAAATAAAACGTTGGCTTGTGTGTATAATTCTTCCCTATGTGTCAAGCAAGCTGTTAAATGACTTGGGAGAAGTGTTCTGAGAATTAAACAAATGAAACAAGTAACTGATGCAATAGGACAGTTCTATTTGTTGTCATATTTTATAACTTGTCTCAAATTGAGATTGTAGTATAATTGATATTTTTATCTGCAATCTATTTCACTGTTATTCAGAGGAATTATATACTTTAAAATATGTGGAAAAGATAAAAATATACTGTAGAAAATGTCACCATTAAAGTGCAAAACATGAAGAAAGCTATCTTAATGAGCTCCCTGAAGGGTTTGTTTCTAAAAAATGAAATAATACAGAGCAACTAGGTTGTCACAACAAAAAGGAAAGAAGCAGTGAAGCAAAACTAGACACTGTCTTTGTCAAACCACTTGTTTGACAGTTAGTTTTATACTTTTATGTTTTAGCATGTTTTTATCTGGGTTGTTGTCTTTTATCATGTTTTTATTTTAATGTGTTTTGTTTTGGTTGTATGTTTTGTGGACATTCTGTCCCATATGTAAGCCACCCCGAGTCCCTTTGGGGAAATGGTGGTGGGGTATAAGCATTCTTATACATATGGATTAGGGAAGCCACTGTAGTGCAGTGGATTAAACCGCTGAGCTGCTGAACTTGCTGACCGGAAGGTTGATGGTTAGAATCTGCATGATGGGGTGAGCTCCTTCTATTACCCCCAGCTCCTGCCAACCAAGTTGTTGTTTTTGTTGGTGTTGTTGTTGTTGTTATTATTATTATTATTATTATAAATTGACTTTAAGAACATGTACTATCTGTTTCCATCTATTACTGTTTGTCTTTCCAACCAATAAGGCCACCCAGCCTAAACTATTACTATCAACAATGCATCTGAATTAGTTATTAATTATTTATAAAATAGCTAGTTTAATTATATTCTATAGTATAATTTTATCCATTGGCAAAGTGGTAGCTAGATGGTTTGAAAACTGTAAATTACAGGTATTTGGGACTAATTCTTGGCTTTCCCAAACTTGAAAGGGCCATGAGAGTACTGTACAAGACAACGAGCAGCTTGAAAATTTAGTTATTTTCCTTTTATATTGTTCCATCTTTCCCCTTCTCCATCTTTCTTCCTCTCGTATCATAAAGTAATTAATACCTAAGTCTTGAACAAAAGTGACCAGTTTTAGTTCTTAGAGTACTATTAATGTTTTTGTTGCACTTTCCCCTCAGTACTTTAAAGGAAATCTAGGATTACAGTTGGGGGATTCAGCTCTGTTTATTAATGGACTGCATATAGATCTAGACACACAAGACATATTCAGGTATGAATCCTACTGATTATTCTTACTATAATATGTAAGATAATGATTTGAAAAGGCTAGACTGTGTTGATAGCTTTACTTTAAAGTTTTTCCCCCTGTTCTGTGCTCTTTCTAGCTTGTTCGATGTCCTGAGAAATGAAGCTCGCGTTATGGAAGGGTTGCACAGTTTAGGAATTGTGGGTCTTTCCATGCACAATGTGTTAAAGCTAAACATCCAGCCATCAGACTCTGACTATGCTGTCGATATCAGAAGTGCTGCTATTTCAGTGAGTATGTGTTCTAGCAGTCAAAAATGCATGATGCCATGTCCATCACAAAACACACAAACAATACCCATCCATTCTGTTTTAATTCTACATGTTATGAGATCGTTGCAAAGGATTGTATTAAAAACAACTTGTGTATGATATGGGGTCACTGAATTATTTCAAAGAATGTATGCTTTAGCAAGTGATCTGCTAAAATCAAGCAAGAAGCAATATACTAGAAAGCCTAGTGAAAGGGGATTTGTTCTGCGTCAATGCAATGTTCTCTGGCAGTTTAGTTGGAATTCCAGATGTCTGTTGAGATGTAACTAGTCAAGCAGATATGGGATAATTTTGTTTTAAAGAGCATAGCCTTTGTGTTCAAGGTTTTCATTGCCCAATGAAGAAGGGCCATAATTCCCTTGCTGCAATATTGGGGTCAGATCTTGTGTCAAAACATACTGCAAGCAGTGCAGATCCTCAAGTGCAAAGGAGAATTGCAAGTCAAAGGTGTTTTTTGAGCAACCGCTATTCCTTGGGGACATAGCCTTACAGTTAGACAAGTAGGCCAGAGCTGTAGTGTTAAGGCCAGCTAGAATTTATGTGTTAAGACTGAAATGGTGAGAAGAAAAATGCTGTACTGTATACTTTTTCCATATTTTTTCTTTACTGTTTATTGTGTCTCATTGTTTTTACCATAGTAAGTTTCTGAAAAGTAAAGCAATATTGGGTGAAGGGTAACCCTAATCAACTTTGGTTTTTAGGAATTAGCTGTTCACTCACAGGATTTTTAAAATCTCTTTTTCTAATTTTTAGTGGATCAACAACCTTGAAATTGACAGCAAGTACAATTCCTGGCCTTCCAGTGTCCAGGAGCTGCTACGTCCTACTTTTCCTGGAGTAATAAGACAAATAAGGAAAAACTTCCACAATCTTGTATGTAATCCTCTATTTTATTCTAAGTGCACAATGAATTTTTCAAAGTTGGACAATTTTAGTCCCCCCCCCCCCCACTATGCCATTTTCTGAATGTACCTACAGATGGGAATAGAATCAGAATGCCTTTTGACTTTGAATCTATAATAAATCCAGCAAGATACAATGACCACTAGTATCAAAACAAAGACTAAGGATATGATCACACTGCTCAACTGTTTCCCAGCAGAAGTATTCTGTCCGGGCAACTGAAATAATTTCATTAGCCAACCCAGACTGAAATGGGTCTAGATATTTTGCGTCATCCAAGGATATGGGGTTGAAACACCATAACTCTCTATGATTTTGCCCAGTTGAGTGATGGCTGCTAAAAATTTGCTATCTCCAAAAAGTATTAAAGAACCATTGCATGAAATCATTTTACAAGGCAGATTGTACCTTTCTCCATTGTACATAGTCAATAATTGCTTTATGAACCCAACTAGTCAGTCCTTCCTGCTGGTTGTTAATACCCAAAGACCATGAATCTAACTAACTGCCTACAAGTCTCCAAGCATTTGCTCTAAATCTTCAGGCTACATAACCTTGAACTGATCCAATGCAACTAGACTAGATGGAGCTGTGGACATCAGCTAGAATTGTATCATCATGAGTGTCAATGCAGTTCCATATGGATTAGGGGAGCCACTGTAGTGCAGTGGATTAAACCGCTGAGCTGCTGAACTTGCTGACCGGAAGGTTGATGGTTTGAATCCGCATGATGGGGTGAGCTCCTTCTATTACCCCCAGCTCCTGCCAACCTAGCAGTTCGAAAACATGTAAATATGAGTAGATCAATAGGTACCACCTCAGCGGGAAGTTAAATGGCACTCCATGCAGTCATGCTGGACACATGACCTAGGAGGTGTCTATGGACAACACAGGCTCTTTGGCTTAGAAATGGAGATGAGCACAACCCGCCCAGAGCTGGAAATGAAGGAGAATGTTTTCCTTGTGTCTCTGTATGCTGGAATCAAACCTGAGGCCTCTCGGGGAGATAGGGCAGAATACAAATAAGAATACAAATAAGATATTATTATATTATTATATTATTATTATAATTATAGAGTTAGTGCCATGTAAATTTGTCATAGTAGGCCTTCAAAGTTTGCTGAAGTTAATAATAATAATAATAATAATAATAATAAGTTAATAATAAGTGTAACCTTCAAATTATGAGTCTTTTCTGTTCATCATATTGCTTTTGTTACGTCTTCCAGGTATTCATAGTAGACCCATCCCATGAGAGCACAACTGAATTACTGAGTGTGGCTGAAATGTTCCTTAGTAACCACATACCACTGAGGTAATCCTTTGATTTATTTCTCAAGTTCCTAACTTTACCTCTGAACCTTTATATAACATTCACAACTGATGAGTTTCATGATCATTATAAAAGTCAACACTGGGCTTGCTAGAGGTCTGCTAACTATTCATGCATTCAGCTGCCCAGCACCAGCAACATCTGTGCAGGGAGCCCCCATGGCCCTCACTGCCTTGCCCCTTTAAGGGCCCAAGCCTCCTCGCCACCCGGCAGCAGCTAGATCTGAGCAGGGAGCCCCCATGGCCCCCACTGCCTTGCCTCCTTGATGTCCAGCACCTGTAAAATCTGTTGATGTTTGAGGACTACTTACCTGGATTAACTAAACTGAGGCTTTTCCATCAACTGCTTGTTTTGGCCAGCCTTGGTGGCTTTGGACCTCATCACAAACTTTCGTTATAATTGCACGGTCTACAAGATCAGTAATTGAAAACTACACAAACTGGCAAACAATCATGTCTGACAATTTTAATGATTTTAATTTACAATTATATGTTATTGTTTTTGATATGTAATATATTGTTTTTATTAATATGTGAGGCATTGACTTTTTGCTAATTATTATGCTGTACACCACTTTGAGTCCCCCTAGGGGTGAGAAAAGCAGTGTAGAAATGCATAAACAACAATAATAAATAAATGCACCTTCTCCATGCAGTTTCCATGCACTTTCTTCATCCGTTTTTCCCGACCATGTGAGGAAACAAAAGGCACAGTGTTTTTGGAAGTATCAGTGGGAGTTAACGAACAGCCTGATTTGTTTTTTGAGCTGTGGAAGCTCAGATATGGGATTGCGATGAGACTGCAGCAGATGCATATGCTTGTGACTGTAGTTTTCTGAGAACTGGTGCAGGTGCAACACTGGTATCATGTACTATAATCTTTCCCATGTATAACTTCTGTCATATGAAAAAATGACTGTGACCATCTATAGCAAGTTAAGCAGGAGTTAATATTATGAAGATTATGTTCCTATCGCAAAATTTGAAACAAGGATTTGACAATAGTTAACAATTTGCTAAGAGAAGAATCTCAGTTAATGCTCAGAAGTCAAGGTAAAATCATTATAAGCATAATGGGTCTCATTGGTTAAAACAACCAATGAGACCCAAAAAAATCTTCTAGTGACTTCTCTTTGCAAATAAAGTAAGGGAGTAGTTAAGAGCAAGGAAAGCACATCCTACCGTTTACTCCTAATTCCTTTGACCAAGGAATGTGATTTTGTCATGATGGGCAAAATCACATCTGCCCCAGTGTTAGATTTTTGGTCAGTGTTTTCTGGTCCAGAGATTTCTACTGCCAATAGCTATGTATTGAATATTTCATTATCATTCCAATTGATGATTGATTTTTTAAAAACAGGATTGGTTTAGTCTTTGTCGTAAATGAATCTGACGATGTTGATGGCTTACAAGATGCTGGGGTTGCTCTCCTTCGGGCCTACAATTACGTTGCACAGGAAGTAGATAATAATGTTGCCTTCCAGACAGTCATATCTGTAAGTAATTTTTTCCAAAGCCAATATAGAATCATAGAATCATAGAGTTGATATATTTGCAAATGTCAATACTATGCTGGAACAATAAGAGAATCTTCTTGACAATCGTTGGGCAGATAGTCATTAAAATAGCAATAAACCTTCTTTCAAAAATGTAAATTAACCTGTTTATTAGATTGGTTTTATTTCATTACTAGTTTAAAACAATGTGTTTTCCAAACCATTAAAATGTTTGATATTTTAATATGCATAGGTGGTTATAACTACCACTTTATTTCAGGTTGGTGGTTTTAACTATCCTTTTATCTCATGCTTGATTTTAGTCTGTCATAATTGTACCATCTTTTGGTGTCATGGCTTACACAGTATTTTAATTAATTTGACCAGTTTATTTACCTATTTCATAGAATCATAGAGTTGGAAGAGACCTCATGGGCCATCCAGTTCAGCCTCCTGCCAAGAAACAGGAAAATCACATTCAAAGCACCCCTGACAGATGGCCATCTAGCCTCTGTTTAAAAGCCTCCCAAGAAGGAGCCTCCACCACACTTTGGGGCAGAGAGTTCCACTGCTGAACAGCTTTCACAGTTAGGAAGTTCTTCCTCATGTTCAGGTGGAATCTCCTTTCCTATAGCTTGAAGCCATTGTTCCACATCCTAGTCTCCAGGACAGCAGAAAACAAGCTTGCTTCCTCATCCCTATGACTTGTCCTCACATGTTTTTACATGGCCCTCATCATATCTCCTCTCAGCCTTCTCTTCTGCAGGCTAAACATGTCCAGCTCTTTAAGCCACTCCTCATAGGGCTTGTTCTCCAAACCCTTGATCATTTTAGTTGCCCTCCTCTGGACACATTCCAGCTTATCAACATCTCCCCTCAATTGTGGTGCCCAGAATTGGACACAGTATTCCAGGTGTGGTCTGACCAAGGCAGAATGATCCCTTTTCTTAAAATCATTTTGAAAAATTAAAGTAGTGTAGGTAAGGAGTTGTGGGTTTTTGATTCTCCCCCTTTTTAAAGGACTGTTCTATTAAAGCACCCAGGAATAGAACTTATTTTATCAAAGCAACTCTTCTCCCATTCTCCTTCTTAGTGTGTTCGTGGCATGTTTGTCCCTTGTGATATACTTTGTGGGAATCTAATGGGGGACTAAAGAGGGAAACATCTGGAACCTCATTCATTTGGACCATATTTTATTTGGCATTCTCTTCCTCTCACACTGTGATAGTAGTGTGAGAGTAGAGAAAGAAAAGCAGTGTGTAAATGGCTCTTGGGACCACAATACTTTACTCTGCCATTGCTCCTACTTTCGCTCTGCTTCTATTGCTCTTGTACTAATGTGAGAATTTAAAAGTTGAGGAAGGACATGTTGCAACATGTCTCTCTTTACCACTCTTTTTTCTTAGATAATTTTTTAAAAAAGATAAGCCTATTTTTTTTAATCTAAGACTGTATTTTTTAATGATTGTTCCTCCTGTTAAGGATTCTCAAAATATTTTTCTGTCTGCAATTCGATTCTTACAAACTTGTCATTCTAAAATGGACACCTTCTCTGTGACTGGAATAATAACTCGAGCAGGCTTTTCATTCCAATAATAATTTCTCACTATCCATGCCCTCTAACATAGATTTGAGCTGAGATGCACAGAAAGAGAGATGTGTCACGAAGTAGGTGCTTTTTGCAGCAGGAGTTCAAGGCTTACGGGACAACAAAGAGAGAGTGGGAATACAGCTGATATATTAATGATTTCCTGAAAGAAAGGAAGACAAGGTAATCTCAAGTGTGCTTCATTTTGTCTTCACAGATCTATAGCAAAGTAACTGCAGGAGAGAAACTGACAGTGGAACACGTGGTTAGTGTTCTTGGGAAGCAATATCCTTATGTAGAAGTTAATAGTATCTTAGGCGTTGATTCTGCCTATGATCTAAACAGAAAGGTAAGAAATTTCTGTAAAATCCCAGGATCTCATACTTTTCTATGTCTTTTGGGGTAAGATTTCTGTCAACTATTGGGTGCAGTAACAACCAGAGCAGGATATCTTTTCTGAGTTGTTGCGGTAACGCTTTTAAAGGAAGTTGCCTTATAATATTCCCGGTTCTATTTTTTCTGAACCTATTGCCCTAATATGCCCATGGCTACCTGTTGAGGCGTTCCTTACAGCAGTGGTTCTCAACCTGTGGGTCCCCAGATGTTTTGGCCTTCAACTCCCAGAAATCCTAACAGCTGGTAAACTGACTGGGATTTCTGGGAGTTGTAGGACAAAACATCTGAGGACTACTGCCTTACAGGATTCCTCCAGGCAACAACCATCCAAGCTTTGAAGCTACAAGGCCATTAAATGCTAATCAAGGTGGCTATTTACAACATTCACATTTGCCTCAAGCAAACAAGAGTTCTTTCTCCCAACCTGGACATTCCACATATGTATAAACCTCCATTGCCTAGTTTCCAAAATACCTCACAATCTCTGAGGATACCTGCCATAGATGTGGGTGAAACGGCAGGAGAGAATGCTTCTGGAACATGTCCATACAGCCCGGAAAACTCACAGCAACCCAACTTCCCTTGCTATTGTCAAAATTTTGAATCCTTTGCACTCAGCTCAGAAAAAGTGGAAAGCATGAGAGTGGCTGAATAAACACTACTCAATATAACAACATGAACCGTGTTAAATTTACTTGTAATTCCTACTATGAGCAACACAGAAAGTGACTGTTGAATGCACAGGGCTCCAGGGGAGCCAATAAAGGGTGTCATGCAGCCTTAAATGTCTTCCAGGGGTCATCTGAGGCTATTGTTCAAATTGAAAAAACTCTTGGAAGTATATGTAGTCTTACCCAGAAAAAGCTGTTTTGGGGGAACCTTCTTCTGAAAAAGATAACTAGTGAAGAAGAAACAGTCCAGAATCATCTGGAAGTGATTTTCTGACCCACTGAGATTTCAGAAGAGTTAAAATTGTCCTTGCAACTATCTGCATGTGCCCATTTCTAGGCTCGATTCTTCCCAAGATAATAGAAGATGGCGCTGAGGATAATAATTTCAGGTTCATGGGATATATGGTTTGTGATGTGATATTCAAAACAGCATTGGTGTGTTGGGTCTTGAAGTGTGTTCAGTAGCATTGCGGAAAATAATTTTATTTGTTTTGCTTTTTGTGTATTTTTAAAAATACATAGTTACTCTGGTTTGTGATGTCATGCTCGGAACTGCATTAATGTGGAAGATTGTTGCAATGAAGTCAGTAGCAGAAGGGAAAAATACTTTTATTTGTTGCACCTTTTGGTTTTTCAGGAAGGACGTAGTTACTATGAGCAGACAGGTGTGGGTCCTCTCCCAATCGTGCTTTTTAATGGGATGCCTTTTCAAAAAGAACAACTTGATCCCGATGAACTTGAAACTGTGACAATGCATAAGATACTAGAAACCACAAGCATTTTCCAAAGAGCTGTGTATTTGGTAAGTCATATTATTTTAAAGAAAGTACTGCAGGCTTGAAGCTTTGGGACAAAATTCAAAAATCTATGTAGCTAACTTTGTGTGTTTAAGTACTTTTAAAATATCATAAATACTTGCCACCTGCTTCCACAGAGCAACACATTTTTGAAATGGAAGTGAATTCATTTCACTAATAGTTAATGATATGGTAGAGAGATTTGAAAATGATTTCAAATTGGCATCTTGGGTGCGAGTGAAATCTAAAGTATCCTGATACAGTGTTCCCTCACTTATCTCGGGTGTTACGTTCCAGGACCACTCGCAATAAGTGAAAATCCGCAAAGTAGGGGTATTCGAAGACAGTCATAGTTCACTTACATCCATAGAGCACTGTGGACTCAAACAATGATGGGTCTGCACCAAACTTGGCATGAATACTCAGTACAGGGAAGGAGCCCAAGGCCAGCCTAGTCAAAATTCCCCCTGGTCAAAAATTGGGCCAAAGGCCCAAAGCAAACCCGCTTCCTGTGCTGCCGCGTTCTTGCTGCCATCTCTAAGTTCACCGCCGAGGGAAGGCACGCTGCCTGGCTTCTTCTCAGCAGCCCCCTCGGAAAGAAAAAGCCCCCTCTGGCACCATGGTGGAGGAAGGAAGGCAAGGAGGGAGGGAGAGAGAAGGGGAGGACAAGGAGGAGGGGGATGGATGTGAGGGCGTGGGGAAAACCAAGAAACAGTGAGTCCCTGGTTAATGAACCACGAAGTGGCGAGGAAACACTGTATATATATATTTTAAATCCTTGCTCTTTAAGATTGTTCCTGATTTCTCAAACAGATTCTGAAACAGTGTTGTTGAGCTTTTTGATCTATATCTTTTGTGTTTCAGGGTGAACTATCAAATGATCAAGATGTGGTTGACTATATAATGAACCAGCCAAACGTTGTTCCAAGAATTAACTCTCGAATCCTGATGTCTGAGAGAGAGTACCTAGATTTGACTGCAATGAGTAAGACACACTTTCTGTTGTGACAATACAAACATTTGTTGGTAGGCCCTTAAGTCTTGATTTTGACACTAAACTGATCCATAGTTTAGCATATATGCAAAATTTGTTCTCCCTGTTCTCATAGCTAGCATGGCATAAAAAGGAGACTGGAATCATCCATATCTGTTTTAAAGTAACTGCACTTTGTTTCTTTGTCCAAATTAGGGCAAATAATGATTACTTAGGCTGTGGGTGAATAACCTCTTTCATCTTGAAGATCCTATTTGTTTCTGCATAATTATTTTGGGAAAAGCACATGATGGGGTAAATATAGTTAGACTAAAATGGACATGACAGAAGCAACATTCATTCTCTGAGCATCATTGTCAACCTCTTTCTCTTCTGTCTCCTTTCTGCATGGAAGGAATACATGGAAAGAGAAGACAGGAAGAGGAGAGAAGGGATAATGGGCAAAGAATGAGACAGAGAGACATCAGAAGCTGGAAACATTTGGATAGAAATGTGGGATATGGAACTAGGAGACAAAAAGAAAGAGAAAGAGAATGTTGCTTTGGCTACATCCATTTTGGCTTTAACCGCCTTTGGCAAGTGTCACTCAAAGAGTGCATAGAAACAAATATAGTCCTGAAATGAAAATGATTCTGCCATCAAAGTGTGAGATTTGAAATCTTGCATAAAATTTGGCACTCTTGTTTTGTTGTATCCAGAAATGTCTGTCACTCTTTTCTGTGTTGTACAGGTCTTTTCACATCTTTTTCTGTTCATTCCAATCTTTACCTGCCATTAAATAATACTACGTAAAAATGATTTTTGTTCCTGGGTTATAAATGTCATTTCCTAATTGGTTCTATCACAAAAATATGGGAAAAGTTTATTAAATTGCAAAAACTTTGTTTTTGTGGGAAATCCTGCAGCACATTTTGCTGTAGTTTTTCAGTTAATATCTTCATTGAGTCTCAACCAATTCAGTATAATTTGTTAAGTTTCTGGAGTATAACAACTACTTTCAAAGTAAGTAAAACACAATTAAACAGGAATAACACTTTCAAACCAGTAACAGAAAAAAAAAAGTTACATAGTGTAATCTGAGTTTCATTTAATTTAATATGGACTAGTTCCTCATTTCTTAGAATTCTCACTACAATAACTGGTGTGTAATTTTTGAGGTTATGACATAAATGCTTGGAAGATATGGAATGAAGTCTAAGAGAAGAGCACAAGGGTCTATAACAATGCCTTTGTGGAGATATATAGGGGATGCAGGAGAAGGTGTCTTCTGGGCTTTTATTGAGATTATGGAACTTTCTGTCTAGTTTTCCCCCCATGCCCTTCAGATAAATATTTCTCTCAGCTGAATTCTATTGGTCATTTAAAAAAAAATACCCCGTTATCTCTTACTGTGAAATTCAAGTTTATTAAATACATTATTACATTTTAAATATTATTTGGACTCTTTCACATTTGAAATGAAGAAGCATAAAATGTAAACACCCTCAAGGAAAGCTGGGTTCCTACTGGTAGCTTGTACTTCTCACAAAAATAGTTAAGGCTCCATGTTTTCCCCTTACATCCTTATGCTCTTTTGCCCTGCCAACACATGAAGGTTGTTAGATGTTCCGGCAAATATTAAACTGTTAATGTTATAACTTTAAATAATGGACTTGTCTGTCTAGAATTCTTGTTCTTATCATGTGGTCAGGTATCTGCCTTAATGTAGGGTTCTTGCTGTGTTAAATTATTATTGCAGACAATTTCTATGTGGACGACTATGCTAGATTTACGTTCTTGGATTCCAAAGACAAGACAGCTGCTGTTGCCAACAGTATGACATACTTGACCAAGAAAGGTAAAGATTTTCAACTCTTTTCTATTCACGTGCTGCATCTGGTGCATATTGTTCTACTTTTATCCAGAGGTCTTTTGTGTCACAAAGGAAAGGCATTTTCTTAAATGTCTCTGGTGATATATTTCAGTTTTTCCTCTTTGCTAGCTCAAATTTCTTTTTCATCCTCTGGTTTGTCTCTAACATAGAGCCAGTTTGGTTTGATCACATTCTGTTGTTTGTATATTAAGTATAAGAAGACACTATGGCTAGCCTTCAACAAATGCAAACAATGTAAGTGATTGGATTCCATTAGTCTGTAAATGAATTATGATCTGCTGTAGATAATTGCTGACTATCCTCCTGGCCCCTTTCCCCCCTCTTCACTTGGAAAATCTTCTCTAGAACAGTAGTTCTCAATCTGTGGGTCCCCAGGTGTTTTGGCCTATAACTCCCAGAAATCCCAGCCAGTTTACCAGCTGTTAGGATTTCTGAGAGTTGAAGGCCAGAAAATCTGGGGAACCACAGGTTGAGAACTACTGCTCTAGAGGATTGTCTTTAGCTTTAAGTGCTCCTAATGGAAGAAGGAAACTCAGAATCCAACTACTCATTTTTCGTTTATTAGATTTGAAAAGTCAATTATAGTCAAATTTCATCTGAAAAAGAATCAGCATAGATTGGTTTGTAAGTTAAAAGAAATGTTTGCACAAACCTTGTTTCCATCTAATTTTCAGACAAGATCAAGTTTCTTCATGTGTAATTTGATTTGTATTCATAGACCTGGTTTATACATGAAACATGATTGAACTGGTAGATTCTTAAGGTGATAAAATAGATTGCTGTGTTAGGTTTCAGAAAGATGATACCATTTAAAAATTGTGTCCTGTATAATGAAAAACCACAGAAGATTAGAGAAAAATTAGCATAGTACAAACCAACATTCCTGCCCATCTTTCTGCTTGTTTGTACACAATATTCTTTCCCCCCTCCTAATTCATTCCTGTCTCCCTTGTTTTTGTGAAGTAGTATTTCTTCTCTATGGGGAAAAGTTAAGGAATTTCTTGACAGTGTTTTAAGAATCTGCTCCTGCTCAGCCAGAAACACTAGCAGACCACATCCTTGTTTGATTATATTCAGGCTACAAATATACATTGTATTCGTTTTTGTTCCAGCTGAGTTTGGAAGTGTTTGAAATATTTGTGCTGTTTCTTTTTTATGTAAGATTTTGGTTATTTCTGTCTTCATCTGTAAATTATATTTAATAGAATTTTTCAAGACAAACAACCAAGATATTTCAGTATGTAGAATTCTTAAAATAAATGTATTGAAACTATGAGACCACCATATTGCTCTACAACAGTGGTTCTCAACCTGTGTGTCCTCGGGTGTTTTGGCCTACAACTCTCAGAAATTCCAGCAAGTTTACCAGCTGTTAGGATATCTGGGAGTTGAAGCCAAAACATCTAGGGACCCACAGGTTGAAAACCATTGCTTTATAACTTGCCAAGTTTTATCAAACTAAAAGAGATTAGCTGAGGCTGTAAGAATTTTTTTTTACAACGAAGTAATGATTTCTGGTTCCCTTAAGGAGGCCACAATTCACAGTTTAGGAAAGCTTTACACAGAGTGTCCCAATTTCAAATCTTTTTTTTGGGGGGGGGGGCAAAGTGAAATATCAAGTAATAGTTGGTCACCAAGGAGTTACATTGGATTCTTCTGTGCTTCTATAGACCTTGTTTCATTGCATACATTGTTTTGGTGACACTGAGAAATGAACTTTGTGTGAATATGCCTTCAAGGTGTCTGCTGACTTATGACAGCCTCACTAATTTAATGAAGTTTTCTTAGGCAAGAAATACTTCAGGTGGTTTCACCAGTTCTTTCCTTTAAAATGTAGCCTATAGCACCTGGTATTCATTGACATCCAAGTACTAGCCAGGGGTGACCCTGCTTAATGTCCAAAATCAGAAAGTGGGAAATTACAGTACTATACTTCTGTTGATGTCCTCCTAAAGGCAGCAGATTCTACCTGGTAAGATTCGGAGGGAGGGAGGCAGGTGGTTCCAGATTATGAGACCAGAGATCTTACATTAGGCTTCATGAATATATTTCCTTGGGAATCTTTTAATCATAGAGTTAGGGAATAATTTTTGCCACTCATACTTAAAATATCATCATGAAGCCTCTGGAAGAAGTCAGTGGGAATTTGGACCCGACTATCAGTATGCTTATGAAACCATTTGCTATTCTCATTTTCTTTGAACTTAAGTGAGGCAGTGAAGTCCTTCTGTAGATGCCTTGGGCCAGTAGTAGTGGTCTAGCTGTGACTCTGTAAATACAATAAGCGTTTGGTTACTGCGATGTAGTCGTGCAAGGCATGGAAAGTTATAGAAAAAAGTTATTGTGGTTATTAGAGGAGAGGGAAAGAAGAGATATGCACATTAAGTAGATAAATAAAGATTTGGATGCAATTAATCTATTAAGTGGAGATTTTGGAAGAATGTTCATAGAATGTTCTTTACATCCTTCCAGTACTGATTAGATAGGAAAACAAGGAAAGAAGATCAAGGATACCCAAGCATGGCTCTTTTCTGGGAAGAAGTTAATGCCATCTAACATTTGTGGTTATTTGTGATGGAGCTGCACACTTAGCTGTAGCCTTTGGATAGGTCTGCTTTGTAAATTAATTATATTTTTCCCCACTCTTTCCTATTTTACCTCTGTCAGGAATGTCCTCCAAGGAGATTTATGGTAAAGATCTTTTTTATTGGACTTAGAATCTTTAGGGAATAAAAATATGAATTATTTGTTTTTTTTAGTGTCTTGGTATGCTATATTTGGGGTATTGATCTCAAAAAGTTTGATCATCCTCAGATGAGAAAACAAAGAGAATTGCAGCTTCTTTGTGATTCTCCCTCTTCTTCCTAATTTTAAAAAAAGAAATAGTAAAACAATACATAATATTACACACAGAATTTAGGAGCATGTTTCCAAAAGTATCAAATCCATCTGAGCAAATTTTACAGGAATTGGAAAAAAGTGCTGAGGATGTGCATTCTTTTGCTATAGAATGAAATTTTCCAAGCACTTACCAAGGAAATTACCCAATTTTGGTAGTATCGATCTATATATAATATTCTACGTATATTTTGATAGTTTTGATCTATACATAATATTCAACTCCAGGAAAATATTGTGCTGCCACCTATAACTCATTATTCATTTTTTTAAATTTGGTACCATTTGGAAACAAACTCCATAATCGTGCACATGTATTTTGCATTGCTTGAAAAAAATCCTTAATTTAACATACCTATTCCTAAACACTAATATCTCTAGGATATTTATAAATATATTATATATAACCTTACATTTCCCCCCCTTTAGACTGCATGTCGCTAGCATGAAATGAAGAGGTGCATTGTGAGAAGGTCAAGCTTTTATATATATTTTTTCTTAAACGAATTGATTCTTTTTCCTTGGACAGATGATTCTTTTATAAGGCCAGTAACCTTTTGGATTGTTGGAGACTTTGACAGACCTTCTGGAAGACAGTTGTTATATGATGCTATCAAACACCAGGTATGTAGCACCTCTATACTGTAGAAGGAAATGAAGAAAGGCATTAGCATCAGCACACATAAAGTACTGAGCTCAACTACTATGATTTTCAGAGACACATTCAAATAACTTCACTGTTTCTATTTTTCAAAGAAGATTTGCCTCAACTCTTTCATTCAAGTACATGTTGTTGCATCCTGATATCTCTTTGCATCAGGCACAGCCTAACTTAATTATAGTTGAAATTCTATAGACACTTACCAGGGAGTGAGCGTTGTAGAATTTGATGCAAATTATGAGTGGACATGCATGACATTGCAGTGTAAACCTCTGGCATTCTATCTCTTTAATACCTTTGTGAAATAAAGACTGTCTTCTTCAGCTTAGTGAAGTCTAGAAATTTTGGGCTATAGTTCCCAGTATTTTTGACAGGAGTGGATTGGATGGAAGTTATGTACATTTAGAGGATATTAAACTAGATCTTTTCATCACACTCAGTAACATTTCTTTCTCTGGGCAGTTCTACAGTGACCAATTATCCTGAGACCAATCCAGTGTGGTGTACTTCAGATTGGCCGCAGGATAGTTAATACCACCCCCTCTTCCACTGTGGAAGTAAGAGGGAGTCCTGTCCAGCGGCGCCGACCCCAGTTTGGTGCCACCAGGCAGTCACCCTTAATGTCCCCTCCATTTCTCCTGGTTGCAGTAGCCAGTGGACACAACATAAATTGTGCTGGTTGCTTGTTGCACCCTTTGGCCAGGGTGCCAGAGCTACCCCCAGCTCCTTCAAGGTCAAGCCAGTCACTTCAAGGATACCATCCATCCATCTTGCCCTTGGTCGACCCCTCTTTTTTTTCCTTTCATTTCCCCCAGCATCATTGTTTTCTCCAAGCTTTCCTGTCTTCTCATGATGTGGACAAAGTACTTCATCTTTGCCTCTAACATCCTTCCCTCCAGTGAGCAGTCGGGCATTAATTATTTCCTGAAGTATGGACTGGTTTGAACTTCTCGCGGTCCAAGGCACTATCAGAATTTTCCTCCAATACCACAGTTCAAAAATGTCTATCTTCCTTCACTCTACCTTTCTTATGGTCCAGCTTTCGCATCCATAGGTTACTACGGGGAATACCATCTCTTTAACTATGCAAATCTTCATTGACAGTGTGATGTCTCTACTCTTCACTATTTTATCGAGATTGGTCATTGCTCTCCTCCCAAGAAGGAAGTGTCTTCTGATTTCCTGGCTGCAGTCTGCATCTGCAGTAATCTTTGCACCTAGAAATACAAAGTCTGTCACTGCCTCCACATTTTCTCCCTCTATTTGCCAGTTATCAATCTGTCTTGTTGCTATAATCTTGGTCCAGATTTTGGGGCACAATCCAGAGCAACCATGACTTTGGTTAACAGAGTCCAAAGCAGCTAAGCAGCTAGTGTTAACCTAAACCAGCTCTCTGCAGCATTTAGACATCATGGTGCTGATTCAACTGGTCTTCACACTAAGGGCTCACTGTAGATGTGACTTCTTTCATTTTCTTTGCACTAAATCCCATCTGCAGAAGAGTTCTAGCATTCTCATGGCTTTATCTTTTTTTTGCTTTAATAAGTATCTGCCGCCAGCAATAATGTGTTATAAACAGTTTTTATTGATCAATTTAAGGATTATTTTTAAAACCTTAAAGATAGGACTAGTTACCGTATTTTCTGGCATATTAGACAACTTTTTAACCCTGGAAAATCTTATGTAAAGTTGGGGGGTCGTCTAGTATGCTGGGTATAAAATTAAAACAATAATAATTAAAAGAAAAGAATAAAATCTAACTCACTTCGTGGCACGACCTGAGGAGGGAGGGATGGCACGGAGAGGAGAAGCGGCAGGCTGTATTGCCATGGAGACCGGCTAGGTGGGGTGATAGCTCGCTGGGCTGTCCCCGTGGCCCCCGCCACTCTTCCCGCTCTACTTTCAAGGCCCTCTTCCACCCCCAACACTCACCTCCTCCGAAGGCCACTGGGCTCGCCTAGGCTCAAGGAAGCTTGGATGTGCTAGCTAAGGCATTCTGGGAGCTGTAGTTCCCTGGCTCTTACGGCTCTTAGAATGCCTCAGCAAGCACATCCAAGGCATGCTGCTGCCCAGGTCTGCGGCTTGCCTTGGATGTGCTTGCTGAGGCATTCTGAGAGCCGTAGGACTCACAGAGCTACGGCTTCCAGAATGGACTCACAGAACTACGGGTTCCATTCTGCCGCCAAGGCTACTGGGAGTCGTCGTCTGAAGGCGCTTCCTTGCGCCTCCAGATGATGATTCCTAGCAGCCCCAGGCAGCATGCCTGAGATGTGCTTACTGAGGCATTCTGGGATCCGTAGGACTCATGGAACTACGGCTCCCAGAATGCCTCAGCGAGCACATCCCAGGTATGCCACCCGGGGCTCCTGGGAGTTGTCGTTCGGAGGCACTTCCTTGGGCCTAGGAAAGCCCAGTGGCCTTCGGAGGAGATGAGTGGCGTGGGCGGAAGAGGGCCTTGAAAGTAGAGTGGGGAGAGCCACGGGGACAGCCCAGCGGGGCATAACCCCCGGCTAGTCTCTGTGGAATATGGAGTAGTCTTAAATGGCGAGTATACCCCTAACTCTGTATTTTGTCTTGAAAAGTTGGGGGTTGCCTTATATCTCCAGTTGTCTTGTATGCCGGAAAATACGGTACATTACTGTCTTGTATTGCATTAGTTATTTGAAGAATAAGAAAGATCAAAACTAGACTGAGACTTTCAAATGACAAGCTTCTGCAACATCTTTGCTTCTGGTAAGATGTGCTAATGTATGGAAAAGGTATTGTATGTGGGTTGTAGGATTTTAATGCTGAATTCATTGCCGTTATAGTGCTCTACATTTGCTGTGCTCCAAAGCTCTTGGTACCATGTTGTTTTGACACACATTGCATTCTTTATGCAGAAATCCAGTAACTATGTCCGGATCGGAATGATTAACAATCCTAGTGAAGACCCAGCCAGTGAAAACACGGTTATTGCCAGGGCCATCTGGGCAGCCTTACAGACACAAACATCTAACAATGCCAAAAACTTTATCACAAAGCTGGCTAAAGAGGAGAATGCAAAAGCACTGGAAGCTGGAACTGATGTCACAGAATTTGCTGTTGGGGTAAGCATACACTGGCTTCTGCTGTGAGGTACACTCGTAAATGGCAAGTTAGAGCAACACTTGCCTGTTTCCTAATTTTCTCAGCCTGGTTTTTGCCAGATGGATTAGACTGCATTTTTTGGAATCCTTTGGCCAAACTTACTGTGGGATTCTGAGATCTGTAGTCCAACACATTTAGAAGTACTATGTTAGGGATACCTTTTCTAAGGCTATCAGTTCATTTTGCAGAGATGCATTGCCTTGTCTCTTTGTTCATTTGCACTGAGGATCATTTCTTTCCTTCTCAGGGAATGGATATCAATACATTCAAAGCTGCTTTTGAATCTTCTAAAGTGGATTTTATCCTGTCACATACTCTGTACTCCAGGGATGTTCTTAAACTGAGGAAAGGACAGAGGGCAGTCATCAGCAATGGAAGGGTGAGCAAACTGAACTTTTAAAATGAGAAGAGCATACTGTTTCACTTGTTGCAAAATTTAGTTAATCTGCTGAATTCTTCACACTCAGAAAAGCGTAACAATGTAAATTGGCTGACAACTCATTAAATAAATATAAGAATTCAGCCCTTTGGTTTTGAATGTTGAAAATGAAAATCATCAGTGTATAATGCTATGAATTTTGGCAGGGTGTGTTCCTCTAGAACTTCAACTTCATTTGGCTATATTTGCTCTGACCAATCCTGAGACATGGTAGAGAGTAGTAGCTCATCAACAGCTGCAGAATGGAATGTTCCCCAAACCTTTTATTGTGGGCTTAGGAATTCTAGTCATGAATAGATTCCTCTAGTTTATTTAAAGTACTATCCAGATTTTAAAAGCTGGTCAGGCCATAGAGGGCCCAAAAATGGCTAAGGGATTGCAAGTTAAAAACGGTTTAGATGTCTCTTGATGATATTAGGCTCTGGAATTTTACTGTTCACACCTTTTAATCAAGTTAAGCACCACACAGCTGGGTTTTCTTGGTATCTGGGCAAGTGGGGGGGGGGGGGTTCTTCAGTTCTGGCAATCTTGCAGTTACTTTCAGGTCCTGATTCAGTAAGTTGACGTTACACTGTAAAGCCTTACAGCATTGGGCTGCCTGTCTGCATAGAATCACAGAGTTGGAAGACACCTCATGGGTCATCCAGTCCAACCCCCTGCTGAGAAGCAGGAAAATTGCATTCAAAGCATCCCTGACAGATGGCCATTCAGCCTCTGTTTAAAATCCTCCAAAGAAGGAGCCTCCACCACACTCTGGGGCAGACAGTTCCACAGTTAGAAAGTTCTTCCTAATGTGCAGGTGGAATCTCCTTTCCTGTAGTTTGACACCATTGTTCCACATCCTAGACTCCAGGGCAGCAGAAAACAAGCTTGCTCCCTCTCCCTGTATATTTATACATCGCGATCATATATAAATATATACATGGCCATCATGTCTCCTTTCAGCATTCTCTTCTGCAGGCTAAACATGCCCAGCTCTTTAAGCTGCTCCTCATAGGGCTTGTTTTCCGGACCTTTGATCATTTTAGTTGCTCTTCTCTGAACACTTTCCAGCTTGTCAACATCTCCCTTCAATTGCGGTGCCCAGAATTGGTTGTCTCTTTTTGAACCTGTCCAGGTGTGAAAATCCTGTTGAGAATGTTCCTACCTGAAGAGGTCAATTTGATGGATTACACTTTCTTCTCTGTTGCTCCCAAAAGATGGAATATATTCCACAGTGTTGGAACACTCTCCATTCTGGATGCTTTAGGAAGGGTGGGAAAGGAATACACATTTTATCATTCTAGACTTTAAATTCTTATTGGTATTATTGTAGTGATTTTATAATTTAATTTGTTTTCAGATATTGTTAGCTGCTATTGTCATGTACTGTATTTTAAGGCAAAAAAGTGAAATAAAAATTTAGTAAACTATGTGTCGTCGAAGGCTTTCATGGCCAGAATCACTGGGTTGCTGTGAGTTTTCCAGGCTGTATGGCCATGTTCCAGAACATGGCCACACAGCCCGGAATACTCACAGTAACCTAGTAAACTATCTTTGTTGTTGCAGTTATGGACAATAAGGTCTCTCAAAACTCTGTGTATTCTTGTTAATTCGTTAAAGTTGTTAAGCATCAGCTGTAGAAACAATTGGAATATTGCAGACCGTGTCCACCTCTGTAGCTTTATTTTTCTCATTTTGTTTAGATTATTGGTCCTTTGGAAGATGGTGAGCTTTTCAACCAGGATGACTTCCATTTGCTAGAGAATATTATTTTAAAGACATCTGGACAGAAAATAAAGGCTCACATTCAACAGCTAGGAGTAGAGGAAGATCTGTAAGTAAAAATGACCAAACTGTGAAAAGGAAGCAAGATGTCTCTGTTAATGTGGTTTTTCTAGATATTTTCTTCAGCTGTTGGAAAGAAAGAGAGCAAGAAAGCTTTTCTCCCTCTCTTTTATTGGCAAACCTCATTTGGATGTTTTACTTTCTGTTTGAATGCTTACCATAATGGATTTGATACTATGGACTGTATCCAGGCTTTTTCTTACAAAACAGGGACTCTTCCTTCCCATTGCAGCTCTTTGCATCTCTCCAGGCCACTCTTGTGGGAGAGTTGGCAGAAAGATATAGCTCTTGTGCCAGGTGTTTAATGACACAGTTGAATATAAGCCATTGATTATTATGTCTTTTGCTAAATCACATGATAGTATTCTTAGTTTTCTTTATAAAAAAATATCCCGTGACGAACTTTGTAACACTGAAAATAAATATTTGAACAGGTGCCTCTTTTCATTTTTTGTTTAGTGCAAGTGATCTTGTAATGAAAGTAGATGCCCTTCTGTCTGCACAACCAAAGGGAGAAGCAAGGATTGAATACCATTTTTTTGAAGATAGACACAGGTGAAAAGAAAATGAAATTGGTTCTTTGACAGTATAATTGACCCTTGGTATCTGCTGGGGTTTGATTTCAGCTCTCCTGCCCTCTAAATATCAGAATATCTGGATATTCAAGTCCCATTATACACAATGGCATGGTAAAATTGTGCCTTATATGTAAAATGGCAAAATCGAGATTTACATTTTGGATTAAAAAAAATATTTTCAAGCTATGAACGGTTGAATCCATGGATACAGAATTTGTGTTTAAGAAGGGCTTACTTGATATGTGTAAAATTAACTTACCTTATAATACATTAAATAATCCTAACAAAATCTTGGCATTTTTTTTTTTTACTTTTTAGCATTAAGGAGTGTTACGGATTACTATGTTGACAACTTAATCTGCCTTTAAAGAAGGCTAGGATTAATATACTAAGCCCTCCTAATGTTGGCTTTTGCTGATACTTCTTTGTTCATACTTCACATTTAAGGGGAAAACAGTCTCACATTCATATAACTAGTTGTCTTTCCTCTTCCTCAGTGCAATTAAGTTGAGACCAAAGGAAGGAGAGACATATTTTGACGTTGTGGCTATTGTTGATCCTGCTACCAGAGAGGCACAAAGAATTGCTCCACTTCTTATGGTATAAATCTTTTTATTTGAAGTAATTGGTTGAACTCAACAATGAATCCTCTACCACTTCCTCTATTACAGAAGACAGGGCAATAATTTGTAGACTGGATATGGAATCTACAATTAGAGAGTAAATCTCACTGAAACATTCTCAAAAATCATGCTTGATATTCAAATCACTCTGGCATTCTTTTAGTGACATCCCCTGAAAATATAACAAATGTCTTGATCATTCTTTGTTAAGCTTAAAGTATGAATATTTGAAAGCAAGCATGTCTTGATATGAAGGAAATGAAAAGCTAAATGTATAATATCTAATTCCTTGGTAAAAAAAATACGTTAGAGAAAAATGATGTAGATTTTTTGTGTGTCAGGAGTGACTTGAGAAACTGCAGGTCACTTCTGGTGTGAGAGAATTGGTCATCTGCAAGGATGTTGTAGATATATTGTCGTGAATTAAAGAAAAAGTGTTCAAACTATGGTTTAAATATAAAAACACCTGGTGCCATCACCTTTATGTTCCTTTTTACAGCATTCTCTGTTCAAACAAGAAGATTAAATACAAGCAGTATAACAAATAAAGATACCAAGGAATGCATAAAGTATTTATTTAAAAATGGTAAACTGATACATTTAGACTTAGGTAAGAAAAAAAATCATAGACTAATTGATCCTATTTGGTTACAATTAGTACAAATAACTTAAGACCATATTTTGTTGGAAAAATAATAGAATCATAAAAGTTGGAAGGGATAACAAAGAACATTTAGTCCAACCCCATTCTGCCATGCAGGAATACATAATCCAAGCACTCTTGGCAGAGGGCCATCTAGCCTTTGCTTAAAAACTTCCAGAGAAGGAGACTCCACCACATTCTGAGGCAGCATATTTCAATGTTGAACAGCTCTTCCTAATGTTGAGGTGGAATTTCTTTTCCTGCAGCTCGGATCCATTACTCCTTGATGTAGTCTCCAGAACAGGAGAAAAATTGTTCACTCTCAATAAGAAATCCTTTCAGATATTTAAATATGACTAATATGTCCCCTCTTGACTGCCTCTTTTCCAAGGTAAACATACCCTCCTCCCAATGCTGCTCCTCATAGGGCTGTTAGTATGATTACTCCAGAACAAGTGATAGGAGCATTTCTGGCTAGTGAGCCAATATAAGAAGACTCATTTGTATGTACGGGACAATAAGAAATCTACTCTTACCTTAAGACTAAATATTTATATTGGACAGTGCATATTGTACTTATTGTTTTGTACTTTTAAAGGTTGTATATTATGTGCTGTCATGGCCTATGGCTGGTACAATAAACAATTCACTCTCTTACCTAGAAATTTAACTTTGTGTTTGTCTTGCATTCTAAGGTGTTGAACAAACTGATAAACATGAACCTCAGAGTATTTATGAACTGTCAGTCCAAGCTCTCTGAGATGCCTCTGAAAAGGTGAGGAATAGTGAGTGTTTTGTACCACACAAGAAGATGGAAAACTAGCATAAGCTACCTTAATGTAGCCTCCATATCTCTGTCATAAGACCTACTTACAGCATTTTAAAATAAAGATATGGAGGCTTCATAAAGTTGCAGTAAGCTCATTTTTTACTGACTTCAATAATGGAAAGAACGAGCCTTTTGTGAATCTTGTGCTTAATCCACCTGCTAAGTACAGCTTTTATAACTGCAACAAATCTCGTGCCTCATCAATTTAGGATTAGGTTGGTAGAAGTGACACAATAAATTTCCTGAGAACTGAGTCTGTGAGATGGCGGTAGTCATGGTGTTCCTTCTGGGTGATATTTCATGAGAAGAAGAAACTGTTGATGAAAAAAAGAGGGCAGAAATACTATGCATGTGTGAATGCATAGTCTTTTCACAACACATAGAAGAAACCCATAATGACTGAATTAATCCCAGCATTCCAATCTGACTAGGCAGGAAGATTTTGAGTCAGATGCATGTTGTACTTGGAATGGACAAACTCCAAATTTCAGTTTTGGTGCTGGCAAAATATGTCAGTAGTTTGGTGACATTTTCTAAGGACTGAGGGCCTTTCCACACAGCCCTATATCCCAGAATATCAAGGCAGAAAAATCCAACAATATCTGCTTTGAACTGGATTATCTGAGTCTACAACTCAAATCATGTGGGATTTTCTGCCTTGATATTCTGGGATATAGGGCTGTGTGAAAGGGCCCTGAAATACATTCAGTCAGCTATGATTCACAAACATTTCAGCTTAACTATCTATTAGCATCACAGCTCTGTAACTAAGATACCAAGCTTAGATTTGTAACTATGTTTTGCTTGAGGGGAAGGACCTTGCAAGGTTTGAAAGCTTGCAGACTTAGCCTTATTAGGCTAATGTTTCTATTTGAAAAGAGAGGAAGTTACCTGCTTTGTCCCATTTAGAAAAGCAGTTGATCAGTATAGATACGGCTCCATTTCAGTCTTTTACTTTCTCTTGCTCTGGTATCAGTTGTTAACATATTTTATAATTAGGCTTCACTGATATAAGAATCTATCAAAAATAAAAGACATATATTGAAAGAAAATTAACTGCCAGCTATGTACTAACATACTTCAATATGATTTTTTTAAAATTTTAGTTTTTACCGCTATGTTTTGGAGCCAGAGATCACTTTTACAGCAGACAAACAATTTGCTCCTGGTCCAGTCGCCAAATTCCTGGATATGCCTCAGTCTCCCTTATTTACTCTGAACCTAAATACTCCAGAGAGCTGGATGGTGGAGTCTGTAAGAACATCATATGATCTTGACAATATTTACTTAGAAGAGGTAAGTTCTAGTTCATGTCTAAATATATAATCAGGATTCAAAGCTCTTTTAAACCATTAAAGGTTTTAACTGCATTTTGAAATCTGCTCTAATTATTAGTCATAGCCAAGTTAGGAGAGCAAGCTTCATTTACTTTAGCCTTAATAGTGATTGTCTTTTTCATAGGTGGAGAGTGTAGTAGCAGCTGAGTATGAATTGGAGCACCTCCTTTTGGAGGGTCACTGCTATGATATCACAACCGGACAGCCGCCTCGAGGCCTGCAGTTCACACTGGGAACATCAACAAATCCTGTCCTTGTTGACACTATCGTTATGGCCAACTTAGTAAGTGATTGCTTTTCTCACCCGTTGAACCAAAACAAAATGTCTTTTGAACAGAGCTGAATCCAAATGACAACAGTCCTTTTCTTTCCATCCTCATTTATTACAGGAGAAATTCAGAAACTAATTTTGAAATCTTATTTTTCCTGGCAGTTCTTTTCATGTTTTCAGTTTTTCTACTTCCCCCATATGTGTTTTTTTTAAAACACAGCTAACATATAATACCAAATAATGATCTAAATCAGTGGCTCTTAAACCTGTGGGTCCCCAGGTGTTTTGAACCACAACTCCCAGAAATCCTAGCCAGTTTACCCGCTGTCAGGATTTCTGGGATCTGAAGGCAAAAACATCAGGGGACCCACAGGTTGAGAACCACTGATCTAAATAGTATTGGATTCACAAAAGTTAATGGCACTGGAATCAGGGTCTTGTTGCATTTCTGAAATAAGAGTAAAGGAAAGTTTTATTTAGGAGAGAGTCAACAGATCAACTAAAAACTTCCCATTCTGCCTTTTTGTGCTACTGGCATCTTGATATTTCTGTGAGAACTTCGTATATGAATGGAAATTCTTAAAAATATGTAGGCCTAGGATGAATATGTTCTCAGCCTTTGTGTTTTGGGCTTTGGCTCCCAGAAACTTCAGCCTGGCTGGCCAGTGGTCAGAGATCTTGGAAGGTGAAGGCCAACATATGTGGAACACCAAAGTTTAAGAACCAACAGTTCCAAGACTTGTATCCTCACAAGTCCTGCATGGCAGATTGTCAGACTGGATGTGCCTTATGGTATTTTCCAAAAGCATGATTCTAAATTAATTTAAAGTTGAGTCCTAAAATTGTAGACATCCAATGAAGTCTGAATGAAACTAATAATCCTTGCTGATTTGAAACTTGATATCTACATCATACTTGAGAACCTCAGACTTACTACATAACCATTATGCATATGCAACTAAGAAAATTCTCAGCATCATCAGGAATGTCAACTTGCTGTCATCTGAGTGAGAAGTTTATTACTAATACATTGTCTCTCATAAGTTTGCTCTAGAATGTTTTTTTCTCTGTCTACTGCACAGGGTTACTTCCAGTTAAAAGCCAATCCTGGTTCCTGGTTTTTGCGGCTCAGAAAGGGAAGATCTGATGATATCTACAGAATTTACAGGTCAGTCATTTTAAAAAATTGCTCCAGTTTTGGCCATTGTAATGAATATGCGTGCGGAACTTTGTGGTTTATAAACATGACATTCATACTCCCCCACTGAGTGAAAAAATGGAGGATTCAAGAGTACTTTTGGCTTCTCTTACCTTCCCTAAATAGCCAACCAGATGACAGTTGAATGAAATGTACAGTTTTATATGCAAATATGCAAATCTGTGCTTGAGTCCTTTCTGATTTTTTTGTCAGTATTTTGATAAGTTGAAAATGAGCTCATGATGAAAGGTAGGGAAGAAGTTACAAAAATATAATAGTGTACTACCATGGATGATTGTGTTAAATGGTTTAATTTGTTTAATTTCAGCCATGATGGTACAGATTCTCCTCCAGATGCCAGTGATGTTACCGTCGTTATCAACAATTTCAAGAGTAAAATTATTAAAGTGAAGGTGAGATTGACATAGCAATATTTTAATATTTTCATTAAGGTGTGCTTCAGTCTGGTTTCTAGTTTGTATTTGCTCCTGACTGTTCATTTATTTTACTGTAGCTTGCTATTCCTATGACATTTGCTGGATATTCAGCCTCCTTTTCATGGCTTAAGAATTTTCTTCCTGATGGTTGGGCAGGGGATGATAGTCAATGTCCTACATATTATATGCAGTAAAGCATTAATGAGTTGTTTTAATTGCTTTTATCATTTATTACTGTTATCGACATTGAATGAATGCCTGTTGTGAAGCCGCCCTGAGTCCCTTCTGGGGGTGAATAGGACGGGATACAAACATATGAAATAAATAAATAAAGAGAAGTCACTTGGTTGGGGAATGCAGTTTGCTTGCATATTATTTTGAACTGTATGAAATCATGTAGTTAATTAGTTCGCTGTTCTGTCTTTGTAGGTTCAAAAGAAATTAGATATGATAAATGAAGATTTACTGAGTGATGGAACTAATGAAAATGAGTCTGGATTTTGGGAATCCATTAAATGGTATGCTTCTTTGTCTGTTCTTCAAGTCTAGCAAGTTGCTAGCCTTGATACTTTAATTGTAGCTGATATGAAACCCATGGAATTGGTGGGTTACAAATGGTTGGTAAGACATTGAGATGCAGTAATTTGAGTGTTGGAATAGGAGTCTGGTAAACCAGGAATCAAAACTCCATGTGGCCATGGAAGCAGACTTGGTGGCTTTGGGCAAGTAACACTCCTTCAGCCTCAGAGGAAGGAAATGGCAAAGGCTTTTAAAATAAACCATGCCTTAAAAAACATGATAGGGTTGCCTTAGGATCACTATAAGTCATAGAATAATAGAGTTGGAAGAGACTGCATGGGCCATTTAGTCCAACCCCCTGCAATGCAAGAAAAGCACAATCAAAGTACCCTTGACAGATGGCCATCCAACCTCAGTCAGAAACAGCTTGAAGGCAAATTACTACTACTGCAACACTAAGGCAATAGTTTTTAGTAGTTATATCTCTATATCCCTAGTACTTAATTGCATGTGGATACATTTTTAAAATCTGCAAAATTATTTTGACTTTCTGGCCAACTATGTAATTTTTCTCTGGCAGAATTATTCATGATGGCCTGATTTGTCCTAAGCAAGAGCTATGAAATTATGCATGCATATTCCAGCTGAATGTTTCACTGCCAAGAATGGATAAGTCTTTTATTTGAAATTGTGGACTCTACTTGTTCATGTCATAGATAACAGCTTCTGGTCCAAGGAATAATTTGTATGCACGATTACTTGATAATGCCACCCTTTTTATCCATGAAGCAAAGTCACTAATACTTGTAACATTCCCAACCAACGTTGGCTAAGAACTGGATGTAAGACAGCCAGGATTTTGCATCTACACTCTGTGTCATTTAAGATTTGCATATAAGCAATCTTTTTTTGTTTTTGGTCTCTTTAGGGGATTTACAGGTGGACAGAAGAAAGAAGAGGTGAAACAGGACAAGGATGATGTAATCAACATATTTTCTGTTGCATCAGGCCATTTATATGAGAGATTTCTCCGGTTAGTCTAAAATAAATACTGCTTCATCATGAGAATTTGGGAGACTGTATCTTGTCTTCATTAAGTATATGATTTTGCATAAAAGCTTTGCCAGAGAAAGTTGCAGTGATCCAAATTTATAATGACTTCCACCGCTGCAACAATAATAAAGTTGTAATCTTCATATATAAATAACTGCTTATTTGTATGTAGGAAGATGTACATATTTAATTCTGGCTGTCTAACAGACAAGGTAGAAAAATAAAGCTTCTGCTCTTAGGTGGTAATAAGAGCTATTCAGAACCTTAGTGCTTTCATTTTTGAGACAGATCAATGGCACCCAAAGACTATGAATCATAAGAATTCTTCCACAGTTTTTCACTCAGTTCTGTAGCCTAGGAAAGTTACTTTTGTAGACTCCAGTTCCCAAAATCTGGGAACTGTACTCTATTTTTCAATGTTCACAAGTTTCACATCAGATGTTCCCAACTTCAGAGAATGATAATTTGGGAGAGTCTTCTGAATTTCTAAAAAGACAAAGTTTCCAAAAAGCATTAGCTACAGTACTGCAGCATTGGTGAGAAATTTTTAATATCTGTCGTGCCTTCTTTCTCAGGGGTCATTTCTGCAAGAACGTTAGAACTTAAGAAGCCTCACTGAATCAGACTAAAGACGTATTTGGTCTAACATTATGTTCATACAGAGGCCAGTCAGTTGCCTGCAGGAATACTACCAGTATGAAATAAGTGCAACTGTGTTCTTTGTTTGTTAACCTTTTTAGTTTTTATGCAAGAGTAGTTTTATTGCCCCTGCAATGTTGGAGGGTGACCAGAGGTAGTGTGCGTCTATAAAAATGTGGTGTGTAGCAAATACAATTTTCAATGGATGTTGTTATAAGCATGTGTTTAAGGTGTGGCATTTGATTTGTGCTAGTTATTTCACATACTTAATAGGTTTGTTTGTATTGCTTTTACTGATCTTAACAGCATAATGATGCTATCTGTACTGAAACATACAGACACTCCAGTAAAATTCTGGTTCCTGAAGAATTACCTGTCACCTTCATTTAAGGTTTGTTGCATTGAAAAGTTTTATTTTTCATTTGTTAAAGCTTGAAACTTGCAAAATATTCTCCATCTTTTTCATATGTAAATTAATGAATTGTGGTGGCTAAATTGGAGTGCATACTTCAGGAAAGTTTTGCAGATATTAACAAAACTCAGGAAAGGATGCTTCACATCTCTGTATTTATTAAGAAGGCGTTTTCACCATTCTTTTGCCAAAAAGTGCTCCTATACAAGTTTATGCTAAATAATAATAAAACAGAACCTGCCAACAAGATTATGAAATAAAGACCGCAGCCTAAAAGGATAAGAGGAAACAAGCAAACATGAATGTTAGTGAAGGTAAATGACGGAAAGAAAATTGACACATTTGAAATGTATTGTTGGAAAAGAGATTTGTAAATACAATGACCTGTCAAAAAGACAGTTAGTTTGAGAACAAATTATGCTCAAACCTACCCTAAAAGTCTATATCATGAGTTGATGTGACTCACAGGATGCTAGGTAAAGTTGAAGACAGTACGAAAAGAGGAAGACAACATAAGTATAGAAAATAAAGCATTCCATCAAGGGCCCCTGAGGTTGCAAGACCTAAGTTTGGCTCTTATAAAAAGGGTATCTTGGAGTCCCCTCATTCTTAGGGTCACCATAAATTGAAACCAATTTGATGTCAAAAACGTATCTAGAAACTATTGGAATTTTGGGTTTATCTCAAGCACAATTTAAAGATAGACTTCTGCAGCCTTCTGACAAGCCTTAACCAGAATTTCCAGTGATAAATATTTAAGGGAATTTCAATCTAGAAACATCCTTGCCCTATCTAATAGGAACTTTAGGCTTCCTTTGCTAATTATATTTGGTACTAGAAGAAAAAACAATCTAGTGAGCACTGTGTTTTCAAAACCATTATCTCTCACATGGCTAACATTTTCTAGTTCAACAAATGAACTAAAAACAGATTTTCCATTCCAATAATTAAATGGGCTGCAGGAATACTACCAGTATGAAATAAGTGCAACTGTGTTCTTTGTTTGTTAACCTTTTTAGTTTTTATGCAAGAGTAGTTTTATTGCCCCTGAGGTGACAAGAGAAGGAGACAGGGAAGAAGAAAAAAAAGCATATTCAGTTGCTGTACATGATTGATTCCCAAACGTTGGCCCTCCATGTTTAATCCTACTGAAGCTAATGGAGAAGGTCTTTCTTAATTCATTTTTCTCTGATGGAAGCAGGTAGATAGAATAGGCATTGATGAGAGCAGTTCTGAAATGGTCAAGATGGTTCAGGATAGCTTATTGTCCTCTTCTTAAAATTCTTCTCTCTCCCCCACCTCCTGGAACAAGAAATGAAAAAAGCCAAACCTGATTGGTAGCCAAATTCTGTGAGTCCTTGGACTTTTAGCTCATACTTTTATAATTGTGTATAAGTAGCTTTTATAGTCAAGTGCATGAATGTAAGAATTGGAGGCTTTTTTGTTTTTGTTTTTTTTAAGTGCTACAATGCTGCCTTTTTATCAGCAGCATTAATCTCTATTTTATTCCAGGAATTCATCCCATACATGGCTGAGAAATACAATTTCCAATATGAGCTTGTCCAGTATAAATGGCCACGATGGCTCCACCAGCAAACAGAGAAGCAGCGCATAATCTGGGGTTATAAAATCCTTTTTCTGGATGTTCTTTTCCCCCTCGCTGTTGACAAGTTTCTGTTTGTAGATGCTGATCAGGTGAGTGGTCTTGAAAACGAATGTAATCATTGCAATTTTAAATTGCTTCATTTCCCTTGAGAAAGCCTACTAGTGGATTGTAAGATGGGGTGACTTTGAGGTAGAAGATTCAGGTGAAAGAATATGAAGTAACAAGTAAGGGAATGTTCAACAGAGCTCACAGACCATTGTTTGTCAACCAAGTGTTCCATTTCTTATTTGTTTGGAGAATGGTAATCACTATATAATATAGAACTGGAACATTACCATAATATCTGGCTTCCATCTAAATTTCCTACCCTTATTCCCATTTCCACTAACAGTTTAAAAGAGAGAGAGAGAGAGCAAGACAAAAACTGGTTAAACTTAGATAACTGATTTTGAAGTGTGTATTTATATTGTGAATTCAAACCAACCTTTAATAGTAGAAGTAGTACATTATAAGATGCAGAGGGAGGCAAAAAAGCAAGACTTTTTCACTAGGCTTGTGCAATCCAGGTAAATCGCTCTCTGTTTCGGTGTCCCAGATTTTGGTGGAGGTCCCGATCTGTTTTTTGGGAGCCTCCTGAATTTGGGAGGACATAAATCGGTTTTTCGATCTGGGAAGCTGAAATATTCGTTTTCTATCTGGTCCATTATGAGAGAAACTTTCCAGGCTCCCCTTCCCATCATTTTCGACATTGTTTGTTGTTCTATCCTTAATTAAGACCTGGATTAAAAGCATCAGAGTTAAGATACCACTCTTTCTGCTATTCTTTCCCTTCTGTCTGTAGAGGAGGCTTGGTTTTAATGCTTTGTTAAAGCTGTTTCTACTCTAGAGGAGACAGGAGCTGCACATGCACGCAGCTCTCTCCTTGGAGGAGAGAGCTTTTCCAAGGCATTTTAAGGTGGCTTCCCATTTCTCAGGGAAGGAAGAGGGATCAACTTGGAGGTATCTTACCATGGGCTTCCTTTAAAAAGCCTTCCATTCTCTCCGGAAAGAAGAACTTGCTCCTTACCCCCTCATGCTTCAATGCCCTTTCTGCTTCTAGATCAAGAGAGAAGGGAGTGCTTAAGAAACCTCGCTACCTGGGATCCTTTTCTCCTTCTAGCGGCTGCTTCCTTCCCTTCACTTCCCATGTAACTGAAAGAAACTGAAAGCAGCCGGTTTTCGACAGCCACTGTTCTGTTGCAGTTTGTTAAAAAATGGCTGTGGAGCCCATGCCGTTATAGGCTTCCGAACAAGCCTAACAAGTTGAAGACAAACATCCAAAACGAATCTGTGCATTTTCTCAAGGCAGTTCCAAGTTGAAGAGGAAAGGATAGCGTGCACAATTACCCTTTTTTTCTTCCTTGAGCCTATCTATGATGGGGGGAAAAGAAGAAGGCACTTGGAGGAATAACAATACACCTTTCAACCTTGGATTACATATAGTTCAGAGGATGCATGTCTAGGACTGGAAAAGTGTCTCCAACCATACTGAAACCATGTGATTTCCTTGGCTATAGGATAGTTTGGAGGTTGGGACTGCCCATTTATATCTCATATTTCAACCTCAAAATAAAAACTGAACTATTTTTCTTCAGATTGTTCGCACTGACCTCAAAGAGTTAAGAGATTTCAACTTGGATGGGGCGCCTTATGGTTACACACCATTCTGTGAAAGTCGCAGGGAGATGGATGGCTATAGATTCTGGAAGTCAGGATATTGGGCAAGTCACTTGGCTGGAAGAAAATATCACATCAGGTGAGCAGATGAAAGTTAATGTTCACTTGCTTTTGAAAAGGCGCTTAAAACTGCTTACTGTTGCTTGATACACTTGAAATGTGCATGAGTTAAGTTTGTGTAAAATGTAGGATTTGCAGTTTTTAAAGAATGTCCACTTTGGTTAGGGTAACCTAACTACCCAAAAGATACCAGATCCTGTCTGATTTTTCAAGCTAAGCATAGTCAGCATTGGTAGTACTTGGATGGAAGACGGACCACTAGTACCAGATGCTGCAGGCTATATTTCAGAGGAAGGAACTGGCAAAACTATTTCTGAATATTATTTACCTAAAAACAACCTGTGAAATTCATGGGAGTTGCCATAAGTCAACCAGTGACTTGAAGGAAGATACATAGTGACTCAGATACTTTCTCTGTTCTTAGTGCTCTCTATGTGGTGGATCTGAAAAAATTCAGGAAGATAGCTGCTGGAGATCGGCTTAGGGGACAATATCAAGGACTTAGCCAGGATCCTAACAGTCTCTCGAATCTTGACCAGGTATTTACTTGTTACTGTCATTTTTGGAAATGTAGAAATGCCTCAGTGGCCCAAAAGTTTAAAATCCCTTGCCAAGATTTTATTTATTATTTATTTATATTTATTTACAGCATTTATATTCCTTTTATATTATTTTAGATGTGATAAATAGCTTTTTTTTAAAAAAATAACGTTACCTTATTCTTAAAAGGATTGTCATTCTGTTCCAGAAAGTAATAAATTACAGATAATGCTGTTACTTGGTAATGACTTTTGTTCCATGAACTGAAAATCGGACAGGGTGATTGGGCAGGATAGATCGTATCCCCTAATATAACTTGCTATATTTTTTCCTGTAATATTATTTCTTTCCAAGTATTCATTGTAAGGTTTGGCAATTTTCCCCCCTTTAAGTCCTCGTCAGCACAAATATCTTGTGCTTGGGCTCATTTTATGCCTCACAAACCCTTGTGGGTTGGAAGGTGATACAGGAATTTATTTTGAAAAATTCTGTATCACCTTCCAATCCACAAGGGTTCGTGAGGCATAGAACAAATAAAAACTCATCAAAGCGATATAAAAATTAAAACAAATTAACTCTTTAAAAAAAACTACTGGAATGAGTCCAAAAACAATCCTAAAATCCAGTTTTGAAACTGAAAACACTTTCAAATATGTACAGCACTGTTTTGAGTATCTGCAGAAAACTTTATAAAGAGGGAGGCTGCCTAACTTCTTTGGATAAGAAGTTCTTGCATATTCCCATCAACCTAACTTCACAGTATGTTGGGATATACAATAGGGGCTCCTTTGATGAACTCAGATTTCTGGTCTTTCGGGTCTTAGGTTATATCTGATAATGCATTCAAACCCCTTTACAAAGGCACATCTATCTGTTGAAAGAAACATGACTGTGTTTTCCTTTAAACAGGACTTACCCAACAACATGATCCATCAGGTGCCCATTAAATCACTCCCCCAAGAGTGGCTTTGGTGTGAAACATGGTGTGATGATGCTTCAAAGAAGAGAGCAAAAACTATTGATCTAGTAAGGATCTTTGTAAATATAAAATGAAAAGGAACTACTTTCTCTGCTTCTCTCTCTCTCTCTCTCTCTCTATATATATATATATATATTCATTTAAAGAGAACAGAGGGGATTTTCCACTATATATTGCTTTCATGGCTTTTCATCCTGATCTTATCTTTTCAGCAATGACCACATGGCACTAAAAGTTGTCCAGTTTCAGTATTCTCAGGGGGCACTAGTCTCCATGCAGTGACCTCCAGGTTGAGCGGATACTTTGACACACAAAGTTTTTTTGTTGTTACATGCTTTTGAGTCCACTTTGACTAATCTCAACCCTAGCATAGACTTTCTTTGGGAAGATTTATTCAGAGGAGGTTTATCCGTGTCTTCCTCTAACAGTTGGAGTATAACTTGTCCAAGGTTACCATGGCTAAGCAGAGATTCAAACCCTGATCTTTCAGAGTCCTGGCCGAAGACACAGATGACTGCAACACACTAACCCAGAATATTAATAATGCCTTTACATTTTAGTGCTGAGTCTTCTATATTAGGAGACATCTGTGCCCAGATATTGTCATGTATAAAAAGTATAAGCAATCTAACATTGAAATAACAGGATTAATTATTTAATAATTTCAAGCAATTTTCCTTTGCTTATAAATGAGTCTTGGGACAAACTATTACATCTTGAGTTGCTGTGAGTTTTCCGGACTGTATGGCTATGTTTGAGAAGCATTCTCGCCTGACGTTTTGCCCACATCTATGGCAGGCATCCTCGGAGGTTGTGAGGTCTGTTGAAAACTAGGCAAGTGAGGTTTATATATCTGTGGAATGTCCAGGGTGGGAAAAAGAACTCTTGTCTCTTGGAGGCAAGTGTGAATGTTGCAATTGGCCACCTCAATTAGCATTTAATGGCCATGCAGCTTCAGAGCCTGTCTGGTTGCTGCCTGGGGTGGATCCTTTATTGTGAAATGTTAGCTGGCCCTGATTGATTTTTGTCTGGAATTCCCCTGTTTTTTGAATGTTGCTCTTCATTTGCTTTCCTGATTTTTGGAGGTTTTTTTTTAAATACTGGTAGCCAGATTTTGTTCATTTTCATGGTTTCCTCCTTTTTGTTGAAATTGCCCACATGTTTGTGGATGGCTTCTCTGTGTTGTCTGACAGTATTGCATCTTGATTGCTAAATTAGGGTGTCATTGAATCTTTAGTTTTTATCAATGTTCAGAGACTTCAGATCTATGTCTTTAATATATGGGAATTTATAGATAAATTGCATACATTTTGTCATTTGAGGAAAAAAAATGCAGCCCTTAGGATTGTAATAGTGAAATTCAACTAAAGCGCCAATACAACTTTTCATATCCATTTAACGCAGTGGTTCTCAACCTGTGGGTCCCCGGGTGTTTTGGCCTACAACTCCCAGAAATCCCAGCCAGTTTATCAGCTGTTAGGATTTCTGGGAGTTGGAGGCCAAAACATCTGGGGACCCACAAGTTGAGAACCACTGACTTAATGTTTGGGACTTGAATTATGAAGACACTGTTTCGTACCATTTCTTTTCTATATGTATGAAAGGCAGTGAATTTTTTACCGTAGACCTCTGTCTTATCTCTCAGTGCAATAACCCAATGACCAAAGAGCCAAAGCTGCAGGCGGCAATGAGGATTGTTCCCGAGTGGCAAGATTATGATCAAGAAATTAAACAGCTGCACAGCCGTTTTCAGCAAGAGAAAGAATCAGGAACACTTTTTACAACAAATGAAACAAAACAGCAAAGTCAAAAGGGTAATTCTTTCCTTTCAAACTATTAAGAAGGCACTGTTACCCCAAGGTCAAATGTTCATGACAGTATAGAATGACACTGTAGCTATTGTTTTTACATTTTCAGACAAACAAAAGCTTATGTAAGACCATTAAAGGCAAAATGGAGAAAATGTTGTGAGCCATGCAAACATGAGCTCAGCAGAAATGAAAACTGCAACATTTGTTCCTTTGTTTCTGTATTGTTTTATTTTTGTTCTTTGGCAATTCTCATCCGTTTACTCCATACATTTATACTTTGAAGCTAACTTGGTTGAATTCTTGCTATATAACCACTACAAATATTTGGATTTGTGATGGGAAGTATTTTGTTAGTTTGGCCTAACATCTGTTGTAATAACTTAATATGCATATTTTACTATTATGAAGATAAGAATTCTCATTTAGAGGCCAGGAAATGATGATGGAAACAATATTAGCTCATAATTTTGACTTCTGTGCATAAGGGCAATTGATTATTTGTAGAGATGTGTGCCTAATGCTAATATAAGCTAATATTGATTGATTTTAGAGAAAAATCTCTAAAGCTGACATAAGCTAATGACTGGGGTTAATGAGCCCTTGGTGGTGCAGCGGGTTAAACCTCTGAGCTGCTGAACTTGCTGACCAAAAGGTCGGGGGTTCGAATCCAGGGAGCGAGGTGAGCTCCCGCTGTTAGGCCCAGCTTCTGCCAACCTAGCACTTCGAAAACATGCAAATGTGAGCAGATCAATAGGTACTACTTTGGTGGGAAAGTAATGGTGCTCCATGCAGTCATGCCAGCCACATAACCTTGTAGGCATCTATGGACAATGCCGGCTCTTCAGATTAGAAATTGAGATGAGCACCACCCTCTAGAGTCGGACACAACTAGACTTAATGTCAAGGGGAAACATTTACTTTTACTTATGTGTTTTGTTTATTATGATATTTAAAAAGCAGAGAGTTATCTACATTTCCATATAACTTATATTTTTCTTTCTTGTTTTTCAACAGCAACAGACCGCACGGAGTTATGATCCATGGTGATCAATCAAGTGAGACTATTTCATAGACAATTTTTTCTATCAAATGCTAGTTTTTTCTAGTATGTTTGCAAAACTGCTGAGACACTGAAAGGGGCATTGATAATATGTATTACCTGAGATTGAATTTGATTTTAGCAGATGGAATAGGACCTGGATGATGAAGATTAGTGTATCTGGTGTTCATTGAACTTGCAAGAAAATGAAGGCTCCACAGAGGAATACAGAAATCTGGTCATGGTTAAAGGATACTGAAGAACAGCAAATTCTTCATCCAGCTTTTGGCTGAGTCCACGGCAGGAAGTCAAGATTCTTTGAGTCGCCTCTTCTTTGCTCAGGAGCCTAGAGAAAAGGTACTACTTAGAGGGGAATAAACACTGAGAATACCACAGGCACTTCCTTGGTTCAGTGTCCTGAGGTAGACCTAACTCTTTCAGGTTTTGAACAGGCTTCTCATGCCTTGAACTGACTGATATAGTAGTCACAAGTATCAAATTGATTATGTTTTCCCATCCCATTGATATCCTTGATTCTAGTAGAAGATTTCTTGCATTCAAAATGAGAGACATTGTGAATATCATATTTGATAACTCTTGCAAAACAAACGACAAAACAATCTACACAACTTCTGAAATATACATTAGCAAATATGTATATTTTAATGATGCAGCAATGTGTGACATCTAACATCTTTTTTCCATTGTAGCATTTTTCAGCAGTTTTGCCAAATTGCTCTGTGGTAGCAAAATAACAAAGACTCTTGTGACTTAAAGGCGCCACAAGACTTTTTGTCATTTTCCTACTGCAGACTTGAGGGAATATTTTCCCTCAGCTGTTGAAAACTGCAAAGGTAATAGGGTATTCTTGTGACTATATTGCTTTCATGAATGTATTTTTGTTAATGCGAATCTGTGGATTCTTTCTGATTATCTTACATTTCCTGAGTTGGATTTTGCTCAAACAAAAAAGTGATGTCAGGTTAATAAAGCTTTAGAGTTCCTATACCTTTTCTTTGATTTCTCTTCTCTTGAGCCTCACGCTCTTCTAGTCACTTTAATTTTGATTTTCCTAGTATTTCCTTTCTTTAAAATGTCAGGATGCTCTTTTTTTGACAAAATACATTCAAAAGTTTCTGCAGAAAACATCTTCAGGTAAAAGACCTTTGAAGGATGAATAATCTTGTAATGTCTTCATTTTTCCATTACAAATACCTTCATCTGGAGAAACCTTCTCCAGTATGTCGAACAACTGCTTTCAAGTTTACACATACAAATCTTGATGAATATGTCCCTTTAGAATAATCAGAGTGGAGATCATAGGGTCTTGTTGTAGGCGGGGAAGGGCTGTGTTCATGTTTAATACTAGATATTAAAAAATACATCCATAGACCTTTTCTGTAAATATGAGATAATAACTTTGTTTCTTTGTGCAAAGGACTCTTAAGTTCATGTAAATTACAACTATGGGAAATAGCCTTTTAAAAGCAGCCTACTAGATATTTATTCAAGATATTAACATTGTGAAACTTTGTAGGTTAGAGTGTATTCCTGTATTAGAACATTTTTCTAAAAGTTGCATGGTTTTTCCTGTTACTTACAAAGGAAGTTTGCAAGAAGACTGAAGACTGAAGCAATGCAATCAGCTTTCAAGCAACCCCCCCCCCCCAAAAAAAAAAAAAAAAAACCAAACCCCTCAAATCTTCATGGTATTCAAACAGGAAAGCAGGCTGGCTAATTTTGAATTAAAAGTTTTACTTGAATTCAGTTTTTGTTTTGCATATCCTTTATTAGTTGAGAGAGGAGCCTTTGTTGCTGGAAAAACATTTTGTCCCTCCAGCCTTGGCTTCATCATTTCCATTTTCTGCCTCAGTATTTGCTATTCCAAGAGCCCTCGGTGGCGCAGTGGGTTAAACCCTTGTGCCAGCTGGATTGCTGATTGAAAGGTTGGCAGCTCAAATCCGGGGAGTGGGGTGAGCTCCCATCTGTCAGAACCAGCTTCTCATGTGGGGACATGAGAGAAGCCGCCCACAGGATGGTAAAACATCCGTGCATCCCCTGGGCAACGTCGTTGCAGACGGTCAATTCTCTCACTCCAGAAGCGGCTTGCAGTTTCTCAAGTCACTCTTGACATGAAAAAAAAATCACATCAGAAGCGACTTGCAGTTTCTCAAGTCGCGCCTGATACGAACATTTTTTTTTTTTTTTTGCTATCCCAGCAGCAACTTCTGGGGAAGAAGAGAAGAGAAGGGAGGCTCCCTTTACCCTGTCAAGAAAACTTGTTACTTTGCTACATGCTTCTGGCTTTCCCCTTCTCTGGTTTGTGTATATAAGAAACATGCCACGGGGAGCTCTGAGGAAGTTTTAATACAAGCCGTTGCCCTTTTATCCCCCCTTATTGGAAAGGGTTTTAATTTATTTGCTATTTTTTAGATGTACTTCAAGCCTGCTTTCCCCCAGTGAATTTAAGACATTGCACCTGATTCTTGTCATTTTTACTTTATCCTCTCAATAATTCTGTGAGGGAAGTCAGGTATTCAAAGCGTCTGACCCAGGGCCACCCAGTAAGTGTCACAACTTGAGAGATCTAGAACTGTGAGTTCTAGATTCAGTTCTCCATTGTAACCATGAGAGCACACTGATGGAGACAGTACCAACTCTCCACATATTAGGAAAGGGCTAGATCACCAGGGGTTTCTGACTCCCTCTCTTCACTTGAGCAAACTCTTGAAGCGAACTCTTGAAGCAGTTTTTTTTGTTTGTTTGTTTTAAGAGGACTAAGATTGAACTTGGATTCAGATATAACTTTTGCTACTGAATTCTGTCTCCAGTTGTCCCTTTTCCCTGTTTCATATTTGGATGCAGTTAGTGGATCTTTGGATTTAATAAAAATCATTACAGTAGATTTCACAACATTGACATTTGCCCACTCTTGGCCTGGGCAATACAGAATGCACTGAGTGGCTCTGCAACACCTCACTTTTATGAGCCATCTGCTCAACACAGGACTTTTCTCAGTTTTATGAAAGTAGGAGAAATTGCAAACCATATGTTCGGCAGGGCAGATATTACTTCACTTGGCTACAGACTAATCAATACCTGGCCGTACACACCACAAAGCATGTTGTATTGGCTCAGGATTATTGCATCTGTCAACTCTCAGTTCAGAAAAATGAGATTTTGTGTGCAATTGATTATCTGGACTGCCCAATTGATTTACAATATCAGGAGGCTGATGGTAGAAAAGGGAAAAGCATACTTATGGTGTAAACTGATGCATGCAATACAGCATGATGCTATGTGAGTATGCTGATAAAGGTGATAGGCTGAATTGCGAGTTGTGAATAGTGCTTTGGAGAAGAAATGCATAATTTTCTAGCTATTTATGTGTAAAATAAATTTGAGTTTAAAGAATTGTTTGGCAGCCTTGACATATGTACCGCCAGATGAAGCAGAATATATAACATTGCTGTACCATTTGTTTTTAATGGCACTTGGAAAGCTATTTAATAAACTGGCTGCAACGTAGAGAAACAGCTTTATATGCCTATTAAGCTTCATAAAGAAGATTCTTTTAAATTCACCCAAAGATATGTTCGAGTGTGATCCATATTTACCAGTTTCATCATCAAAGAAATGGAAATGAGAAATACTTACAGTACATTGAAATACGTTTCCGGACTAGTGAGATCAGGTTTCTTTTTAGGATAAGGCAGTGTGATTTTCCCTATTCCTAGTCTCATTTATGTTAAAGCTACTGTGTCCCAGATTGGGTGGAATACAAGTTAACATGATCTGTCCTCCGGTTTGCCTATTAAATCCAAGAGCAATATAAATAATGAACCGCTTGCCTGTGACAACTGCTCATTGGAGTTCTGTTTGAATTATGGCAGCATAGAGGAAACATTGCTTGTTGGTGCAGTTGCCTCTCTGCTACTTTAGCACATTAACCTGAGGCAAAGGAATGGTAATGGGGATGACAAGTGAACGTGGCACTCTCTTATTGGTTTCACAGCTACCTTGTAATCATGCTGAAGATAACCAGGAATGCAAGTCTTGACATTCTGTGCATTTTTGTGGAAGTTCATTGCTTGCCTAAGTTGTAAATATTTAGATATTATTCTTTTTTACATGGCAAAATCTCTTAAAAGTACTTAGCCAAGCAACTTAAAAATGGCTGGTAGCTGAAACAGGAAACTAGGGGTTTCGATAATAAAGATTCCTGTTAAGTCTGTTACGCAAGATTGTGTTGGGGCAAGTCAATAGCACATCTCACATAGGGGAACCAAAGCATAAGAGGACAAAGGAAGAAACATGGGTCATGATTCTTTGTATCGGATGTATTGGAGCTGCCTTGAAGTTATATGGATGACACAGCTAAGAGATCTGTGTCTCTTACATATGTGTTATATATAATACATATGTAAGGGACACAGATTCCTTACCTGTGTCAAGCAAGTCTATATTAGTGGCTATGTATCTGATGCTGTGCAGTCTTGTAAACCAAGAAGTGATGGCAGAATATCCTATGTCTGCTTCTCATAAATGAAAGATAATGCTTAATTTGATTATTTTGACTCCGTAGATTTGATTCATTTATAAGTTTACTTCATAATCATGAAAACTGACACTGGAAGTAACAGGTAATTATAAAATGCAATTGGATAAAAATGGAGGTTGCCTTCAAAACCTATTATTTTTATGGCAACACCCAGGTTTTGTTTTTTTGTTTTTTTGTCGTGTCAGGAGTGACTTGAGAAACTGCAAGTCACTTCTGGTATGAGAGAATTGGCCGTCTGCAAGGACGTTGCCCAGGGGACACCCAGATGATTTGATGTTTTATCATCCTTGTGGGAGGCTTCTCTCATGTCCCCGCATGAGGAGCAGAAGTTGATAGAGGGAGTTCATCTGTGCTGTCCCTGGATTTGAACCTGCTACCTGTCGATCTTCAGTCCTGCCGGCACAGGGGTTTAACCCACTGCGCCACCAGGGGCTCCTAACACCCAGGTGGGATTATCTTAATATTTTATTCATTTATATTCTACCTTTTGCCCGTAACTGGGACTGAAGGCAGCTAACAACATGATAAAAACAATACAAGTTAAAAGCAATTCAAAAGTTAGAGTAGCAATGCTTCAACATGGTTTTCTCCAGATGTTTTAAACCTTTCTTCCCATCATCCCCAGCTAGTCAGGCAATGGAGTGCTGGAAGTGGTAATCACAAGCATCCTGAAGATGCCAGGAGGAAGGAGAGCTCATAGAATACCTTTTACTGTAGCATAAGGTTGTTCAGTATGCTTAACAGTTAATATTCCAATTTTTTTTTAGAAAATTGGTTATGCTGTTATTTCTACTCTTTACTCTTTCTTATCTAAGACATAGAAAAAGGGTTCATTTTAAAATAAAATACAATTGTCCCCCTTTCTTTAACAAACTTAACCTCATGCTAGTCTCATATACTTAAGAGGCAAAGCAAAGAAATGTTAGATAATTGTTGGAGTTAAAATTCAATGGTATCATACAGATTCAAAGTCCTGTTACCATCTAATGTATAAAATGTTCCCTATCTACAGAATGAGATTATATTTTATTCTCCCAGGTCTGCTGAACACAATAAAGCCTTTAAATCATTTATCTTAAAAATTTGTGTCTCGTTTCTTGTCCCTCAAATAAATAAAAGAGGGGGTTGTGGTCTTGTTTTTTTCATGAAATCTACTGCTTCTAGAAAAAGGTTGTATGTCATAGTGATAAAGTAATGCATCTATTTTATTGCACTTCTTAGTTGCCTTGTAACAAAATTCTTGGGTTGACAAAAACTGTAAAATTCAAAACCATAAAATCCATATGAAGACAGATCAAAGAACAACACCCTATAAACATAGCCACAGATACCATCGCCATAAAATGAATGCAAGGGGAACGAGAAGAACCTGTTTGTAGGGTACTGCCATTGTGAATGGGAAGATTAATATATAAATAGAGATTTCTAGTAACCAGAGATTTCTTATAACCATGACAGTCCTCTCTCTGGTTTATGTCAAAACAGTTGGATCAGCTTTAATTGCATGTAGTTTTCCCTGCTGGGGGTGTCATCAAAAAGTGAGGCTGCAGAATAAATGAGAACATGTTTCAAGGGAAGGAATAGAAGCATGAAAGAGAAGGAAATGTTTATGAATTTCCAGTGTTGAGGTACAAACAATAAGATCTCTCAACTGTCTATGTAATAAGATGAATTGAGAATTGAAACACCTTGGCACGAATCGAATTGCTAATCCCAAATGGAGTAAACCCAGTGATTCAAAAAACGATATGCCAACATGTATGCAAATCCCATTGATTCAATGGATCTAATTCAATTTAGGCTTACCATTGCATTTAGGCAATTATTTTTATACATGTTGCTCTGTTCATTGGTCATTTAACGGCTACCTCAGAACTACAGGTGCCCTTCCAACCATACTTTCTTTGTCACAGTGGGTGTGTTTTTGTTACAATTTGTATGTGTATATAAAAGTATATATGAGGGCTGTCCAGAAAGTAAGGTTACAAGGCATATAGCTCTCTTGGGGAATTTTCTTGGGGAAAGTTGGTATCACTGCTGTGTAGCAGGAAGCCAGCGGAAGCGAACGAGCAATGCCAGTCGTCAGTAGCTCATCAACTTGCATTGTGGTGAAGGTTAGAGATGAGTGTCCTCATTCCGTTTGCCTCCCAAGTGCGAAGTTTGTGCTGTAATATGCTACCTAAATGCTAAGGGCATTAACGCCGCTGCGATTAATTGTGAAATCGTTTCAATTTATGGAGAGGACGTAACGTCAAGACAGCATGTGACAAAATGGGTACGGAATATATTGTGAGACCATGAAGAAACTCTGCAGAGCCATCCAAAACAAACATTGTAGGATACTGATGACGGGAGTCAGTCTCCTTCATGACGATATGCGTCTGCACACCGCTCATGCAACACAAGAATTGTTGACTTCATTTGGTTGGGATGTTTTAAGCCACTCCTCTCACAGCTCTGATCTCGCACCCAGTGACTATAATCTGTTCACTAAACTGAAGGAAACATTGGTGGAAAATACTTTTCCATTGAGGAGGTGAAAATCAAAGTGATGAACTGGCTGAAAAAGGCAGAGGGAAACTTCTATGACACAGACATCAAAAACTCATCTCACGGGTGACAAAATGTATTGAACTGAATGGTGATTATTTGGAAAAATAATGTAATACCTATGCTACAATCCATGTAAGTTTTATTAAAATATATTCCATCTTTGTATTTTTTAAAAAATCTTGTAACCTTACTTTCCGGATAACCCTTGTATGTATATTGATCTATACATATAGATATGTTAGTAAAACCTCCTTTGTGGACAGAGAATATATGTGTGCCACGGCAGCTTCAAGACCAGTTTTGGGCTTTTTCAAATTAACTTTTCAATATTTTTGCCTCAAGTTCTAAATTAAAACTGCAAAACAAACATTCAACCTGAATCAATTAAGTTATAATAAGCCACAATGAAATGCAAATTAACCAACTAACGTTGAATTAATACAAGCATCTATAACTCAAAACCAAACGTTAATTTTTGTAGTAGGAAAGAAAGAAATTGTGGCTAAATTGCAACACAGATAATGTTCTTGTATTGCTTTTCTATCCAGGCAGAAATGGAAGGTCAGCATTTCGGCTGACACTATCCACCGGTTCATCAAGGCTCCTCTGGAAAGAGAGTCCCAATTCAATTATGGCTGAGGAGTCTCTCCCTCAGGGAACCAGACCCTTACAACAACCTTTGTAACGGGAAAGACCTAAAAGCAGCAGGTGCTTTTGCATTATTTATCAGTGATTAAAAAAACATTCTGTGAGCTATCTAGTCATAGGGGAAACTCTCTAATTATTATGGATGGCAATGACAGCAGCTGTCAGAATGATGTGGACCAGTAATTTTCTTATTTTAAAAGCTCCCGTGATATATTCTCACATCAAAATTGAAGGGTTGTAGAAATACAGCTAAAAATAATTAATTGCTCAGGGGTTTTTGTTCTGTTTGTTAGAACAGCACCCAATGCTGCATTCTCCCTCTATAGCTTTTCATTGATGTGTAATTCTGCTAATTTTTGCAAATTATGCCCGTCACTTTATAATACTGTCATCATATTCAGAGAGAATTAAGTTTTAAGCACTTACTAAGGGGAGCTTAGAGTGGTGGATAACTGCAACCATTCACATTGTTCTCCTAATACTGGGAGGTGTTTACACAATAAGACTCTAATGTCCCAGTTATGTTTGGAATTAATTGCTTGTAATAACCAATCTGATTTCTCAGTTACCATACACACATATTCCTACAAAGGAAGGCAGTAAGGTATTGGTGTCAAACACTTGGAATCTATTATCATCAATTGACTCTTAAACTATTGCAGTGAATAGTTTATTTGTACTTGTACTAGGACTTCTGGCTGACATAAATTGTTCTTGACTTTGTACATGGCTGACGGCTCTGTTCTAGTGTTCAGGTTATTTATGGGTTGATGGCATTGCTTATTATCTGTTGTTGTGTATTTTCAAGTTCTTTCCTGCTTGTGGCAACTTCTAAGCAAGCCTATTAGAGGGTTTTCTTAGCAAGATTTGTTTGCATAGGGTTTGCCTTATCCCTCCTTGAAGGTTGAAATGTGTGACTTGCCCAAAGCCACTTAATGGGTTTCTATGGCTGAGCAGGGTTTCAAAGCCAGGTCTCTACAGTTGTAGCCCAACACCAAACCACTACATTGTTAGTTCTTGTGGAGTTTTTAATAATTACAAATAAAATACATTAACCATGTAATCATATATATCAATTTAACCACAGGCACAATCTTGCATCAAAAAATAATGCATCACTTGCACAGTTTTATCCATCGTACTATGTGTGTGTATGTATTGTGACTGAAAAGCAAATCATTACACTTCTCTGTAGTCCAGTGTTTCTCAACCTGGTGGTCGGGACCACTGGGGCGGGGGGGGGGGGGTGTCACGAGAGGGTGTCAAGGGTCGCTAAAGACCATCAGAAAACAGTATTTTCTGTTGGTCATAGGGATTCTGTGTGAGAAGTTTAGCCTAATTCTATCGTTAATGGGGTTTAGAATGCTCTTATGATTGTAGGTGAACTATAAATTCCAGCATCTACAACTCCCAAATTTCAAGGTCTATTTCCCCCAAACTCCACCAGTGTTCACATATTGAGTATTCATGCCAAGTTTGGTCCAGATCCATCATTTTTTGAGTCCACAGTGCTCTACGGATATAGGTGAACTACAACTCCAAAACCTAAGGTCATTGCCCACCAAACCCTTCAAGCATTTTCTGTTGGTCATGGGAGAGCTGTGTGCCAATTTGGTACAATTCCATCATTTGTGGACTTCAGAAATACTCTTTGATTGTAGGTGAACTATAAATCGCAGCAACTACAACTCCCATATGACAAAATCAACCCCCCAACCAGTACTCAAATTTGGGCGTATCGGGTATTTGTGCCAAATTTGGTCCAGTGAATGGAAATACATCCTGAATATCAGATATTTACGTTAACAATTCATAACTGTAGTGAAATTACAGTTATGAAGTAGCAACAAAAATAATTTTATGGTTGGAGGTCACCACAACATGAGGAACTGTATTAAGGGGTCACGGCATTAGGAAGATTGAGAACCACTGCTCTAGTCTGTCCCGGAATCCCAGAATGATATTTCAATCTTGTTTTTCTGTCTTGCTAATTGCTTCAATGAAGTTATTTCAAGTCTTTCTTTCTCTCGCTCTCTCTTTCTGCTGTTGCTCTGTTCTTAGAACCTCTGTGAAGTAGTAGAAACCTGTAGGTGGAGCACTTGCACTGTTGAAATATGGTATCCCTCATAGCCGATTTCCAAGCATTTTTAAAACTGGAAAACACATTTGTTCCATGTGGTTGGAAACGACATTTAAATTGGGGAAATTAACAGAAAAAGGAGACAGTTGGAGCTTGGTGATCTCTACCAAAACGAGGCCTCAGTACAGGAAATGCACAATCCTTATGTTTCATAAGCATCCCCTGCTGGGTTGGCCCATGACATTAGCTTGAGGCTAAGATAGTGCCCCTCAATCCAAGCTGATCGAAATGGCCGATGAATCTTGAACACTGGCAGTGTTTTCTGCTATAAATAAAGGCAACAAGACAGTTCAGGGGACGCAGGGCAGATACCGTGACATACATAGCCACTACACCATCACTTTGTCACGGCTCCCTGCCTGTCCCCAACATCTGCTGCCTCAGGTGGCCATCTCCATCCTCCCTATTCATAAGGCTACCATACTTCACTATATTAGCTTCCATTGAGGTCAGGTACATACTGATCTTAAAATATGGATCTGCTTAGGTTCAAAACTGGTATTTTTTCCATTTTTCATGACACCTGAAGGAAGAGGGTGTGGCATAAATATCAGTTCAATAAAAATAAGAATTATATCACCATTGGTCCATTCCTGTTGATGTGCATCCAAGAGCATCTGCCCAAAGCAGAACAGAGCAGCTTTTGAATGGCTGGGTAATAGGTCCCTCCTGTTCACTCATCCATCTCACACATTTTTCACTCATTGGTTCACTTGTTCAGCTTAACAAGTCCAGTCGGGT